TTTTCGTTCCATTTCTGTTGTTTTGTTTTCATTATTTCATATCTCGACTGGTTAATGCAAAACCCGAAGGGAACTCAAATTGAATGTGCTCCATGTGCTGCGATTTTATATTTTTTTTATATTTGATACTATTTGCTCATCTCAATTTGAGTTCCTAGACTGCGTGTCACCTAGTTTTTCGTCACTAAGCTTGGGCATAAATCTTCACTCTGTTTGCTTGCCAATTGTAAGCTTTTGGTACTCAGTTCGCAGTCAGTTGTCTTTCGGCACTAGGCTAAACCACTCGTCCTCTCCTCTTGCGGCTCTCGGCTCTCAGTCACTCGTCCCTCGTTCGTTTGAGCCCTTTTACCGTTTCCACTCGCGAGTCCAGTCATGTGGTCTGTGCCCCCTACGGAGCTTTGCAAGTCAGGCGAGAGCTTTTACGCTCGTTTACGCTCAAAAGCTGGCGGCAGTATTGATTGCTTGCCAAAGGGCTCGAAAGGGGGAGGGGCTTGGAGGAGTTGGGCGAACTCGTTTACAGCTACTCGCTGCAAGCTTAACCCTGCACTGGCTGCGGCGGTTGGAAAGGCCGTTCCTGCAACTGCAACTGACGGACGGCCTGCGCATGGCACGGACTGCACTTCTCGAGCAGCTGACTCGCGGGCGGTCCACCGCCACCCCCTGACCTGCACCCCTTGTACTTGCCCCAGCCCCCACCACAAATGGCATTCCTGGCCAGTTGGCCCGCAAAAGTAGGCAACACTTTGCATACTAAGGCAGCCTCCATTCAATTATTATGCTAAGTGGGCAACTCATTAGGCAGTCATTTGTTTTCGGATATGCCGCTTCAAATTGAATTCCTGGGCGCCCGGCCAATCGATAAATCGAAGAAGAAACTCCCCCAGTTGCTGCTGCTTCGCTTTAACAGCACTTGCTTCTCCTTAACGCACTTACTCTTTTTTCCGTGCTGGCAAAATGAATTTTGCGGTAGGCCGCGTAATTATTTTATGCCCCCGCAAAACAAAGAGCTCTGCGACCGCCAGCCAGCCAGCCAGTCAGCCAGTCAGGCAGCGGCATAATATATCAGCGTTGAGCGAGGCCCACTGGCAGCCATAACGAGTTGCCAGTAACCAGCACCCAGCACCCAGTAAGCAGTACACATTGCCCAGATCCCTTTGAAACCCGCTTGTGCTCCGTGCCCCATGCCCATTATTATTTATGCGTATGCATAGGACTCAGGACTCAGGGCTCAGGGCTCAGGGCTCAGGGCTGGTTCTCCGGCCGGGAACTTTATGTGCGGGGTGGCGTGTGAGTTTTATTTAGTGACCTGCGAGTGAAATGCCCGCCGCAATCGGTGGCCGCTGCTGGGGGAGTTTAAAATAGAGCTGGCAGTGTTTTATGGTATTCGGTCGTGAGTTGAAGCCAGTATGTTTGGCTTTAAATTTACGATATGGCACAATTTTCGCCGCTTTCCCGGGGTGATTAATCTATCGCCCAATTACAGCCAGATTTATGTTTCGGCTAGCGGCTTTTGTGGGTGCCACTTATGATGGAGGGGCTTCTATAGAGGTCAGAATTATTATTTTTAAGTATCGCACTGGACCCCCAAAAACTAAATCCCTTTTAAGCTACTTCTCCCCTAGAATTGTCCTACTCAAGATCCTCCTTTCAGGTCCTGCCCCAACGCACTTGAGTCCGCTCCTGATTTGGCATGTGCCAATCCCCGTAACACATCTAGAGCCCCCGCTTACCCCTTTAGGGCCTGGCTTAGGCTGCTAATTAAAATTCAGCCATTGGCATCGTTTTGCATAGTTTCTAATTTGCCAGGACGTTGTTGCAGAGAGATGGAGAGAGAAGGGGAGAGAGAAAGAGGGGAGGAAGGAAAGGGACAGGATGCGAAACCGAGTGAGGGCGAGCCAAACAACATGAATATTTGAATATGGATTTGTGTGGTCTGGCATACTGAGCAGCGTACTAAGCTTTGGTCATCGGCAGTCGGGGGTTAAGGCGGGTCGGATTGGCCCTAAGAAGGTCTTTAGCTCGCAGTCTTATTTTTGTTTTTTTTTCTTTACAGTAGCAGTAGCAGTGTACAAGGCACACACTCACCCTCACCCCCTGCTCCTCCTGAGCGAATTTCTTGATTTCACGCTCCAAATCAAGCTGTCTCATTGTTGTTGTTGTTGCGGTTGTTTGTTGTTGTTGTGGTGGTTGTTGTTGGTGTGGTTGTTGTTGTCGTCGGGTTCACCAGAAGTGAGAAGGTTGAGTATCGCATAAGTTTGTTAGATTTGTGTACATATTATATGTGTAAGCGTGCGAGTGCTCGGGAGGGGGCGGAGTGCGAGCCGAAAGTTGGGCATCAGGCAGACAAAGTGGCGTCGGTTAAATGGCCATAAGAAGCAGACAATAAAGCCACGAGGACTCTCGTAAAAAAATATTCGCATATTCCGGCCGAGATGTACATACGTACGTAGATGCGTGAGCCCGGGCCTCTGGCTTATGTAAGAGGGCCAAAAGTCGGGCGGCCGGAGTGGAAAAGTCGATTCAATGCGGCCCAACTTGGCCAACTGCTAAACAAGATGAATTATTGAAAGTTTTTCGCCCCGAAAAAGGGCCAACGGGGAAAGGGAAGGGAAGGGAAACGGGGGGGAAACTGCAGTTCGCAATAAATAGAATCTGCACCGAAAATAGGAAATGTAAAACGCAGTGACCTCGAAAGAACTGCGCCAGCCGATTGCTCTCTTTCCCGGCCCTGTTAACGCGGCGTATACGCAACAACTTTTAATTGCTCGCCCGGCAGAAAAAACATAAAAAAGGGGCGAGGCGAGGCGAGGCGAAATTTGTTTTCTTTTGTACGGCATGTGGGCGGGCGGTTGTTTTTCTTCAGTCCGGTTTTGTGGGCTGATTTTTAATTACTGCTGTCCGGGCCGAGCAGCTATGCCGCATTTCCTGCGACCATTTGTTTGCTTTATCAGAGACAAATTAATTTCGAGCCTCGCCAATCGCCGGTCAAGGCGCCTGTTGTCCCGCGTTCCATTCAATTGGTGTAATATAATAGCCACCGCCGGCTGCGCACAGAGTGCAGGGCGTTACGCAGAAATAAAATGCGATTCCCGAAAAATGCCAGTGGGCGCTGAGCCAAAAAAGCGGGCAAAAAACGCAATTTGAATACTTATTGTGCGGGGAATTCCATAGAAATGGGGCCCCGAAAAGGATGTCGGGCTTATGCAAATGGCTTTAACGCCACGGGGACTCAATGCAGTGCGCAGATAAAATATGAAGTTCAGAACTCAGCCAAGGATAGTGGCCACTCTCGGATAGTATCTGTCATTCTTGATGGCCATTCATGCGATACACTCGCACAAAGCGCACAGAAAACAAGCGCACTTTGAGTTTCGGAATGGAATTTCCCACTCTTTTCTGTTGTAGATTTCCATTACTGGTTTTTAACCAGTTACCAAACAAAGAAACCCAAGTTTCCGCCAGGCGTTTAAGCCGAAAGCCAATCGGATAGCAGCGGTATTCCCTTTGGCCTTTTCTCCGGCCGTCGTCTGTTGTCCCTAAATAGATTTGGTTTCTGTATCAAGGTTGCCCTGCCGCCCACTGGGAATTGGCCAACTGTCTGACCATGCTCTGGAAACGCTTTCCCGCTCCCCCACTTTGCCGCTCTACCCCTCCCGCTTCTTGTTTTCCCAGTGTTTTCTGTGCGCTCCGCTGCCTTTTGTTCTGTTTGCGCCCGATATTACGCATACGCCGTGTGTGGCTGTGTGGGAGTTTAGCTCGGGGCAAACATGTAATTAGGGGACGGGCTCGGATCAGTAATAAGCAGTTGGTCGTTGGTTGCTGGTTGCTGGTCGCTTGCCACGTCCTTGGGGAGGTCGGTGGCAGAAGTTAAGCTGCTGCAAGGCGAGCTGCAGCACTCCAACACTACAGCACTCCAGCTCTGCAGCCCTGTTTCAGATTGATTTCCCGGGGGAGGCAGGTCGTCGCCGCCCCCGATGAATAATGGCAGGCAACAGTAACAGAAACAGAAACAGCAACAGAAACAGTAACAATGGGGAAATGCACTTTCCTGCCACGCGAAGATGCATATCCGTCCATTGTGGCGCCGAAAAGTGTGCAACAAAATCGAGATTTTATTGGGTGGCGAACAATGAAATGACTAAGCTGCTGTCTGAGTGTGTGTGTGAATGTGTGGGTGTGTGAATTTATGGGTGTGTGAATGTAGTGGGTGTGTGGTAGTGCACTGCACTTAATGTTAATTTGAACGACGTTCATTGATGTTGACTGCCTCCACTGTCCTCATTCTCGTCGGCACAAAGTTGCAAATTAATTAAGCGACAACGGCAACAAGAACAAAACAGTAAAAATATGCAAAACATGTAGCAAACTGAATGAAACGTGTCAGGCTTTATCTGTCTATATGTGGGTGTCTGTGTGTGTGCGAGTCTGTATGTGTGTGTGTGTTTGGGAAATGAAAAATCAACAGTGGAAACGGTGTGGAACAGTGGGAAAACACTACGAACAACTCAAGCTTCGGTTGGCATAAAAGCGAACATTTCTAGGCTCTACTTTCTGTTTAAGCTAGATTGTAACGGTTATAAAGCGGTGTGTATATATAGTTGGTATGTGTGTGTGTGTGTGGGTAGGTATATCGAGTATATAAGGCTTGGCTTCTGCGTGTGTGTCCTGGGTAAAATAAAAGCTGGCAAAGTTCTGATGTTGCACCAAATGGTTCGAACTCAAGATGCATAATGTGTTTTTTGTTTTTTGATTCGTGTTCAGAGAGAAAGGGCGGGCGGGGAAAAGGGGAGGAGGGGAAGGTGCTCCCCCTCCCCCGCTGCCCGTGTACGAAATCATTCTCTAGAGCATTGTTTGCCGAACGAAAGAAATTAGAGAGATAGATTGACAGAGATATACGTATAAAGTACGGAGGCATTCGGAGGCGGAGGCAGAGACTCGACCACTCGCCTCTTCCGGCAGGGAATGTGGCAAGGACTCCAAGGACTCTTGGCGGGTCTTACCTGCTTCTGGGCCATGGCCTGCATCTGCTGGAACATCTGGCGCTCCTCCTCCTTGCCTGCAATTCGAAAGGAGAGCTCCGGTCAGCGGATCAGTTCATCTAGCACTCCGAAGGGGCGAGACTCACCCATTCCCTTGGCCTGCAGCATCTCCAGCAGCTTCTTGATGCTCTCGTCGCGGGCGATCAGCGTCTGCTTCTGGGTCTCCACCCGGCACTCGAGGTCCTTGATCGTCTCGCGCAGGATGCTGATCTCGCGCTGCAGGTGGTCGTTCTCTGCGTAGATCGCCTCCATCTGCTGCTGCATCTCGAGGTTGGGCTGCCGCATCCGCAGGCGCAGCTCCTCCTCCAGCTGGCGCACCAACATGGCTTGTTTCTGGAGGAATAAATAATGTAATTAGTTCTTCAAAGAAATGCAAAATATATAGGGTTGAAATGGTTGACATTTAAATTAATCCTGGCTATACTCCAATTCCTTTCCTATTTAATATATGTGTACGTAATTCAGTTACCTGATTCTCCGTGCTGAGCAGCTTCAACTGGTCGTTGATCAGACTGTACTTGGCGCTCTCCTCCTTGCGCAGGGCCCGCTCCTTCTTGAGCTCCGGCGACCAGAAGGTCTTGATGCTGTGCATCGAGCTGCCCAGCTTCTGGTTGGTCAGCTCCAGCTCCCGCTTGAGGTTGCCCAGCTCGCGCTGCAGGTCGGTGTTCTGGTGCTGCAGGTCGCCCAAGTAGGCCCGGTCCGAGGTGGGGCCCATGCCCGTGTTGTAACCGCCCATCGCGCTGGGGCTCTGCCGCGCCGACCGCCCGTACAGCTCGTCCTCTAGGTAGAGTCCCCGCTCGAGGGACCGGTCGCGGGAGCGGTCGCGCGGCTCCCGGATGGGGATGAACTCGCGGTCGTGGGGGTCCACGAGTCCGCCGCGGTCCAGCGATTGGTAGCGGGTTCCTAGTTGGGGTTTATACACTGTTTAGTTTATGGATTTGAGGTGGCGGGTAGGCAGCTCAGATCTCTGGTGAAACTAGCATTCTGGGAGGTCAATTTAATACTGGTGATTTGGTTACCCAACTACCCAATAAAAGTATCAAGATATTTTAGGAACTAATCTGATGGGTTAGGACCACGATTAAATTGACCTTCTTTTTGTGAGCCCCCTTGGAACGGTCTTTACTTGGATAGTCCATGGCGTGGGCCATCGGTGGTCTGCTGGCGCTCCGGCTGCGATGGTGACCCGCTCCGGCCGGACTGGTTGGCTCATCCATGTCGCGGTAGTATGGACTGCCCATTGCTGAAATTCACACACACACAGAATTCATGAGGATGACCAAATGAGGATGACGAACGGGCGGGTGGTTGGTTGGTGGCTGGTGGGTGGTTTATCTCTGGTGGCTAATGGTGATGGTGGTGGTTCGTGTTTCGATTCGGCTCCTCTTCCGGCCACCAGGACAGAGGGAACGCAACCAAAAGTATACAAAGTGTTTTCTAGAGGTGGCAACTAGTGCAGTGGAGCCTCTGCCCCATTCTTCGGTTTTCTTATTTTCGGTTAGGCTAGGTTAGTGGCAGGTAACTCAAAAGTGGATAAAGGAGAAGGAGGAGGGAAGAGTGTTTGTCGTGTTCTGGCTTTTCCCCGCCCACCCACAAGTCGAGACCCGTCTGTAAAGCAGCTACTTTGTGAGTCCTGGCTCCTGGTTACTGGTTACTGGTTCCTGATTCTCGTATTTCAGTCCACCCTCGCGGGTTGTTAACCAAGTTCGCCCGTCACGAAATCATTTTGCACGGCAAAGGCACGGAACAAAGTTTGCGGTTCTGCCAACGTCCTCGTTCGTCGGTTTCTGTTCTGCTGTTCAGTGGTCGCCGTTCTGGCTCAACTCATAAACGGTTTATTAAGCCCCCCGAATGGCGGCCAAATGCTAATTAGCTGGCGTAATCATGAGCTGACCCCGTTCAAGTGCCAAGTGCAAAACAGTTTAGCTAACCATAATTGTAATCCAGTTTGAGGCTTTGATATCAAACGCGCTGCTCCCGGCGAAGTTTCAGTGATAGTTTCAAGGTGCGCTTTTTCGCAGTGGTTTTCTTGCGTCGCTGGCTCAGCTGAGGGCCATTTCCCAGTCGCCGGTTCCCGGTTCTAATGCAATTTCCCGGCAGCTGCTGGTCCCCGTCCAATCCCCGCACGGAATTCAATTTGCATGTGTTCAAGTGTTCGGGTGTTTGGGTGTTGAGTGCCGTTTGTGTGGGTTAATTGAAATGAAAATCGGTTGAGATTCGCAGGATGAGTGAAGCGAAACGAAATACGGATACGGAATACGGAAAACGGAGTACGGAGTACGGAATAAATGAAAATCGAATCAAGTGAAATGAAATGAAATCAAATTCATGTACCATGCGCATGCGTGTGATGTGGACAGAAATAATAGACTTTAGTTAGAATTGCATTAGTTGAGTCGACTACAAATAGTACGAAACGAAAGAGTTATAATCTATGGCGGTTACAGGAGAGAGCTAGCGAGCGATGAGCAATCTGATGGATAATCAATTTTGAATTTCGAATTTGGAATTTGGAATGGCGTCTGCTTGGCACAGAGTCAGTGGTTCTATCATAGATCGGTCTGGGCTCAGCCAATTGATCGTGGTTCGTGGGGATCACTGATCGCCGGCTCTCGCACAAACAGGATACTGGCCAGGTGCAGGACTACGTAAGTGCTCGTTTGTTCGTTGGGTTCTGTTACAGTTACGGATCAGTTCGGTTTCGGTTTCGGTTGCGGTTGCAGTATCGGTTGCGGTTGCGGGATGGATGGGGGCATTCACCTAAAGGACTTCCGCGAGGAGCGCCGTAGTCCCGGGATGGGGATCGATCGACCGTCGGCAATTCCTGGAGACGCCGCACGCGACCCGGACTGCGCACACCAGAGCTATTCACTGGATTATAGTCGTCTCGTGACATAATCCGCGGCTCATCCGCGGAGAGCAAGTGGGTTCGGTTGTGCGCCCTGTCCGGCGGACAGCTTAAATGCAACGCTGGCCTTCGGCTTCCCCTCGGGTTCTCCTCCGGTCGTCGGAGCTGGCCGCTCGGTTGATATGCTCGGTTTTGATTGATTGCCTGATTGATCTATTCGCGACTCTCTCTTGTGCGGCATCTGCAAGTGGAAGAAGTGAGAAGAACGAAACACATACACACAATAGTACACCAAGCACACAGCACACTGCACAGGTTGCGCGACAAACAAATCCTGCATTACGTATACGCCCCGTTGCATCTTTGCTTCTTTGCATCTAAATTGGCTCCGGCCCGACTTGCATATCCTTAACCTTCTTACCCAAATCCCAGCCAGGAGCTGTCTCTCTGCCGGCCCATAATCACATAAACAAATACCATAAACAGCCTCAAAAGACTCAAGACTCGAAAGGGTCGCGGGGAGGACATCTCGCCGAGCATTGCATTACGGCGGCTCTATGCAAATGCGTCTTCCACGGCGACGGCGACGGCAGCAAATCGCATGCAAATTGCCACTTGAGCGGTTGCCGCTCGGCTGAAAGGAAACCTGCCGCGGAGGCTGAGGGCCCAGTTTATGCGGTCCGCCTTGCATCGATCTTGGCCAGACTTTAATATCATTAGCATTGCTATTCATTAGCAATAAGAAAATTATAGCAAAAGAGTATTACAGTGATTTACTTGGAACTATGTTATCTTTATAGGAATCCCCTATGCTTCAACTAAAAAAATATTTATTTTGATGAACTGTTTTCAATTCATCATGGTTTCTTTTTGACATATTCATATTCCATGGCTTGAGGGTCTGTGAATGTCATGAATGCTAAATTGCAATCACTCCGCCCGCATAAACAATGGCGATAAGACGCTGCGGCATGTTGATGCCTCGGTTGCAGTGAATGGGCCAAGAGTGCGGATGCGGATGCGGATGCTGAGGGGGATAGCAAGTGCAGCAAGTGCGGACAGTGCGACAGCTGCAGCGGCTCAGATGGGAGCTAAACGAATCAGCAAGCCGGAAGCCCATTCACAGCCACCAGAAGGAGGTCTCCTCCTGATCCTGTTTCTGCCTCCTTCCCCCGTCTGTGTGTGTGTGTGTGACGCCACAAGGAGCGCCGGCAGATGAGGTCAGGATACGGCAGACAGGCCATAAAGTATCAGGCCCAGATTCGATTACATCGCCATGCCATTAGAGAGCCGCAGGCACAGCACTTTGCTGGGCAAACACATCAATGTGTGTTTGGGTGAGTGCAAGTGTGTGCAACTTGTGTATGCGGAGGCCGAGACAGATTGCACTTTGGGCTGCATCCTTGGGGACCTGCAGCCCGTTCGATTGTTGTCCGGACTCGGGACTCAGGACTCAGGACTCGGGACCTCGGACATCTTATCGGGAGCTGCCCGCTCCGGAGCCCCCACCCCAAAACAAACATGTTGAATAGCCCGAAAATCGAAAAGCGGAAAACGAGAACCGAGAATCGAGAATTGAGAAACGAGAATTGAGAAACGAGAGGAAGCCGGAGAGAGAACTCACCACACGGGGCAGCGGTGGCAAGTGCGCAAGTGCGTGGCATGCCACCAGGCACGGCGCTCGGCGCTCACAACAATAGCGTCATCGTAAAACGTTTGCCGTGTTTTGTTGTTACCACTGCCCCAATGTAAGCAGTGTGTGGATTGGCGGCGTTTCTTGGCCCGCAAACACACACACAAGCGCACAAGCGGGTGCCACATGTAAAATAAGGTTAAAATTTGAAATCAATAAAAGTTATTCGACTGATCTAAAATTAGAGCAGGCAACTCAAATAACAACCGAGGCAAATAAATAATAAAGGCAAACACCGCAGCATTGGCACGCGAGGGGCGGCCATAAAAACCCGAAAATCGGAAAACGGAAAGAGCCCAAGAACAACAAAAAAGCTGACAAATCATGCGAGCATTCGAATGCGTTGGGCCTGCCCCAAAACAGCCCGTCCACAGAATCTAATTACGAGTTTCCGAATTGCTTGCCAATCTCCGGGTGATTGATTGATCGACGGGGCGTATGGGTAATGCATGGAGAGACTAAACTAAGCTAAAGTTTGTTATTGGCTACGTTCTATGACTCCAACTAGGTCTAGGCAATCGGGATCTTATGCGAGTATATATACGTATGGGGGGAGCCCTTCTACCGAAGTTACAACAGATACGAACGAAAGATACGGGATACGGGATAGGGAGTTACAGAGTTACAGAGAGAGAACGGCAAAGGCAGGCAAAACAGATTACTCATAACTGATTACGGTTAAATTATGGCGGCTCCTGTTACACAAGGCATACGCACAAATCACAAATCAATATCGCTTACGGTTCACATCACAAATTGAAGTTTTTTGCGTGTCTCTGTGTGTGTGTTTGTGTCTTTGTTGGTGTGGGTGTCGTTACGTATACGTTATGTGGTTAAGTAGCTCACCCGCTTTGCTTAGGCGATGAATTTTGAATGATTTTCCTTAACGAACTGCGGCAAATGAAAAAGTCTCTAATCCGCTGCTGCTGCTTCCTACTCCTCTTCGCGATCCTCCTGCTCCTGCTCCTCGACTTCCGCTTCCGGTTTTCAGAGCCCGCACACACTGACGCACTCGCGCTGCCACTACATGTGTGTGTGGGCGATTTGTTGCTCGGCTTTATGGCCGCTGCCAATGCAATGCTGCTCGTTACTGCAACTGCGACTGCAACTGCGAATGTGTGGGTGGAAGTGGCTATGGCTATGGCTATGGCTATGGCTATGGCTGTTGTGGTCGTTGTCAGGCGGCTCAATGGGCATTTCCGGTTCCGGTCGCTCGGCTAGCTGCTTGCACTAATTTAGTTGATGACACTGGCTTAGTTAGTTTGTTGACTTTCGTGGCGTGCGCTCGCTGGCTGGCTAATTGCGTTTTGTGTATGATTTAAACGGCTTTTGTTTTATGTACATGGCTGTGTGGGAGGATAATTAAACCGCGTGAGTTTCCCAGCTAAACTAATTAAAGTCTCCGTTCTTTGTGTGTGTTCTTGTGTTTTTTTCTGCTCTCGAGTGGTTTCGCTGGCTCGTGCCCAACGAGGATATTTTTTACACTCGCTCCCGCTGACACACATTCGAGGCGCACACACACACCCGCACTCACTTACACACACACACACAGCGGCGGAGAGATAGGGAGTTGAAGAGTGCTCCGCAAAATGGAGTGGAGAGTGTTCTACGCACGAGTTACGCTCACGAACAACGTAAGCTTCGACGTAACGAAGGGGGTTGGAGTGGGAGTGGGAGTGGGGGGTGGGGGGTTGGTGTGGCCAACATTATGCTGGCAGCACCCACCCCGCCCTCTGCCCTCCGCCCTCAGCCGACCGCCCACCGCCCTCCACTTCATTCGCTCGGCTCTAGGCTCTGTTATACAGCTTATGGCTTTTCAAACTTAATGTCTCTTTGTAGGCGTATGCGTGTGAGTGTGTGTGTCAGTGTATCAGTGTGTCCGTGTGGGTGTTCGACCGCAAGTGTGTGTGTATAACTCGCATGGCTTATATGTAGGTTGAAGCAATTTATAATAATTTTTCTGCCTCTGCCCCAATCGATAGGCAGCGTTTAGTGGGCCAGATTACTCCTTTTGATTGACAGTGTGTGCTTGTTCGTGTGCCCCATACACACACACACTCACACACACGAATATATGTACACGGGGTGTATCTTTAATGGTTTCTCGAGTTTGTCACACGATTTGGGCGCTGTAGGCGGCTTTTCGGGCCGCTCGCCTTGGTTTTCGACTCGCTTTTTTGCACTTTTTGCAGGAAATCACTTTTCTGTATCCAGGGAGCAGCCTCTAGCGCAATTGCTGCCACTCACGCACACTCACTCGCCCGCACACACACTCACAGCGATACACACACGCCAACGGGAAACTTATGCATTTTATCGGGGCACTTCGACAGTCAATGGAATTTTCTCGCGATGTTTTTCACTTTTCTCTGCTGCGAATGCAATTAACTTGGATTTTTCTTGGCCTTATACATTTCTCAGCCAGATACATATACTGCGCGAATATATATGTGTGTTTGTGTGTGTGTGTGTGGGCATGCGAGAGTGAGATGGTATTGGTGTTCGTGTGTCTGTTCCTAACCCAAAAATGTATTGTGCGGCAGCTGAGGTGGCCCGTTTTCGGCAACGCCGTTGTCCAACTAACTACCCTCAAAGAACTGAGCGCCGCTCGTGCGAGCCAGTCGCTGATATAGTCGCCGATTCGCTGGCAAGTGGTGAGTTTTCCGACTTTCCCGCCCCTTCCCCTCCACCTCCTCTTTCCCTTCTGTGGTCTAGCTCTAGGAATAGTGAGGTTGCGAGCGAGCGGGAGAGCGCGCGATTGCAATCAATGAATTTTCCTTTCGGCGCTCGCGCAGTTCGCCGACTGCTGGCATTTCGAGTTTGCGGTGCGAGCCAGCCCAATGGATTCCGGAATTCCAATACCAAAATATGGAGCCAGCACATTGCGTTACGCCGGCGGAAAACTGCCCTTACGTACCGCTCTTCATTTCCACCTGGCAATGCTGCGCGCCAACTATTTGAACCGCCCTCAAAGTTGCGCTACGCTTTTTGTGCAGCGCTGCGGATCGTTCGCTAAAAATACTTTTTGGGAAAGTTGCTACGAAAAATAGAATGATGAAAACTGGGATACTGATTTTTCGACAAACAAAATCAATGTTTTGGGCACAACTTGGAAATAAATGGTCAGAAACATGAATGTCATATCTCGTTGAGCTCGTAATGACATTTGCAATCGATTGGCATTCGAGGTTAAACAATTTCATTTTTGACCAATCTTTGCAAAAAATTATGATGCTACCCCTTATCAAAAATTCAGTTTTGGTTTTGACTTATTTTGGAATCTTATACCTTTATAAGCTCGTAATGACATCCCTCATCGATTAGAATTCAAATCCGAAAAATTATATTTTTTGCCAATTTTTGCAAATTTTGACGATGTTACCCCTTATCAAAAAGTGAAAAATGGGCGAAAATTGAGTTTTTCAGAGTCATCCAAAATGTGATTGGGATTGTTAGCTGAGGTCGAAAAATGAAAATATCAGTTAGTCTTTTAGTTGTAAGTCGATTTTTGACCGAGTTATGACAAAAAGACCTCTGGAAAGATACGATATTTTGACTAAAGGGCGACATCACAATTTTTGGGCGAGTGACTCCACCTAGAACTCCGTGTTAGTTTGCAGTCAAAAAAAGGGGCGTTAGGATTAAATCCTGCCTGAACAGTTCTTGTATTTCCTTTTGCTTTTTTCCCCCTATTTCATTAAAAACCCCCATAATTTTGGCACAAACCAACAAATAAATAAGTCTCCTGCACGGCTTGTGTATGTTAAGTTGTTATACTTTATTCTGGAATGTGTCTGTATGGTGGCGTCGTGTGTGTCTGTGGGCATAATACATTCTCGTAATACTTAATTAACGTAGCTCCGATACCAATACCAGCGCCTCCTGGCGGCTCCGTCTATTTACAGGTGAACTCCTCGAAGCTCTCGTCGCACTCGTCGCACTTGACCTCGCAGCACCAGCGGAACTGACAGCGGCACTGCTTCGTCCGCCGGATGTGCTGGGTGTCGTGGCCACGCCCACAGCAGAGCATCTCGCAGCTCTGGGGGCCGTGGCCGGTGCGCTGGCAGCTCCTGCCGGCGGTGCCCAGGCTTCCCGTCTGCAGACTCCGCTCGCAGTAGTTGGGCGACGCCTCCAGGTAGATGAGCTCCAGGCGCTTCGGCCAATCGAGGACCGGTTTCTGGGCGCGGGCGGTGCCGGCATGCTTCTTTCTGCAAACGAAAAAACCAATAAATAATAAATAATACAATAATATACAATACAAGAAATGAAGATATTTCATGATATTTTGCCTCCTGTTTGCATTGCCCCTTCATTGCTTGACTTAGTCATCTGTCTGATCTCACCTGCTTAATACTAATCTCAGTCCACGTTTGCCTTTGACGGCTTGAACAGTTTTGGCTTTTTGATACTTGGTCATCAGCCTGTCGCCGATCAGGCGAAAGGGCGGCAGGCTCTTCCAGCAGGTCTTCATCACGCAGGAGCCGCTGACGCCGTGGCACTTGCAGTCCGTGCGCAGCATCTTCTTGACCAGCTGAGGAGTTGGGTAAAAGGTTAATAATATATATAATGTGGTTGTTAAAATGTTAACACACCGTTCTCCCCGCCCGGTTGTTGTGCAGGTTCATCAGCGTGCGCGCATCCCGCTCCAGTTCGCGGGCGTCCATGAAGCGACGGGCGTACCGCATCCCGAAATCCACGTCCGCCGAGCAGCCGCCCCACTTCCAGGGCTCCTCGGGCGTGGCCCCTCCGGTGGGCGTGGCAGCCCTGTGCCGTACGTCGCAGCCGCAGGTGGAGATGTTGCCGCGGGCACAGGCGGCGGTCACCGCGAACGCCGCTCCGGCACTGGCTATCGCATAGGTGAAAGCGGCCTCACGGGAAGCTGGGGAGGAAAATTGGGTTGGGAATATAAAAAATCAGTAGTGATTACAATACGTTAGGTACAAAATGTCTACCAGTAAAAGAATTCTTTGGGATATAATAAAGGTTGAGAGCTGATTTTAAATATTATGCAAAATGTTTGACTGAAATTATAATGCCCTCTGGCAGGTTATAATAAATCACTTGCAAATCACAAAAAAAGTAAAGGATGAATGTCTTCTCTGAGATTTCTCTGTACGAATATGCTGGAGAAACCCTATTGATTATGCATACCAATTATCACATCAAATCGAAAATCACATTTGAATCTATAATCTGTAAGCACGACCCCTGCGAGGGCGTCTACTTTGCGATCGGTGCATCTCCAACTCCAACTCCAACTCCACCCAAATAACTCACCTGTGGGCATCACATGGGCGAAGACGCTGCGCTGCCACACCTCCGAGCAGTTCCAGCGGTGGCCCCGGAACTGGTGCTGGCACTCCTGGGCGCCCAGCTGGTGGCCCTCGCCCAGGGCGACCAGGGCGTCGGGCATCTCGCGGCACAGGCTCCGCTGGCCGGGCGTCAGGCCCGGGATTCGGCCACAGAGCATGGCGGATGTAAAGCTGGACACTAATCTGACGAGAAGGCAGAGCAAACAGAGCCATAAATAACACCCTGTAGAGCCGCGGTCAATGAATAAACAGATAAACAAACAAACAAGTAACAAACGAATGCCGATCGATCGATCGATCGTTCGATCGAAGGCGAAGGCGATGGCGATGGCGATGGTGATCCGATTGGCAAAGCTGAAAAGCTGAAAAGTCGTGCGCAGCAAAAGCCGCCGGCTCTTTTGGGCTGGCCGAGTGCATTTGCAATGCGACTGCCATTGGAGGCTTCAGTTTCAGCTCCGAGCTACGAGCTCCAAGCCGCCAGCCCGAGCTCCAGATCTCAGCCAATCGAGTCGATTCTGGGGCCAAGATTAATGTGTCTGCCGCACAGGCACAAATTTATTTGTATTTTATTAATCAACTGGATAGGTTGCCCGGGAAATAGGTTGAATTCAAAAGGCATATCGATTTCGCAGTGAGTAAGCAAAGAGATTTGCCGGATTGACTGTTCGGCAACTGTCACTCTGATCTGATGCACTTCCTCCCGGAGATCCGAGATCCATGTTTTCTCCCCGTGTACCTGCGGCAGGTGGCAGGTGGCTGTGGGCTTGGGCGTTGCACTGTCAGCTTAAGTCAAACCCGGCCGCAGCTGTATTATTAGCCATAATTGCACGGAGATGCAGACGGAGCACTCGGAGCAGTCGGAGCACTTGGCCATCCGTCGTGACTCGCTGGAGTGTCTGATCGAGTCGCGTTTGGCGCAGCTCAGCTCCACCTGAGTGGTCGGGTTAAATGGCGCGGCTAATGCTCACAGTCAAAAACGGCAAATGGGATTAATGAGTTTCGACAATGAGTTGCAAATTGCCAATTGGCAATCGCCAATTTCGGATACTTCTTTCCCAGTATCCGCCCAGCCATGCAGCCATCTAGCCATCCAACCATCTAGCCGCCTCCCACTTGGCCCCCAATCGCCACCCACTCCCGCGACGTGTCGAGTCTACCTGTCTACCTGTCGACTTGCGGCTGCCAAGCCAATCAGCATCAAACAGCTGCGGCAATAATCATGCCATCGATCGATCGCCTGCTCGCCTGCTCGCCTTTTGTCCGTGGAGCGGGCCAAGTCGGGAAAGCCAGGCCAACACATCCCCGGGCCAAACAACTGGCGCACGGGTGGGCAACTGCAATATTGAAACACAGATGCAATTGTTGCCCAGTTGCCTGGGTGCACAGGAAACCATGAATGGTTATTAATTTAAAAACAAAAAAATACATAAAATTAGTGCAGCAAACTATGCCCATTTCCTTATTGCCGTTTACTGCTCATATTCACTTGGCCTAACAACCTCAAATGCAGACTTCATTTCTCTGCGTGTGCACAAATCCAAATGGCTTTCGCTGCCCGCCACTCGAGTGTCTCCAACTCCGACTTAAGCTCCAACTTAAACTCCAACTCAGACCGCAGTCGGAGCCCCACAGCTTACGAGGCACTCTTAAACGCAGCAATTAAATCAATTTACAGAAATTACACATTTTACCTGCCGCAGAGGAGCACGAAGACATGAGCTTAAACCCTCGGCGAGACGTCGATTGCTGATGGCTGATGGCTGGTTGCTGATATGCGATCGCTTTCGTTGTTGCTGGCTTGTTGAACACGCTGTTAACATGGCCAAAACTGGGGCCGAGCGTCGACGATCGACGGCGAAATTGGTGGTTAAACTAATAATTAGGCCCGTTTAACAGGGCCGAAAGCAAGGGACCACAAAACCTTCAACTCTGCGGCCGCAGTTGGCCCGAAATACGCGATCGATCTGTCAGCGCATCCGCTCCGCCAGTCCAATCAGTCAACCAGTCAGTCAGTCATCCAGTCAGTCAGTCAGTCATCCAGTCAGTCAGTCAATAGCTTTTACGTGCGTTCGCCCAGCGTGACCGTCAAGCCTCCCGCTCCTCGATAAATATGGCTTGGAGTACTACTCGTACTCGTACTCTGCTCAACAACCAGCCGGCAATCAAGGCGGCCATCTCCATCTCCTGATACCCGCAACCCTTTTGTTTTTAGCTGCTTTATTTAATTTGTCGCTCGGCCCGCCCGTCTGCTGTTTGCCTGTTGCATGTCAACGCCGACAATTTCATCATCGTCATCGCCATTACCAGAACAGATTTCAGCTCCAGACCCGTGCACAGTGAGAAAAACTACTAACAGCAGTTTATTTATTGCTCAAATTGTTAGCTTAGAACAATTCAAGTTCAAATGGTGCAATGATTTATTACCAGTTAGCTTTACCTGCCATTTCTGACAGGTTTAACGTTCAACTGTATTTTGTTTTGTAGAAACTGAAAGTTTTTTCAGCTGATTTATTTCTCCCTGTGCATTCCCGATCCACTCCATGATCTTCAGGCCCTCGAGCAGTCAGAGTCACGTGTGCTTGATTTGCGCTTTGTTTTGGTCCCCTTTTTGTCGTAGTCCTGGAACTGCTCTACCTTTGTATTATCTCCGCTTCTATATCGGGGTTCTGCCGCTTCGTGACCCTTTGTGCTGCGTGAGAGCAAGGACCTGTCATGAACTTGATACCACTTCCGCCTCCGCCACTCACCACATACCATCTACCATCTACCCATATACCATTTACCATCTACCATTTACCATTCCCCAGTGAGCCAAAATAGAGCTGGCACTTGCAAAACGACAAACTAGTTCCATCGACAGTCTTATGGCTTCTGCCGGCCGACAAATTGGTGATTCCTCAGGCACTAATTTGCACAAAAATATTTGCCCCGACAACGCGCACTCATTAAAAATGGATTAAGCCGGGCGCATAATTCAGCTGAAGTCGGAGTCGGAGTCGGAGCTGGAGCTGGAGCGTAGCCACTTTGAGTGGAGTTGGCCACGAGCAGCACACTTTAATATGCAGCCAATATGCAGCCCAAACCAGCAGCAGAAACCACGAGAAATGCCGACTTAATGCGCACTTTGGAGCCTCATAAAAATATGACTTTAATATTTTCACGCGCAGGCGTAGCAGCACAAGCCAACTGGCTATCCACGGTGCCCAATCTCCGATTCCCAATCCCCACTCTCCTGGATCCCCCCGGCTGGGTCCGGGGCCCTGTCATAATTGTGCGAATCTAGTCGGCCAAATAGTTTCGACCCACCGCTGCGAAGGCGGCGCTGTTTGGGCCTCGCTCCTCGGGAAGGGACGCGGCTCTTGACCAGTAGCGCCTCCAATGCAGGCAGATATATATGGCCGGCGCTCCGTCTGGTAATTACATGCCTCGCTGACATGTTCATGGCCCCCTCCCCGGACCACTTGGCCCCTCCTTCGCCGAACGGGCAAGCGCCAATTGGAGGCGGAAGCAACAAAGGCGCTTTAATCCGGCCAAAACAATGCGTTGGTCCGGGGAACAATGTTCGTGGCCGGGTCCCTCGATTCCTCCATCCCCCAATCCCTCCGTTTTGGGGGCATTTGAAAGTTTTGTGTGCGCTGATAAAACAGCCGCTCTACAGCTCCACAGCTCCACAGTGCTACAGCTGCATGTAAAGTGGGCGGGGCTGGGAGGAGTGGTCGCGGTGGGAGCGGACAAACCGAAAACCCATAAAGGCTGTTCAACATGCCATCAATAAAACACAAATATTCCAATGGGGCGGAGGCAGAAGAAGAACGAGGAAGAGAGGAGCAGTGGAGCAATGGAGCGGAGCTGACCATGGTCATGGCCAAGAAAAATGTCGCTGCCACGCTCAGACAAACGGCCAGCAACAATTGCCGGCCATCCTGGCCACAAAAACGACGACGTAATTGACCAGAGAAAGACATATGTACGAGCACCGCGAGAAACGGGGGGGTGAGAAGTTTTCAAGAAAAGTTTTTAGCAGTCTCTGGCTTTAATGGTGGATTTCGTTATTTTATTATAGCTCTTAAGCTTTGTGATTGCGCTGTAAATGCACACTCAATGTTTATTCAGGTTGAGCTTCGGCTGCAACTATTTTTCCAAGACTCCTGCACTTTGAGTAAACAGTAACCAATCCCTCTGTTTACTCAGCTCTCTTTCGCTCAGTGTACGCTCGCCGCGTCCATGTAACAGGTAAAAGCCAAAACGGATCGTTCGTCATGGACAATTGGCAGAGACCAAGTGGTCGAATGGCCACTCAGGCAGTTAGCCAGTTGGCCAACCGCACTCGCACTCGCCCTTGCCATCCCAATCCCCATTCCCATTCCCATTCCCATTGCCATCCCCATTCCCATCTGAATCCCATCACGCCCTGGCAAACAGATCAGCGCAGATAGTTTTGTTTGGGCTTTGAGCTTTGCAGTCGATCACTCATCCATGGCCGCAGAAAAGTGGTAAGAACCGAGTGGTAAGAGCGGCAACAATGCGAGTGGCTGGCTGGCCAGCAGGCCGCGGATTCTTCGGCCACCGCGCCGACGGCTCCCGCGCAGAGATTTCGCAGGTTGGCCTGGGAAACAGCCAACTTGCACTGCCAACTGCCAACTCTGGCTCTGGCAACAGACAACTGGCAAGAGTTTAGGCCATTTGGGGCTTGTAAATGCAGCCACAACTGGCGCAGAGTGATCTTGATCGCAATTTGAGCGTTTGTCTGCACGTTCATGCGTTCCAATTGTCCATGTACGAGCACGAGCACGAGATGCTCTGGAGGAGATGGGTTGGAGGAGGCAGCTGGTTTCCTGCCTCGAAATTGCAGTAACCTCAATTACACGAGCCGAGCATTTCTGGGTTAAGACCCTTCGAAGGTTTTCTTTTCGGGTTCAGTTCTGCCCACAAGACCAGCCCACTGGCGAGAAGAGCAGGAAGAACCAGAAAGGAGGCTAAGTTGGGAAGTCAGAGGTCCAAATACTCTTTCACTTGCTTGAAATAATTATCCATGAATTGGAGATAATTCAAATATTGTAACTAGTAAACTAGTTAAGTATTAAACAGAAGGGAAGACATATGTTGACCCACATCGATATCTCCTTTCGAACTTCCTAATGAAGTTGTAGTACCCTCTGCTAGAGTGCAGAAAGAAGCACAGAAAGTGGAGGGGGGAAAACACGGCGTATCTTCGAGATACACTCAAGTTATTGCAACTGCAACTGCATCGGGGCAATTAGATAGCAGTCGAAACACACACACACACACATACACACACACAGAGACGCGGAGACACGGAGGCAACGTTGATGAGTTTATGGCAAAAATTGATTTCCAGTTGTCGTTGCCCCGCCCACTGCCCACCGACCGCCGCCCCAATCGGATTTTAGCCGCGGCTCTTAGCTTTTAGCTGCTCCTCGCTACAAATGAGAAACCGCTGTCTTTCTGTCCCCTACCATAACTCTCGATCGGGCGGGCAGCAGCTATATAGAACGAGGCGTTCGCTGAATGGGCGTTCGATAAGGATTTACATACATCGCGCTGTGGCTCCGCAGATAAAATTAGCGATCGTGTCCGGCGATGTGCGCGATATGCCGAAAGGTAACGAAAGAGTTGTCAACTCGTGCAGATCTGTCAGCGATAAAAGAAGCCGAAGGGGAGCCGAGGAGCTGCAGGAAACCCGGGTTTTCCAGGGGAAAAGCGGGGGAAAACCCAACCCAAAAGCGCCCGGGGATCGCGGCTACATAACTGTGCGGCCGTTAAAGTTAATGGGAATTCCGTTTATGGGCTACTATACCTTATTTCCATAATCCAGAGCATGTAGATTAAGAGCTTGTTATGTATTTTCCACATGACGATGCAAATCCGAGGCGCACAACACGAATTCGAGCCCGGCAGCTGGCACTATCATCATATTCTATTCGCACTAAAAGTCTCAATACTCAATGCATTCGAGGCTTAATTTCTCTTCCCTTCCTTTCCTTTTGCTGAGCTTAGCAGTCTCCGGTTTCCGAGGGCCGAGCTCCGTTCCTACCCATAAATCGCAGCCATGGGAGCCAGCTATACGTATATTGGAAGTGAACCGAACGCCTCCGTTGTTATTCCTATTGTTATTGTTATTAATGGGGCGAAAACGCAGACGGCAGCACTCGATACCCGCGAATACGACCAGGCCCGATGAGCGAGTGCCGAAATACAAGCCACTAAATACAAAACACGCGAGCTCTTGTCCATTTGTTCGTATGCTAATTAACACCTTCTGCCTTCTGCCAACTGCTGCTCCGGCCAGCGGCGTTTCAATTAAGTCATCGCGATCGGATCACCAAACAGTTTTCGGCAACGCGTGCGTTTCATTCATGCAAATCTCCGACTCCGACTGACTTGGCCCGGCCATAACTCAGACCCGAACTGCCATCGGCGGCAGCATCATCCATCAGTGGGCATCAGGGGGCGGAGCTGTCCAGCGATCCAGCGGTCCCTCGCCGACGACACGACTTTTTAATTTATGATAAAGCGCCTCCGACTGTCACAACGGAATTGCGGCAATAACCATAAACGGCTCAGCAGGTGAAAACTACCAAAGCACCAAAAAAGAAGAGCAAAGAAGTGCCGCGATGAAGATGCCCCGACTGCCCGACTGGGGAGATCCGAAGACTGGGAATCGTGCAGCGCTTAGACGTCCCGGGTGCGGAGATTAACATAAATGCAGCTCATTAGTGACGCAATTAAAGAGCCGAGCCGCCAAACGGATTGTCCAGGAACCGCGAGATGGTTGGATCGTTTCGGGTTTAGCGAGCGGAGGTTCGGGAGATCGCTCGACCGTCGGCCGCGAGTGTCGTATAAGAACTGAGCGGACCCGAAAAACTATCCCAGCACTAGTCGGTAGTCACCTGGCCAACAAGTTGCAGTTCGATGGGGTTTCAAGTTGAAAGGTTTTTGGAAAATACTTCTGGGGTATTTAAATCCTAAAGAACGGAAGTTCAAGTAAAGATTAACAGCAAACCCAAAGGCTATTAAGTGTAGTCAAGTAATTTAAACCTGATTTTATACTTGTAAGTTTGTCAAAATAGAGAATAATAGAATAATCTCCACTTAGAAAGCCATTAGACAAACAAAAAATAAACTGCAATTATGAAAATCATTTTAAATCAATTTGATGCTCTAAAATTGTAATCAGATAATCGTTGAATATACACTTAACTTTTTAATGAACATTAGTATGGGAAGAATTACGGATCTACATCAATCTAAATCCCCACAACGTTTGAGTTCAAACAGGACAATCCAACTGCAACTCAGGTCGCGACTGAAGTGCGGCAGACATGTTCGCATCGAACATGTTCGACAGCCGAGTTGGTGAGCCCTGTTTGGAGCTGGACCAGCAGGCCAGCTCTCAAGAGACTCCCAACGATGGCCAATAAGCGATCCTGCACGTGACTCGGGCTCTCGGCTGAATGATAATGACGGAGACCTCGATTTGATGGTCGGGCCTTTTTGGGGAAGCAACTTTCATCGGCAATCAAATCAATTATTCGGGTAAAAGTCGTGGCTCCCCCGTCCGCAGAATGCTTGGAGTGGCCGAGGGCAGGGGGTCCTCTGCGGAAACCTGCAAGCTGATCGAATCTTCATGGTCCATGGGATGCGTTCGGCGATTTGTCAGCGTGTCGAACAAAACACAAATCATGTTCATCAAAGTGTGGCTACAAATGTGTGTTTTGTGGCTTTTTTTGCGGCAAATTTATAACTTGTTGCGCCGACGACTCCAGCCCCCAACTGCAGTTTGCAGTTTTACAAATTGTTTTCGAACATTTGTTCAAAGTGATTTATTGTCGGTTATTTACAGTCCGCCTCTTGAGCAGTGGGAAAATTGTTCATTTTTTATTTTGCACGCCACCTCTTCATTCGGTAGCCAGGCGGCCAAGAAGGAGGAATGGCTGAAACCTAAGGCCAGCCAGCCCAGGCAGGCCAGTCTAATGCATTTCTCGGATACGCGTGTCGCCTTAATTGATATGTCATTTATGCTAATTCCTGGCCAGAGAGCAGGAATTCGCTATCTCGACGGCTACAAGATGTGTTTAGTGCAGTTGGAGTCGAGTAGCAGTCGATGGCAGCCTATTAAATGCAATTAAGTTAATTTAAACAGTTTTGTGGAAAGCGATGACAGCCAGCAATAAACAGGTGCCCGCGGCTCTGGCCGGAGAACAATTGAACAACCATTGTTGTTTGCTTGGTTTTAGCCAGACCGAAGTCTGAGTCACTTGGATGACACGACGCTAGTCCCAATAATAGTTGACGTCAATTATCGCCAATTGCCGGAGACGACTGGCTGGGCTAAGTACTCGTTCTTCAATCGGAGCTCAGCCTGACCCAGATTGCGGAGTCAGACTCTTTGCCGGAGTACCGGAGTACACACATTATTGTGTGCCAAGACTTTTAAGTTCCAGGTATGTAATTGCTATACGGCCCCTGCGAAGTCGCTTTATGGCATCCAATCGATTGTTGATTAGCCGCAGCAGCGTGAAAATGTCTATGGCAACATTGTAGCTCCGCTCTCGAGGATGTGGGTGTCTCAGCGGGAGGGGTGTGTAATCAGGCATTGTCTCAATATCTCTGTAATTTACACTTGGGCTTAAAACATATCGGGGTGTTAGCAGAGCACTAAAACGTATTTTTATGTTCCAAAGCAGTTATTAAGGCTTCAATTTGCAATTGGTATTTCCCAACATTTTACAGAATGCCAGTTTTAAGGCCAAGCCATTTATGCCTTTAACTTTTTCTTCAGATTTTGTAACTAAAGAAATCCAAGTTTTTTGTTTAAGTCTTTCGTTTTCCTATTATCGATCTATGATCAGGGAGGGAATAAATAAAATGTTGGTAATCAAATAAAATTTAACAATGGAAAGTTGTGAGTCAAGCCTTTTGTTTTGGTTCTTTTGGTGATTGAAACATTTCACATTTTACTAGTCCAACCCAATTACTGGCTGTAAAATTAGGAGCTGGAAAGCCATTCAGAGTTTTATTGGCTACCTTTGGCCTCTGAATGAATCGGAGCCGGCTTACGCCACTCCAGTGGCAGCGGCACTCAATGACCATAAAATAATGCACAAAACACACAAAAACAAAGCGCTGCCATCAAACAATCGAGAACGGCCCGAAAATTCCACTAAACAACAACTTCGCCGAAAAGCGAAATACAATAAAACCGGAGAGAGGAGAATTGCTTTCGGTGTTTATTGTGGCTGTTGTTGTGGCTGGAAAGCGCTAACGGAGGGCAACGCTTGGTTTCACATTACCCCCAGCTTCCGCTGACAGACCGAATGTCAAGCAGCTAAACAACCGAACAACTAAATAACCAAATAACCAGACAGCCAGCCAGCCAAGCGATCCGGCCCCCGAGGAGCGAGAAAACCGCAGTCGGAAAATGATTTTTGGACCAAGCTGCGATTGCCCATAAACAAGTGTAAATTGAGCTGGAAAAGCGGAAAAGGCAGCTAACGCATCCGATTTCAGGCAGCGGCAAAGGTCGAGAGCAGGCCGATTTATTAACGAGACACTGCGAACGCCTTGGCATTTTGCATTGTGCTCGTAATTACGAAACAACGCAGCCAGCAGATACAGATGCATCTCCGTCCACGCCCCATTAGCTCATCCTCCTCCTCATAACCATCCTCACCCCGGCGCGCAGCAAGTGTTAATTGAGCCGAAACAGAAAAAAAAGGTGGAAGGGAAAACTGGGAGAAAGGAAATGCCCGCTGACCCGAGCAGCTGGAGGTTTCCTTTCGTATTTTTGTTACCTGAAGACACTTTCCTTGGCCGATAGGGTTAGCGCTAAGCGCTAAGGACCGTCCATTGATAATGACTGGCGCCAGCTGGCTGGCGGCTCACTTAGACAAATTGATTACTAATTGGTTTGTCAGGTCGGCAAGAAGAAAAAGATAGCCGGAGCAACTCAAGGACCAAGCGCTAAAGTGTTGAATTAAACTTTATTGGATGTAATTACAATTTTACAGAAACTGGAAAGTCGTTTTACAATATATATATATAACTCTATGTTTTTTTGTGGTTGGGTGTATCAGTGTCTGTGTCTGTACATATATAATACGTTGATTTGTTAAACATTCTTTAGTTTGCGGATATATGTGTATAGTTCATGCTAAGTATCCCGTACAAGTAAGGTATAATATTTAAAAAGATTAAACTCTAGGCATATTTCGCTTAAAAGTTTAGTTAACAGTTTCATATCCGTTCCTATTTGCTGGTCTACTAAGCCTTAAGTCGGAAACAAACAGTTCAATCGCTGAATTTAGGACTCTGGGGGCAAATCGGATGGTTAGTTAGCTAGTTGAAGTTGAAGAAGAATGCTTGCTTCGTACATGCGCCGCACTTAGAAGTTCTATTAGGACGAAGAGGTGTAAATTATCTAACAGATATGTGGTTACCAATTATCCAATTACGTTTACATTAGCTATAATAGTTTCGTATTATTTACTTTCGTTAGATATCAACAATTTGGTGTTGCGTTAGAATAAGTTCAGTTGTTGAAGGAAAAAGTTCGAACAAAACTAGGCCGGGGAATTGCCCTACGATCGCAGACACCGCCACTTCGATATGGACACTTATGTGAGTCCGTTCTAGGTATTTATAATTTTTTGTTAGATTAAGTTTAGTTTTAGTGCCAATTGGCTTAAGGTACTTAAGTTTTCTCTGCCTTTTGGCCTCCCTCTATCTAAAAAGACTCCTTCCATTAAAACACACTCAGGTTGCTACTTTGAGGTTTATAAATTGTGTGTTGTGTGTTGTGTGTTGTGTGTGTGTGTGTGTCTGGGTGTTCTTTGTGAGCCAGAGCATGTCTTGTGTGTAGTATGTGCAAATATTGCAATTAATTGGATTTAGTATTCAGCTGGTACATGTCTAACACCCTGCCTAAACAGTTAACAAAATTGATTGCAATTCTTAAGTCAGTTGAGTAGTGAAATCGTATTTAGTCTTCATTTCGAATCAGTTGATCAGATTTATACATAGTTAAGTTAGAGCAAAATGCAATCAAAGTTCGTAGAGTAATAATAGTGCGAATTAAGTATAATAGTTCGTAGTTAAATAGTTAACAATGTGATAGATCCTAATCCCACCCTCCTCAACAGTAGCTTCTGCTTCTGGTTGTGACAATCATCGTCGCGTAAAGTCAACTTACAGCCCGTTTGCACATCGCACTTTGCAGGTTCTACACTCTCGCACTTGGAGTTGCTCTATTTTGCACTTGGGTTCTTGTGAGTTTGGTATTTGTGGTTTGGGCCTGCTAGAGGTAAGAGTCCCGATCCCGTGTGCAGGACACAGGATTCGAGCTGGTGTATGTACATCCGTCGTCCAACTGTCGCCTGTGTTCTGTTTTATTAATTCGAACTTGAACGATCCTTTGAAAGAGTTTCTCGAATTGTCGATCGAGTATCGGCTCCTTCTATATTATATATTTTGTATATTTGTAAGTATATATGTTCTTGTTGGTATGTTATGAAAGCTAACAATGTGGACGGACAAAAATAATTTACAAAAATTCATTTATTGTTACATTTAGTTTAAAAACTTTTCTCTCTTGTATGTTTGGTTTTTGGCTGTGACTTCAAGCAGTTAAGATTGACTGGCGCGGTCAATCAGTTAATCAGTTGGGGAAGCAGCAGCAGAAAGTCGGAAACTCCAGGCTCTGGATCCTCCACCTCTCTTCTGGCTGACCGCCCACAAATTTGTGGTGAAACATGATCCACTCTTTTGATTTCTTCTATCATTAGCTAAGCTTAGTCTAGGTAGTCAGATAAGTTAAGACTTAGTATTAAGTACTTTCGTATTAGAAATTAGAATAGGGTTTTCTTTCTTTGAAACATGATAGATTGGTAGCTGCTGCGCACTATCTGATTTTAGAAATCAACAACAACTTGGACTTTCTGTGGAGTCTTATGCTTAAGCCTAAGGAGCAGTTAGCAACTAGTTAGGATCGAGGATTAATGCTTATTTGGATTTGCTTTAGAGACAAGCTTAGTCGCATCGCAGAGCTTGGTAGTACTTTAAAATAGACTAGAATTCAGTTAGTTAGGCAATATCTATATACAAATGTAACTATATAGAGGCATACACATGCATAATATTGGTTTAAATAGTATGTATATAATATGTATATATTGCAGGCTACGTTTTCACTACAATTGGAGTTAAAAAGTTTTCAAAGGCTTCGGTAATAAGTTCTTTCGAGTTGACAAATGGAAAAATTGTGTTCTTATCATCTCCCTGGAGTTCGATCTTTAGTTAAGATTAGGTTTAAGTAATACCATAAAAGAGCATTAACCTAAGCTACTTTCACTTCCAAAAACGACATCTGTTTCTATCCATAGGGTCCTAAAGTTCGTTAGGCAAATGAATCAAGGTGCCGGTAGTTGCTACTAATTCAGATTGTGTGTGGTTTGTGTTATAGAGAGTTTGAAACAAAGTTCCACTACAGAGGTGCTTGGGATTGTTTTTCCAAATCGGAACAAATACGAAAGTAGAAAGTTTCACTCGGTTGTTAAAGCTATTCATAAATTCTTATGGAACCGTGCAGCGTGTTCCTATCTTAAAAGTTCACTCAGTTGACCCTCACTGATTGGATTGCATTTGGTGTAGATTGTTGTTGTTGTTCGCATTGTTGATGCCACTGATCGGCGCAGAAATGCTGTGAAGGAAAGCCATTCATTAGTTTGCAGTCAGTAAGGAAACCGAAAGAGGGGCTCGTCTTACCTATTTTCGGGGCACACCAACATTTCCTGCTGCCCTTGAAACTGCAAGTTTTGAAGGTATTCCACCCTGCGTTGGTGCACCAGCTTCTCTTTTTCGGCTCGCTCTTTCTGTAGTCTGTGGGTAGGAGAAAAGTAGGTTTTAAACAAGATAGTTGAAGATATCAAAAGTTTAGTAAATCAAACTAGAGTTAGGTAAAACCGAACCAAAACTATACACACGTTCTTACCAAAGTCGTCAAATTGGCATCCCAAATGCTTGCGTGCAATTACATTTCCCATGAGTTAGCTTAGTGTTAGGTTAATCCCAATAAGTCGGATCAATTGGCGGTACTTACTTGATGCGTGATTGTCTCATAAACTGTTGTATTTTTCTGGCAGCCTGATTTTGGGTGGACTGAGAATAGGTTCGCCTGGAGATGCATTTCGGATTAGTAAGTGAATGCAGACAAAAAGAAAAGCTCTTCCACTCACTTCAGAGGCCCCGAGGGACTGGTTTCCTTGGGAGTGCTGGGCTGGGAGCCCATCTCGTGCAGCTGCTGCTGGTCCTGCTTGTAGTGGTCGTAGAAGCTGGACAGGCACTGCGAGTTGCTGCTCACGCTGCCGTGGTCACTGGAGCTGCCCAGGCCCAAGCCGCTCTTCTTGAACCGCTTGTTCCGTCGATAGGAGCGGTAGCCGTGCTGGATGACCAGGGCGGCGTTCGTCATCTGCCGGTAGTAGGCGTACTGCTTGTACCGCCGGTAGTAGTTCTGGATCACGGTGGCCGCGCTCCGCTCCTTGTTCTGCTCCTCCAGCTTCTGGCGGCCCTTGTACGAGCGGTAGGCCTTCTGGATGCACTTGGCCGCCTCGTACAGCTCCCGCTGCTCCGTGTCCGTGAGCGTGAGCTTGGAGAAGTCCGCCTCGAAGGGGTACTGCGAGATGCTGGAGGCGTGCAGGAACTCCGTCAACTGCTTGGTGGACGGCGGGGGACTGGGTGAGCTGACCGAGGGGTCCGTGCCCAGGATCGAGTAGCTGGCGGGCGACTGCAGGGGCCCCGAGCTGGCCGGGCTCAGGCTGGAGCAGGGCGTGCTGACGTCGTGGTAGCGATAGCTGTGGTCGTGGAAGTCGAAGCTGAAGTCGCTGTCGAAATGGGTGTTCGGCAGCGAGTCGAGCAGCGGGTCCATGAAGCTGTCCGTCAGCGCCGATGACTCCGAAGTAAGGGGTTCTGTTAGGGGGCTGCCCAGCACCATCATTTCATCGGCTTCGTTCTGGAGAAGAATAAAGTAGTTACAGAAAAAGTTATAGGTAAATTCCTTATAACTGCTTACCTTAATCCTTTCCGGCATGGCGGCTATTATGTGTTCGGCTAGTGTCAGCACTTTGGCATCCGAATCCCCTGAAAGCAGGCGAGAGAGTTTACAAAACTAGTTCCACCACAAACGCTCATACAAATACATGGCAAACGAGTCTACATAATTGAGTTGGACACTTTGATGTACAGATTTACAGATTTAGTTTCATAGCTATAATTTAATTTGTCATTTAGGCTCAACTAGTCAGTCAAAAGATGCGATTGAGCTTAAATCGAGCAAGCTACGTTAATGACTCTCCAAATTGATCACGATAAACAAGGTCGTTGGACACGGATAATTATTATTGTATCATACACCGACAAGCATCGGCCTTTGTGTTCAGAGTGTTCAGCTAGCTATTTACATACACCTCGGATTCATATTTACAACGATCAATTCGCGGCTGATTAGGCGGCGAGTGTTTGTTAGTCAAAATTAGTAATCGGTTAAATGTAGACATCGATAAAAGCGCCCATTTGGGACGCACAACCAGCAACCAATATTAACAACGAACATTTACATTGATTAAACGAGCACCCCGCCCCTCCCCAAATACACATGAGTACATATAACAACAAACAGCAATAGCAACAACAACATCAACAACATCGATAGCCAGCCCCATATGTTAGTTAGTGTGTTACGGTAGCTACGGTACGGATTACGGGTGAGGTGGTTCGGGTTGTTCGGGTGGACAGATTGAGACTGGATTGGATTGGTTTGGATTGAGAGTGGAGCTGGGCAGGTCCGCCTGCCTTCACTGACCTACAACGGCATCGGGCAGGGCCAAGTCGTTGCCAATGGTCACGTCGGTCGCGCTCGTGGAGTTGTCGTCGCAATCGATGTCTTTGTCGTGCACGGGACTCGATTCGCCCGTGGACACCTCGCCTGGTTTGAATTTACCAAGAAAGTTTGAGCATTTTGTGATTGCATAATGTCTAAGCTAGGAGTAGGGTCATGCAACAGCCGATCCCCACACTTACAGAGGGCAAAGTCCATCTTGCGCAGCGGCGACAGCAGGCAGTTCGTCCCGGTCAGCGAGTCCAGCGGCGAGTCAACGCCCAGGGCATAATTGTCATGGCTCTCGAAGTTGCTAGAGAGGTTAGAGATTTAGATTAGAGGAAGAGTCGAAAGGGTTCGTTCGGAATAGCAACCTGTGAAGCCGGGCCAGCGGTTTGCCGGATTTGCTGCGAATGTCCATGTTGATGCCACTGTCAATCGAGGAGCGTTTGGAGTACCGACTGCCGTTATTCGGGGGACTCTGATTGCTGTGGATGGAAGTTAAGGAGAGTAGTAACCAGTAATAAACTTGACAGTAATTTGAATCACCCTACCTGAGCACAGCAACAGGTCGCAGAAAAACGCCATCGTGCTTGCGTTGGAGCTCCAAGTCAAAGCCACTGAAGCTCTGGTGCTGCTCCACCTCCGTCTCCGCCTCCAAGCCCATGTTCATAGAGAGGTTGGCCAGGCCGCCGCGCAACTGTGGCTTCCGGCAGCGCTCCTTCTCCAGGCGATACATCTGCGCCAGCAGGTGCTTGTGACCCCGCATGCTGGCCAAGTCGAGGGGCGTCTGCTGTGCCTGCGTCTTGATCTTCAGCGCGTTGTGGTTCCACTTGTACAGCAGAAGCGAGCACTCTACATGGCCTCGCACGCACGCCCAGGCGAGTGGGGTGAAGCCATAGACATCCTGGCTCAGGGCGTCCAGCTCCGTTTCGAGAATGATATGTGGGTTCTCCGAGCGCCAGTTCAGCATGGCGCCCACCAGCTTAGCGTAGCCCAAGGCGGCGGCCAGATGGAGCAGGGTCATGCCCCGCAGGCCCACCGTCCAGGAGGCCACTGTGCTGGGCATGCTCCAGGCGTGCTTGATCAGCCTGTGGCAATAGGCCACCAGCTTCTCCTCAAAGTTCGGCTCCAGATAGAGAGCGGTGTGATCGGTCTGGAAAATCAACCAAGCAATCATAAGTGAATTACAAACCTATTATATAAAACACATTCTGTACGCACCGTGAGCTCCTGCTCCTGCTCGGTCTTCACCTGCAGCTTCTCGTCGATGGTGGAGAGGCGGTTGAGCAGCGTGAACTTGTACAGACAGTCGTTGGAGCTGCTGGCGTCGAAGGGAGCGTCCGCCAGCAGCGACAGCTTGTACTCGAACATCACGGAGTTGGAGACGAGCAGACCGCTGCAAGCCACCTGCAGGGTCACGAAGCCCGCCTCGTGGGCGGGGCAGTAGCAGCGGAGGACTCCCTCCTGCACCAGCTGCGTGGGCACGGGCTGGGCGTCGAACAGCACCGTGTAGGCGCCACCGTTGGCGGACGTCCAGGGTCCGGCCACCAGCACCTTCACGCCCCCCTCCGTGTATGACCACTCGGGGCTGAAGTCGCATATGTTCAACACCTTGCGGGGCTGCGAGGGCGCCGCCTCCCCCAAAAAGGAGCCCTGCTCCAGGGCGGTGTTGTTCAGGGCCTGCTTGTCGTCCAGGTCCAGCTCGGGGAACTCCACGAGCATGTCGAAGGCGTCCAGGTTGGCGAACACGTCGTCCGTTTCGTCCTCCTCCACCTCCGCTTCGGGGTCGGGCTTCTTCTCCGCCTCCTGCTGGCTGCTCTTGGGCTTGCTGCTGCCCGCGGACATCGCCGCACCGGGTGCCGCTGCTCCGGCTGCTGCCGCGTTGTACGGCATGTTGGCGATCAGGGTGCGCTGGATGTCCTCGTGCGAGAGGTCCAGGGTCTCGTTGAAGAAGCTCAGCGCCTCCGCCTGGGGCTCCTCCTCGCTGCTGCTGCTGCTGCTCTGGCTGCTGTGCTGGTTGTTGCCGCCGAAGCTGCTGCTCTCGTCGCTGATCTGGCTGCTGTTGTCGCTGGAAGCACTGAAGGTGGCACAACCGTTCTGGTTCTGGTTTTGGTTTTGGTTTAGGGGCTGAGCCAGCGCCTGGCTCCTGACGAGGGCTTCTGCGGCCTGATTGTTGAGCGGGGTGCCCTCCTGCTGGCGAATAAGTTTCATTTTAATCAACATAAACACAATGCTTGCAGGCGATTTGCGGTTGCACTCACCTCAGAGGGCGCACTGGCGCTCATTAAATTATCACAAGGTGCTGCCGTCGCCGTCGTTGTAATTTGTTGCTGCTGATTGCCATCGATAATCGATTGTAAGGAACTCGAGGTGGACGAGGTGCCCGACGTGGGCGTGCACATGGAGATGGACGAGGCTGAGACTGAGGCTGAGGGTGTGGGCGTGGGCATGGGAGTGGATGTGGGCGTGGACAGGGAGGGGGCGTTGTTGCCAGCGGAAGACGTTGCAGTGGTGGACGACTGGCTGCTGCTCCGGTGCTCGGGCGACATGCACATGGCCTCCACGGGGGGTTGGGGTTGGGCCAGGGAAAGGGGTGCCACTTGCGCCAGAGGGGGTGGCTGACCACTGCTCGGGGTTGCCGTTGTCTGTTGCAATTTATAATAATGTTGCTGTTGCTGTTGTTGCTGCTGCTGCTGGCTGCTGTTGTTGCTGTTGCTGGAAGCATTGAGTTGCTGCTGTTGATTGTACATAAAGTTATTGTTGCCGGTGTCGTTACTATTTACGACATTTAATTCGTTGTTTGTTTGGGCTGCTAATTGCTTGCTGGCATTGCTGCTGCTGCCACTGCCTCCACTGCTGCTGGAGCTCGTGATTTTGTTTGCGGTCATGTGGCTTTGGTTTTCAATTAGTTCCGTGTCCATAACACTCGAGGCGGCCGATGCAGTCGTCGCAGGATCTCTGGCAGTGGCCGTGATCGTTGTGTTGGCTATCTGCAGCCTGTGCTGCTGGTTCAGGTGCACCGAATTCTGGCTCTGGCTGGCAACGAATCGCTGCAGGCTCAGCTGCTGCTGCTGTTGTTGCTGATGGTACTGCTGCTGCTGCTGCTGCTGCTGCTGCTGCTGCTGTTGGTGTTGCTGCTGCTGCTGCATCACCAGATTACTCCTTGCTGCCAGCATCTGACTGGCTCCTCGGTACTGCTGCTGCTGCTGCTGTTGCTGCTGGTAGCTCCCTTCCTGCTGCTGGTGTTGCTGCTGCGGCGGAATGATCTGGAACTTGATGGCCGACTCCTGCGGCAGCTGCTGCGTGACGTTGTGGAACTGGCCGTGGTTGTCGAGGTGCTGCCGCGGCCGCTCCGCCCACCGGGAGTAGAGCTTGCTGGCCACCACCACGTTGGGCGTGTTCCCGTTGAAGGGCTCGCCCAGCCGCTTCTCCTGCACCGAGGCCTTCAGCATGGCGCCCGACCGCCGCATCACGGGGTGCGTGCAGCTCTTCCCGTCCGCACATCCGCCGTCGCCGCAGCCGCAGTCCAGCTGCTTGACCAGCGCAGCCTGGCGGGACAATCGCTGCTTCTCCATCAGCTGGCACACAATGGACTCCACCGTCTCCGCCGTCTGGGCAGGAAAACCAAGTGAGATTACTCTTGGCTTCGTTTTATCTAGCTCTGCACTCACCGATATTTCAATGTCGTTGCCCGAGTCGGAGTCATCATCCGAATTGACTGTGGAGACTAAGGAACGAATAAGAATAATGATAATAAGGTTAGTGGGAATGAACCTTAATTCCTCAAAGAAATGAACTATAAAACTTTTGAGCATTTAAAACTTTTTTTTTAGAAACAATACTTAAAATGTAGACCTACGCATTGGTTTCAGCTGGCTGACCAGCTCCTCCTTGGTCCACTCCTTCTTGTCGCCCCAGAGAGTGATGCTGGGCGCAATCACGGCCATTTTATTATCATCCGGATACGGGACGTTCAGGTAGTGCACCAAAACAATGTCCGGATTCTGTTGGCAGGAGGAGGGGAAGTGCTCCCGGGATTAGAGTGGGTTAGGCGGAAGGGAGATGGCCGACTTACCTGCAGCAGCCAGTAACATCTGCGATGAAATGTGGGCAATATGGCCGAGTGTACGTAACAACCATAGATGCACTGTGGAAAGGCGGAAGGAATCGAACGAAATTCAATTTATCAACCCGGCAACACAAACAAGAGCATAAAAAAGGGCTAAAATCCGGGGAATCCCGCTCCAGGCTCCACTCACTCCACCGCACGCAGCACACTTTCCCCCGTGGAGAGAAATCCATTTAATTGGAAAACATAAAAACGAAGAGCTAGTGGATCCCAAATTAAATTACCAACCGCCCACGCCAGGGGGCGCCACTCGGTCCTGGTAAGTGCCAAAAATCAGGACTCAAACCCCAACTCAAACCCAAACTGAAAGTCGAAGCGAAAGGCCAACGAATCGAAACGGAAGAGCTGAGGAAAAGGGTTTCCCCGACTTATAAAGCATCTCGCTGCGCATTTTTCTTGTTCTCAAGACTTTTTTCCCCCCTTTTTTTCCGTCTTAGTTTATTTTTTGGGAATTTCTTCTACCCGCTGATAAATTTGTTGGCTCTCGTTGGCCGCGATATGCCGCTGACTTCTTCAGCTTCGCCTGGCACTTCCTTTGCACTATCTGCCTCGTTTGGGCCCAGTTATCATGTAAGGAGACGGCACCCCGCCTGCGCTGCCAACTGCATAAATCTTCGCCGGCCACGTTCGCTGGCGAATGTATTAAAATAAAAATTAAAATAAAAACAAACGGCGGGGCGACTGTGGAAAAAATTGGCGTGAAATTGCCAAATGTTTTTATGTTTCTGTAATGGCTTGGTGGGGGGACAGATACTCCATCCGACCGACCGACAGACAGACATTATAAATAAGCTTAACCCTTGGCAAGGCTTATTTCATTAGCAGGCAGCGGCGACGTTGCACACATCCTTGAGCAAACACTTGCCACGGACGGAATGCCCGGAAAAAAACGGGGAGAGCACCGTCAGTTTCTGTCAACTTCCGGCGGGAAATCATAACTCACCCGAAGGAACCCCCATACGGTCAAGAGCGAACAGAAAAAGATAGCAGGGAGCCCCAAGAAAGTCCAGGCAGTTTAAGCCATTTCTTTTTAGCTCCCTGACAAATGATGGCAATGGCTGGAAAACGATTCGGACTAATTGCCTAATTGTGCAGCCAGGAATGGCCCTTGACCAGAAAAAAAAGGAACAGGAAGAACTCACCTCAGTGCCTTGTACTTTCAGTTTCATGTGATCCTCGCGCGTGGTCTTGCCATCCTTGCGCTTCTTCCAGCAGTAGCCATCGCGTCTGTAGCGCACCTTCTTCCTGGAGTAGAGCAGCAGCGATCCGCTCTTGGGTCTAAAATAAGGTAATACAGAGTCAGTTTATACAAGCTATCAAGGGAAACTGCATAGGAGATCATTGAGTTAGGAACTAGTAGTACATTAAATCTTAAATTGCTTTTAATTATTATGGTCGTGTGACTCACCTGGTTCGAACCTCCTTGGACTGCCACTCGCCGTGCTTATCAAAGCTGATAAGAATCGCAGCGATTTCCTGGAACACATAAACAGAACCCATATTAGATTCTCGAATATTTGCATACCAAATACATCTTGGGGAGAATATTCGCAGATAGCGCGGACGGCCTTCACTGGGGGCTTATCATCGCTGCGACACTGGAAAAGTTATTTCCCATCCTCCATCACTTCTTCATCGCTTCCCCAGCTCCCCCGCCGAGCTGGGCTAACTGACCTTAACTAACGTGCTAACAATTTCCGGACTTAATGGCCAACGGCTCCGCTGCCCAGTCACGGAACTCGCGGCATTTCCTCCGCCAAAAGCTGGAGCGGCGGCATTTCTGCGCCATAAAACAAAGGAAAGCATTTTAGAAATTTCATTTGACCGCAAAGCGGACACCACCACCGAAAAAACGGGGCCAGAGGCGGTGGCCGTGTGTTAACCACAATTTACAGGTGTCGCCGGCAGTTGACACTTAACCAAGTTGGTGGCCCGAAGGCTAGAAACCAGCGCAGACGCATCCCGAGTGCAATTTGTGTGCATATTTGAAGTGCCCTGTCACCGAGGAATACATCCTACGAGCGGCGGAGAAGCTCCAAAAGCGATTCGAATGCAAATCACACAAAGCCAGCGAAAGTTCACAAGGAATTCGCTCGATTTAGACATTTCATTGCATGTTTTGCCGATAAAGTTATCAATTTGTTTGCTTCCTTGACGTCGCATGAATAATGCAAAGAGGCCATCCATCCACTCGGGCATCCCCAGCTGTGCAGCCAGCAGCCAACAGCCATCTAGATGTGCCTCAGCCTGGGGCAGATATCGCAGCATTTGCGAGTGTCATAAAAATTGTATATCGGAATAGGAAGCGGGTTGAGCAAATCACAGGCGCGTGTTTGTCAAGTGGCAAACGTTTGCATTTTGCAAAATTGCCCCTGACTTGGCTGTTTCGCCGAGGAGCTGAGGAGCTGGAAAGCTGGAGAGCTGAAGAGCATATGGAAGGACATATGGAAAGATGGATATGCGGATGGATGGACGGATGGCTGTTGCTAACTTATGCATGGCCCGGGCGACCTACTCCAAGCCCCTCCCCCTCGCCTCATGATGAATTCCAGGCACATACCACGCGGGGCGAGGCATTAAGAATTTATGCCCACCTCGGCGCACAGCCCGCTCCCTTTTCTATGGGCGTGGTCCTAGGCAAGCGTTCCTTCAACACTTTCACCCGGCCGAACGCCGGATCAATCGTATAGGAAGTTTATAGATTTAGCTTGATAGATCTGTTTAGGTTTGCAAACCGTTTCTACTATGTTACATTTCCTTGAAACAAACAGCAGGGTCTAATTTAAGGCACGCCACTTAATCATTTCCAGCCAAGTGGTCCTTTTGCCGACCAACGCAGAACGGCCAGTTCGGGTCACCCAGAAAACGAATGGGCCGCAAAAATTATACATAAAATGCGACTCATTATCAATTTAACTTTTTGATTTTTAAGCTGCGCCTTTTGCGACCACGCGGACACACACGGTCGACTGTCCGTGTTGCTATTATTTTGCAGTTGCTTTATGAGCTGGGTCGAGGGCTCTGGCCCCCGGCTACTGCTTAAATGCCAAATTAAAACCATGTGGTCAGGCGGCAGTCCCAGGATCGCCATGCCACCTCGCCGTGCCCCCATCTGCCCGGTTTTCCCTGTAAGCAGACTAAAATAAGCGTGCGTAATTTTATTTATGCCCCGTGCACGGCTACATTTTGTAATTTTTGCATGCTGATGCAGGGGAGATTCTGTGGGTAGTTCGGCTCGGGAGTCCTGCTGCTGGATGTAAGGTTCTTCCCTTTTCAGTTGGTTAACTTTGTTTTAATCAACCAGGAGATTCCCTTTCTGGTGCAGGAGTTCCCCAACCACATATTCAGATATTGTAAATTTCATTTTAAATTAGGTAGCAAAGGAATCCGTTAAACTGTTTTTCTAGGAAATCGTTTTTTCTTTTGTCTCCCATTTCTGTTTAAGTTAGTCAGCTATAGTCAACGATAGTGTGTACAAAGCCGCTCTTCGGATAACTCCACCCGTAGCCCCAAAAAAACCCCTCCAGTTTGAACTTTACAACTGTCCAAATGAATATTTGCGGTTGCGCTTAATTCACAAGTAAAACAACAGGCGAGCTCGTTGCGAAGAATCTCCGCTGTTTTTGTTTTCTCATTTGCCGCGAGTGAAAACTTTTATTGCAAACCGAACGGGATCCCGGGAAAAATAGTCCAGTGGCAGGGGAAAACGCGGAAGCGAACTTTTCGGCGACGCGTGGTCAGGTTTTTAAGAGCGGGTCCCGAGCAGATCCCGAAGTCCTAGTTTGCTGGTGTTTGCATTATAGTTTGTGGCGCAATAAAAACGCCGCGGAGCCTCCTAATGGACTGGCCACCATCTCATTAATCTGCATATAGACCCTCACAAGTGTGTGGCGCCCCAGGGAAGAGGGGAGAAGCCGTCGCCGAAGGCTGTCAAAGTGTCCTGGCGAAGGACTGGCAGGCTCATCCGCCTGTCAACTGTCCAAGGGCCGCCGAAGTCGTCGACTTCCTCCGGCTTTCACTCGTCGACTCCCCCGTTTCGACAATTTTATGTGCAATCAAATGCAAATAGAACACAAATACGAACTCAAATACAAACCCAAGCAGAAACGGAAAAAGCAAACAGAAATACCAACTTAGAACTAAAACTGACCTCATTTGTATTCCAACGATGGCGCTGTGATGGAAAACTGTCGGCTCTTGGCAGGCTCTCCAAATTGTCGGGCAGCTTGATGGGTTCGCCATCTGTAAGCGGGCAAAAAGAAGTTGATGTAAGTGCACCGAAAGCGCAAGTCGGGAAATCAATTTCGCATATCTCAACCCACTCGGAAAACCCTTTCCACTTTTCACTTACCACTTACCACCCCACCCGACACCCAATACCCAACAGGTGCAACTGTCGGACATTCATAAATGCGACAAAAATGTAAATCAGCTTAGAGCGATGATTTATAGTTCGGCCCACAAAAAATAAAGGAGGGGGAAAAAAAAGGGGGAAGCCTCCGAGGAAAGAAATCCCATAATGTCAACCTTAATAAACGAGTCTGTGCACTTATCCATTTATCAAGCCGATCCTCGGCATTAGCTCGCAGAATGCGTGGCAAACTTTTCGGTTTTGAGTCATTGAATAATTACCCACACTCAATGGAGCTTGCAACGTAAATCGAACCAACTTTCGGTTTATTAAAACGCCTCGCCACGCAACTCGCGAGGGTAAATAAACTTGCGGCCGAACTGTAATTTAGCAAAATGTGTAATAAAAGCGGACACATCTACGCGACATCTACGCTCCCCCCTCCGCTGCCCACTCGTCGTATATCAAAGAGCCAATAGGTTGCACTCGAAGAGCCATAAAAAGTATTTGTACACAATTTATATAAAGTGCTCGGAGCGGAGCGACTTCGCTGCCAGTTCGCCAGTTCGCCAATTCGCCAGTCGCAGTAAAGGCCGCGTAACCGAAATGTGTTGCCAAATTGCAAATGCCAGACGTTTGCTGGCGGAAGGGGTGCTTCTTCGGGGGGTTCGGGGGAGGGAAGGGGCGGGGCGGAGCAGACAGTGCGTGGGGTTGGGCTGGCCGACCTCGGAGGAGAGGTGAGCACACACGACCAGGGATGAGCTAGGGATTTCATGATCACACTCTCCACTCAATAAATTGGGTGTATAAATAATAATAAATACAGCAGATGTAAGCTTGAAGTACATTTCGGATGAAGACTTTTCACCGAATTCCAGATTCAAAGAAAATGATTTGTTAGCAAACAAAAATGCAGCTCGAACCCCTCTATAGTTTTATTAAAGAAGTAATACCAATATTGAAACCAAAAATATGACAAAGAACCATCCTCGATAGAGAATAAATTCCTCGGAATCACGCACGCATCCCTGGCGAGGCAAGGACTCCCAGGACCCCCGCACCACACTTCGCTCGCAATGATGACGTTGATGTAGTTACTTTTTCAGGGCGTTGTTGTAGTGGCAGTTGAAGTTGTTTATGCGATTTTTATATGGCTCACGTTTTGGCAGAGGACACACTCTCGAAAGGCGGAAGGAAGGACGATTGTGCAGGGGGGCACATCGGTTGAATCGGCGACGAATTGCTTGCTTTGATCGCACTCTCCACTTTTATGGCCAAACTAATTTGTCATCGCTGCCTTGAGGCGGCACTCACCCCGCGGACTCGGTGGGGAAATGTTCGAGCGATAATTGTCAAAAATGTCGAAACAATCGGAGCACCTTGCCCCCTCCAGACAGCCCTGCACCTGCCTATTTATAATGCAGTTGCTGCCATTGTTGTCAAAAGTGAGAGGGGTGCGGTGCGGGGGGAATAACTCTGTTTGATTAATACAAATAAAAAGTTTTTTAACTGCTCTCTGCATATTTCATGGCGAAGAGCTTCAAAAACTGACGTTGCCCGCCATCATAATAGACTCGCGAAAAAGGGCGGCCGAAAGCGAAGGCCCAGCAGCCGGGACTGCCAAAAAAATCAAAAGGAGGCAACCGCAGGTGAGGGGGTTGCAAGTGGGAAAGGAGGGAAGAAGGGAGGGGCGGGGCGGGGGTACCGAGGTCCCATGTCGCCAATGTCGATGGCGACGTCAACGTGGCAGAAGTTTTCGCTTTTCTTTTATTTTTCCGGCGGTTTGCCTTGCCCCAACTTTAACAGGTAAGCGGTGACCCCTCCGTGATTTTATCCGCCGCTTAATTGTGACAAATGCGCTTTGGTACACACGATTTTCTCGTAATTTGCCCGAAGAATTTAAGCAGCAGCAGCAGCAGCCGTTAAGCTCTGGGGAAGGAGAGGAAAGGGAAGGGAGGCGGTTTCGGTTTTGGTTTTGGGTTCCGGCGGTAACCTCGGCCATGTCCCTCGAATTGACACGGCAAATAGCACAAAAGAGTTGATATAAATAATAAATTTCCGTTTTATGAACCCCATCTAGGTGGACCGACTGAGTCGCCGCGAGAGCTGCCAATTTGAGCTGCCTGCCAAATTGTGGCTAATAAATATCTCACCGAAAAATGCCAACATGGGAGGACAGCCTGGGTGGGCAGCCGCAGCCGCCGCTCCTCGGCTCCTATAAAACATACAAAAGAAAAATTGTTTTCCACTTTGGCCGCCGACGTCGCCGAAAAGTCAGCTAGTGTGAAATTACTTTTGTTCAGTTACACACTCTTGCCACAATTAAAAGCCATTAAAGTGTCTCGCAAATAGCTACAAAACAACTGCGAGGCGGAGACCATAGAATGAAAAAGGCCGCTACGCAATTCTTTATCGCTGAAGAAACGGTGAAATAAATATCGCCGTGGTCGGATTTTGGAGATAACGCATGATGACGTCTCTGAGGAGAAATAGCTGCTGAAAGCACAGACCAATAATAAATAGAGATAGCCGAAGAGGCCAGAGCAGACGTCATGGTTGGGACCAGTAGCCAAGAAAGGCGAAGTAAAAGTCTTAAAGATAGCGAGCACAAATATTTAAGAGCTTAGCAAGACTGGGTAATCGAAAGGCTAACATGTTATCACAACCGACAAAGTGACGAATATTACTCATAGAAGCGGTAATAGTTTGCGATTTCTCCTCGAAATACTTTTCCCAAGTGCTGATCAGTACTCCCTTTGGGAGCCAAGATTGTTTAGGAGACGTCACTGCCAACCAGATACAAGACTCTGGCTCCCCGCAAAGCAAAGTCCTCATAACTGACAGATGTGCGGATGATTTATGGGGCGAGCAAACCGAAAACAAACACAACGCTCCGCACGTTGCGGCTGATAAAAATCACATTTTGGCAAACGGCAACGGCAACGACCACTTACTACTAAGTCACTCGCTTTGCATTTCCCGGCTGTTGTGGCACTGCAAGGAAACATTTCTCATCCAGTTTTGCATATTTCGCCCCGGCGAGCGGCAAGAACAGCAATTAAAAGACACATAACAGCAAATATGCATGTCAGGCGCGACGGGGCCAAACAATAATTAGCCCAAAAGCGGCAGAAAAATGCAATTTCACCTCAAATGAGGAGTATTTGCGAAAGTCATGGGAGCGGCGGAAACACAAAACACAGAACAGAACTGAGCACAACTGCGATTAACATAAAAATGCAACAAATGGGGCGAAACGGGAGGTCTGAAAGTCATAAAAGTCCTATTAATGAATGAAATCTAAACAGAAATACGGCGAAACAAAGCCAAAGCCAACAAAAGTTTGCAAAAATGTTATAAATTATTTACAAGTTATGGTCGCGCGGGGGGAAGGGGAATCGGAGGGGTTTAGCTCACATTGTCATCGTCTTTTGTGTCTGCGGGCAATGCAATTACGTGCGGATTTCATTACTTTTCCCCGTTTCGCCAAGGTAATAGTGTTCTTTGTGTGGGCAATGTACATTTTTCAAAGTATATACATATTTAGAAAACAGATTAGAAAGTGGGAACTTAACGTTTATTGTGGTTCAACAGAGGAACTTTAACAGTTTTCAGGCCTTCCCTTTGCTACAAAACTAAGGGACTTCGATAAGTGTATCCCCTTTATTAGCTTAACCCTCTTTGTTTTCCTCAAGGAGGGTGGCCCTCGTGGCTTAAGAACCTTGGCATAAGCCGCGAATAGAGTGGAATAAAAGGTTGCCTTCCTTGTGTCTGATTTGCTGACAGGAGGGCAAAGGACGAGGGGAGACACTCGGTTAGGCTGCCTGCAAATTATATTAATATCGGGGCTCTTCATATCATATATTTTTTCCGGATTCACTTCACATTTTTTCGCCGCGCCTCGGCTTGCATGCAACGTTTGTGTAAGTCTCCCCGATCCCGACTCCTTTTTCGGTTTTTCGGTTTGTTTGAGTATATTAAAAATACTTTTTTCTACGTAACTGCAGGGGGGAAAGGGGAAAAGCGGGCTAAGCGAGAGCTGTAATTTATTTTAATGCCGGGTATTTATCATGATACACATACGTTTCTCAGGCTGCAAAAAATGTTATTTCTATACGGACATTTTCGGTAGTTTGTTTTTACATAAATTGTAAATTAAACATTTAAAGTGCCATGAAATTGGCACCGACTAACTGGCTAAACAGCCCCCAAAACACATGGCCCCCGGTAATGCCGGGCAATGGTTCATTAAAAATACATAAAATCGGAGCACTGTCCATGCCCCAACGCCGGATGACTCGAAAACTAATATTTATCTAACAAAATTAATATGGTTGCACGCCAAATAGAGGCGGCGGGTGGCGTGCGGCGTGTGGCGGGCGGGGACCGAAAACTGTTTGTCCAACCAGAAACAAACGACCGAATGTAGCACAATTTTCGGCAACGCATCCCACCGACCGGAGGCCAAAATCCTTTGGAGCGATAAGCCAAATAAATAACGCAGGACCAACACGGAGGTTGCAGAGGCAGGCGGACAGAGGCAGCATCATGCAACAACATCGGGCGTCGGTCGCATTGTTCAATAAATCTATTTGGCCCCTAATCGAAAGCACACAGAGGCGGGGACTCCTCCGCCTTTCCACCTGGAAAAGGCAACAAATTGCCATTGGATAGGCACAAGACCGGAAGCAGCAACAACATATTAATCCGAATTAGCATCAAAGTGATTTAATTGCTTGGAATTTCGGCGTTGGCAAACACTTTTCGACTTTTCGGCCCGCACGGACGCATGGACACTTGTAAACAAGGCCAAAAGGTGCAGCCCCACCTGGCTGCATTTTGTCAGCATTTGGCCATCGATCAGGCTAAACAGGACTCGCATGCACCATATATATCTGCTGCAATTTAAGGTCCTCCGGAGTCGCTTGAAACTCCGGCAGCGAAACGGGCCATAGAAGCGCTCATCCAAAGCCCTTGGCACGATTTATGTGGCTTTTAGTAATATGAGCAAATATATTACGTGACGGATCAGAGCAGGACCTGGCCGAAGGACAACTAATTGAATTGCTGCCGCTGAAAAGGAACAAACTCGAAATTAATAGGCGCACATCAAACACAAAAATGAGCGAAGGCCCAACGCCCACCAGCTGCCGGCGAAATTAAAGGGCCGGCCGTAAAGGCAGGACATTAGGACTTGGCCGAAAGGATAACAAGTGTAGCCAACTGTGCGCGGCATTCGAAGCCTGAGTAATATTTATTGAGTACGTGATCTCCTTCCTGACCAAATCCGAATGTGAGCGAGAGTTTTGAATTTTTTATTGCGCCCCGGGATGGCCGGCACACACCACCAAAAGTGTCCTCCGTATGGGTGTGTGTGTGTCCCGGCAGCTGCCAACTTCTGGCTTCCTTTGGTCGGTCGCCTCTTTGGCATGCAAAAGGCGGACGGCAAAGTGGCTTATTAAAAATTTTGTCAACTTGCGAGTTTGCTCCGGCTCTCTTACTTTTTCATGACTTTTTCACACTCCCTGGCCACATGCATATATTATATATTAGATGAAAGATGCCTGGACTCTCGGCTTACTTTCTAGGAAATGGTTGGGGCTATCTTTCAGTTGTCTTACAACTGGCTTTAAATGCAAAACGTGCTATTAAAGACGATAAGTTCTGCGGGAAGACAACGAACTCCTGGGTGCCACAAAAACCATCCAATTGACTGGGAACAACAATGGCCTCACCCACACAGTCGCAGACCTCCGCACTTGTTGGTTTTGCACAGCCCCAAAAAGTGTGCTACAAAAAATGAGGCGCATAATGAAGCTACTCATAAACGAGGAGTCTCTGTGTGGTGTGCGTGTGGGTGTGTGATGTGTTTACTTGCAGCCGAGTGCAGCCACACCTACACCCACACCTACGCCCACACGTGTGCCCCGAGAAAGCCATTGTTCGTGCCACCTCGCATAAAAAACACTTAAAACGCCGTTAAGTTAAAATAATAAAGTTAAGCGGCCGCCGGGCAGCAACAAAATCTAATGTGACAATGGCCGCACGGCAGCAGCGATTTGAAACAACAAACACAAACAACACAACGAAAGTCGCAACAATCGCTGACATATTTCACAACGTGCAACAAAAGACGAGGAAGAGGCGCAGGTGAGGTGACAAAAAACTAAGCCAGCACAAAAGCTGGAAACGAGTGGAAAAAGACGCCGAATGTTGGGCATATTTTGCATTGTTGCCCACACACACTCACACACGCACAATACCCACACACACACACACAATCACACGGAAGGGAACGGAACGGAGAAAGGCTTTCCTTTGGGCCTCCTTTCGGTGGCCTTTTGTTTCAATTGTCTGTAGTTTAGGTTTTAGGCGTGCGAGCCTCGTTATAGGTAAACGTAACTGTAACTGTAACTGTAACTGGTTACAGCGTGTCCGTACACGAGTCCTTGTGTGTTTCAGTGTGTGCGTGGAGTGTCCTTTGCGAACAATAAACGACTGTCAACGTATGCGCGAGCCACCCGTGCACGCGTCTCTGGAATGGCGTGCGAATTATTGCCCAGGAAGATATGACATAAAATTTAATGAAATGTTCAGAAAATGCTAAACTCCATGTTCTCGGCCCCCATAGTGTGTTTTCCGAAGGGGAGTAACCCGAATGGAAATCGAAATCGCGGCCAAAACACAGTTTAAACTTGAGTGGACTGAGACTGAGTGTTAAAGGGATTGTGAGTGTCAGTTGAAGTGATTTTTGACCGCTTTAAAAGTTCACTACAAACAGAATACAAAGTGTAGAAAACGTAAGCTCAGAACGTGGGTTTCATTCTATACACATAAAACACAAGAACAACATTTAGAGTATGATATTTCTACTGTTCTCCGAGTTTCTCTTCGAATATCTATACATTCGGAGGAAACACTAGCACATTGAGAAGTAAATATGTTAAGTATACACAACATCGATAGGAAAAACACTCGAATAAGTACTGAGCATGCAACACCAATGGAACAACATATCGATGGCTATTGAACGTTGGTAAAGCGATTTCTTCGGAGGCTCTTTAGTCGCGGATCATTGGCAATAACGATTTGACTTTAATTAATCATGTTCTGGTACTGTTTAAAAGGAAAGCAAACAGAATTATGCAATATCCCCCGCAGGATAAGTGCTGAACCGATCACTGATTTCTCCGCTTTACCAACTTCAACAGCCACAGCATCAAAAGACGTTATCCAACCTGGAATCCGACCTCTTTCTATCGACCTGCCACGCCCCTTGGAGGGCGCCGCGGGAGGACATACTTACTGACACTGAGCGGCATGAGGGCGCTCTGCAAGTGGCTGAAGATCTGGCGGTGGTGGTGGTGGTGGCCCAGACTCGCCCCGCTGAAGTACAGGTGGTTCTGGTGCAGCGACAGCTGCTGGTGGTGGTGGTGGTGATGGTGGTGGTGGTGCTGTTGCTGCTGCTGCTGCTGCTGCTGCTGCTGGAGTTGCTGCTGCTGCTGCAGGTGGAGGTGCTGCTGCTGCGCCACCGAGTGCTGCTGGTGGGTCATCAGGTGCTGCATTTCCTTGGACTCTTCCTTGGCGGTGGCCGTGGCTAGAATGTGATGATGGGTGGTGGTTGAGGATCGGTGCTGGCTCTGAACCGTATTCAGGCTGTGGATGGAGGCGTGCACCGCCGACTGATAGATAATACCGTTGTTCGACATCGCCGTCATCGACTGGTGGTGGGCGTAGGCGGCCATCGTGGGCGGCACCCCGCCCATCGTGGGCTGCACCGCCGCCGTGGCGGCCACCGGAGCCAGCGGCAGCGACCTGTAGCCTGCCATGGCTGCACTTTCTCTTTCTACTGTTAACTGTTAACTGTTAATTGTTCACAGATCACCGATCACCGATCACCGGTCACTGATCACTGATCACGGATCACTAGTCACTGCAGGCAGCACAGTTTATGTTGCACCGAAATCGTTTTTGTCCGCCAAGGGCGTCTGATCGCTGGCGGATACGTGAGTTGACTGAGTGGACCGACCGGACCGGAGCGAATTATTTTCAACAATTTTCGTTAGATTTGTAAGTTGAATCGCCTTTTTCTCAGCCATAAATTCGTGGGAGGAGTGGGTTTTAGGCTTAGTTCGGGTTGATAATGTCACTCCGTGATGCTGATAAGTCTGCCGGCTATCTTGACATCTCCTCTTTATGTTCAGCCCGAGTCGTGTGTCAACACACACAGATCTCGGAGCGGGTGGCACTGAAATTTCACTAATTTCCTGGACAGCCTTACAAACTGTGCAAATGTTTAGGTATTTCAGCTATTTGTGTGTGTCTCACTTGGCTTTAGCTATTACAACTGCTGGCACTTCCCCCTCGCGAGCTCTGAAACCTTGAACCACGGTTCAATCTCAATCGAGTTGGCCAAGCCGCGAGGGAGTTTTGCCAGTTGAAGAAAACAATTTGTATATTTAGCCGACTTATCAACTGACAGCTGCCAGCTGAAACTAGACCCAGATAAGCCCAGTCTCGTGTCCCTAAACGGGGTCCAAGAATTTCGTGAATCACAATAGTCAAAAAGTGTTCTTATCTACTTTTCCTTAAAATACATGTCGTACAAGCGAGGCTGTTTACGCTAAGACACCAATTAACAACATCAATCAACCAATAAATCACTACGTACATAACCAAAGAGCACATGTAGTACAAAACACACATAGGGTCCGGATCTTAAGTACACCAATTTAAATTGACCACACAACATCGACAGAAACAACAACAACAACAAGAACGGAAAGCAAACAACAAACAGAGTCGAGGGCTTGAGCAAAGAGTAAACAAATTACATAAACAAATTGAGGCAAATTGGAAGATCCGCGAGCGGGCGAACTGCTCCCGATTAAATCGTGTTTGTGGAAACCTTATTGCCAGATCAACCAGTCGGCCTGCGGACACTTAATGCCGCTGCACGGGCAAATAATGGACTGCTGGACGATTGGACGACTGGAGTATCGGAGTATTGGATTGGCCGTCTTCACGTAAGCATGGCGACGAAGTACGTAGAACGGCACGTAAGCGTGGCTGGATTTTCCGGAGGCCCAAGAGAAAGCCACGTCCGACAGGCTTGGCCAAGGTCTGGAAACTGAAAGCTGAAAGCTGGCGACCGCCAGCGGAAGGCCAGGACACTCGGCTGGCCGACGGGAGCCGAGTCCTGACGCTCGGGCCGGGTTTTTGCGTTTGGGCCCGGATTCGTCGGTTGCCAGCAGTTTGGGCCCAAGCAAGAGCGAGCGAGAGGGCCGACGAGATGATGGATATAGTAGGTGGTGGTGGTGGTGGTGGAAGAGGGCAGCTCCTTAAACACTCGCTAAGTGGGCGGAAGGCTTTATGTGCGGCTCCCGAGATTCGCCTTAAAACTCGAACTTATTTTAATAAGTATCTATCAGCCTTCGAAGCAGGGGTTATCAATATTAATGCAAGACATACGAGTATTCCTATCCTGTAAGTGAAGCACCTCGGCAAGAAACAAACGACATTAGCCTAATTTCGCTGGAATGCCAGAAGCGCTGTGTGGGTTGGTCCACAAAGGCACCTACACTTCTATTGCACAACAGCATTTAGGGGTTGTTCGCCGACCGTTAGAGACCTGCGCAATAGATTAACCCCCTGCCCACCTAAACCGGAGGGGCTCGTCGTCGGCTCCACTTGGTCCTACCCCAAAAGGCAGCGAAACCAAAACAATAACAAGTCCAGGAAGCAAAAACAAAAGCGTGAAAAGCGGAGGGAAAGGCCGGGAATTGCACGTGCCTGGAAAACCTTTGCACACCTTCCGGTGGGCAGTCAACTTGGCGCTGGAATTTTTAATCAACGCGAGGCGCAACTATGCAACATGGACACGGACGCACCTGCGACACACGCCACAATCCTACGGATTTATTTAATATATATTTTATTATAAGTATATTTCTTGGCAAGAAATTAATATTAGGCAAATATTTGGGTTATTGACGGGCAAATTCTTTCACAAAATTTTGAAAATCGCGAAACACAAAATTGGGTTAGCCACCCAAAAATAACTGATGCATTAAATATTTGAAGTGGACAGCCAAGAGAGTCACACTAGGTTTTCAGCACTCTTAAAATATACATCGACTGATTAACGAGCTGATCAGTTAAAACGATTAGAAGAAAAGATTTATTTTTAATTGCTTAGTAAATCAGTTTTTTTCTGTCTTTTTTCTATTTTATGCACCAGTTGCCACACAATTTAACAGTTTGTTTCATCTTATTTTTAATTGCTTAGTAAATCAGTTTTTTTCTGTCTTTTTTTATTTTATGCACCAGTTGCCACACAATTTAACAGTTTATTAAGGTTCATTTAAGTGAATGCGCTGGATATCTGGATATAACGAGATGAGATATTTAATTCTATTTAATTGAGAAATTTAGTTCTCTTTTCGACATCCAGGAGCCATGTAAGCACTGTTAATCTTTGGACTTGTGCTTCTGTCATCTTTGCAGGTGGATACCAAGTTCAAGAGTCTCCACTGTGCTAACTACGACAAGTCTTTTGGCGAAATTATACTGTACAAGATCAAGGCCATCAACCGAGACAGGAACTCGATAAATATTCAATTCAGACAAATAAGGACGATTAATAATGTGCCCGTAAATTATATTTCTTATCATGTCCTTTACATTTTATTATACCCCCTCTAGATGCATTTGGAGCTTTTTAAGCGAGCGAATGGTTGGCGCCCTTTTCTGTACAATATCACATTCAACCTTTGCGATTTTCTGTCCAAGAGGAACAACTTGATAGTGAACCTAGGATTCGAGTATCTCAAGCCGGACATCCCGATAACCAACTACACGTGTCCTTTCAAGGTAAACACACTTCACTAGTACAAGATATAAGCTCCTTGGTTCCATACTTTTTCAGAAAGGAGCTGGAGTTTGACATCAAAAAGTTCAGAGTACGTTTCCCGATAGAAACGGGTGAATACGCTCTGCAGCTGAGTTTCGTTGTCCAGAGGAAAGTCACTTTGACCTTTCAAAGATCGGCAGAGTACTACAACTATCGAGTTTAATAATTATTGCAAGGGCACCTGTTCTTTGTTATTTACGTGGGCAAAAGGACATTAAGTATATGTTAATAAAGTGTATATATACTTTACTGTTGCAAATCAATTTAGCATTAACGCCCTTACAATATTATAATTGGTATAAAGATAATTTGGTAGCTCTCTAAATTGAATATTCCACCGAACTTAGCTAATGAGATTTTAAGCTGTTCTAAAATTTCCATCTGATTCATTTTAGCGTTTAAACCAATTCAGTTTTGCTTTAACTCTACAGTAATCATGTTGGCTGTGTTGATTTTTAGCCTTTTGTTTCTGAATTCGGTTGGGGTGGATGCCAAGTTTAAGAACCTAGTGTGCACAGTGGATAACGATGGGTTTGGGGAATTTCTTCTCTGCAAAATTAATCCTATTAATCGCTATAGGAATTCAATGACTATACACTACAGACAGAAAACGCTCGTTAACAAAATATATGTGAGTTATGGATCCTTTCAATCTGTCCCTTAATAATATGTCCCCAATAAATAACCGCAGTTACGCATAGAGTTCTTTAAGAGGGCTAATGGCTGGCGACCCTTTCTGTACAACTTTACGTTTAACTTGTGCGAGTTTTTAAACCACAAGGACCACTATCTCTTCAGCCTTGTTTACGGCTACGTAATGCCCTATCTCGGCAACAACTACACGTGTCCCCTTAAGGTAAGTTTATAAAGGCAATCCTTCAATTTTATTTCTGTACTCTGTACTTTCAGCCCAATGATGAAGTCCAATGTAATAACTACGAAATGGATTGGGATAATTTTCGCAAACGGTTTCCTGTCGAAACGGGCGAGTACGCCCTCCATATCAGTTTTATCACGCAGAATCAAGTTAAAGTATTGCTAAAGGCAACTTCCGAATACAAGAACTACAGAGAGCACTAGTTGCTGGATTTTTAACAATAAACGTCGATTCACCAGTACTTATCTCTAAGTTTATTGGCATAGAGGACATTCGATATTGTTGTTGGGAAAGGGAGCAGTCCTGACAAGCAGCAAAGGCTTGACAAGACATTAGTTGCATAGCCAAATCTATTAGCCAAAATTACATTTTCAGTGGAATTTCACCGTGGTTGAATGGGCAGGCGGACAAATAATATGTGATTAGAGTTCTAGAATGAAATGCGGCACAGATGGCCAAAGCAAATCAGGGCATGGCAAACACGGATTGAAAGTGGGTAAAAGACCAAAGAAAACAAAACCCAGGACTTTGACACAATAATCAAACGAGGTGTCTGTCCGCTGTGTGTGTGTCTGCAAAGGAAAAACAAGTGGAGGGCTAGGGCGGGCAGTGGGCGTGGCAGGTCAAATTAGGCCCAGTGTTATCTAATTAGCCAGCCACCTACGGCACGACACCGCTCCGCCCGCCCGCCCTCCTTTTGGGCCTGTGTGAAGTGGTGCCAGGCGCCGGCCATCATATTTTGCAATTTAACTCACACGAAAGATTGTTGTCGGCCCTTTTGTCTTCTTTTTCAGTCAGTTTTTTTCACTCACTTCTGGCGCTCACTACGTACATGCTCGTCCTTTTTTTTTTGCACGCGCTCAAGTTTCATAACAACGGAAATGCAAAAGTTTTGTGCAAAACAAAGCGCCAACTTTTTTATTTCTCTTGGCAATTATGTGCTCAAGGCAAGAGACAGGGAAACGGACTCGAATAATGATAATGAAGCACACAAGGCTCGGCCAAAAGGATTTTCGAAGAAAAATGCACAAAAAGTCGAAAGCGAATTGTAACGCTTTTTCAGATTTTTTCGACGGGATTTGCATGCAAAAGTATTTCACGGATCCACATGTGTGTGGGGGTAATTTGTTTAATTTGCCTGCCTTTCGGGCATAAAAAAGTGATAGAAGACCTCGGCGAAAGGCGAATTTCGTGGCTTTATTTCAGCTCTCTATATATCTCTTTTTTTCTGAAGGTTGGCCGCCTTTTAGCTAATGGCCATGGCGAATATGATAGGATAACAGGAAAACAGCACGGTTGCCGAAAAACTAAAGCCAAACTAAATTAAAATATTTTAAATCCGGAGCTGGCAAAGTTTTATCAATAAAATGCAAGCGGGCAAGTCTGTTGGTCTGTTCGTTGATTTTTTCGCTTTGCCTTGCATTTGTTTAACTGCAAATCAGATAGAGATCTCCCAAATGTCTGCATTCGAGACCACACACATGTGCACTTGGTCCGCCGCTCGCTCGGCAATTGAAACATCAGCAATACTTGAGCCTCGCAATAAGCCGGCAACTCGGCAGCCGACACCCCCACAAAACGGGATGTTGCCTCTAGCCATAACTCGAATCTGGCTTAAAAATCACTTAGACACTTCTCGCCTCGTTCTGGCCCGTCAGCAGAATCGCCGGCCAAGACGACACTCATGTATCGAGTGCAATAATCATCCCCACTCCCTCACCCACCACCGGATTCCCGAATGCGACTTTTCTGTGGACCTCAGCAGATTGCCCGTTTCCCAGGGCGTTGCTCGCCAATCGTTTTCCAGTTGTCAACTTGGCTAATCTGCACTTGGATCTCTGAGGAATGGCTTTAACACTTATAAGGCGATGAAAAAATGCGTGGGCAGGACCAAAAAAATACTTAAGGGGACTCTACTCATTTTCAAAGGGTGCGTAAGTTTCCAAATTACATTCTTAAACTGAATTAGAAGGTTATACATCATGCTTTAAGATTTACCAATAGTCTAACACAATTAATTCAAAATTAAAGTAGAAAAAGATTTGCTTGAAGGAAGCTACTCAATTCGCAAAGTTAACCTGCAACTTTCAATTGGACTGAAATGGAATCATTGAAAGTCTTGAGCACTTTACGCCCAAACGAATTGATTTGTTTTCAATTTTTTGTGTTCTTGGGAAGTCATTGGGCCGGACTGGTGGAAACTTTCTGATAACTCGTAACTTGTTACTCAGCACACACAGCGCTAATGAAGACGGCACACAGCCACTCTCCTCGAGTTGGCTGTTTGTTTTGCCCTGCCCCAGAGCAAAACACCGGACACCAGGGAGCAGCCGACTGATTCGGGTGTGAAAATCAATGGCATTCACAGCCGAGTGCAGCTGAGCCCCCGAGGGGGGCGGCCAAGACGCTTCTCGACTTAATTGAATAATTGTTAGGCAGGCCACGTCCGCGAATTCCTGGTAAATCAGCGAAATTTCGAAACTAAACAGCAATAGAAGCCAACCCGAAGCACTGCCCCAAAATAGGCAACAAAGACGGCGTACAAAGCCGAATCTGGCGAACCTTCCGCCAGGAGACTGCGTCAGGCTTTGTTTTCGGTCCCGATGCAAATGCACCTGCAGCAGGAAACACCTGCTGCAAGCCCCGCCAGCAATTTATGCGCCGCATTCGAAATTCGGCGATACCGAATCCTCGAGACTTACCGTTCCCAAGCGGCACATTCGTTTGCGATGTTGTCGATTGTTGCTGCTGCTGCTGCTCGCTTGTCACCGCGCCGGACAATTTATTTGATGTTGTCGTTGTCGTTGTTGCAACAGCACCTGCTGTTGTTGCCGCCGTGGTTGTCGTTGCCTCCAGCTTACTGCCGCCGTTAATGGCCAGAGTGGTGGCGCTCTTTCCCAGCCTCAAGATCGTAGTGGCCGTCGACGCTGTTGCTCCCGTGGACGTTGCCCCTGCGCTCGCTGCTGTTGTTGCTGCCGCCGCCTTGAGCTTGTGCAGCGCCCCTGCCACGCCCTTGGCCGCCTTCGAGGTGCGTGTCACGCTGAGAATACTTGAAGAGGTCAGCCCGTTGCCGCTTGGAGGCGAAGTGGCCATGGAAGAGTTGCTGGCGGAGCTGGTGCCAGTGGAGTTGCGGATGACCAGGATGGACTGCGACTTTTCCAGGCGCTTCAGCGTCTGCAGCACAAAGGGCGACTTGCTGTCGCAGTTGCTCTCGGAACTGAGGCTGCGCGAGGCCTGCAACAGAATGAAACAAATCAGCTACTGTGTAAACACCAAACAAGAAACATTCTTACGTGTTTCAGCATAAAGGGTCGCTCCACCAGCTTTGCTTGTGCGGCATTCTGCTGCTTGGAACGCTCCTGGGCCTTCAGAACGCTCTCCAACTGGCTGGCATTGATGGGCGTTTGCAGAAGGATCGTGTTGCTGCTGGACTCCTTGCTGTTGCCGCTGGCCACAATGGAAATAGTCGAGTTGCTGCTGCTGTTGCTGTTACCGCTGATGCTGCCACCCGAGCTCTGCACAATGGTCTTCCTGGCCACCGTCGTGGCTGTGGGCAGTTGGTTGAGCGTGATGGCCGTGGACGGGTGGCCCTTCTCCTGCTGCTGCTGCTCGCTGAGCAGGCTGAGGATGTCCTGCTTGTTCTGGATGATGATCTGCCCATTCTCGTTGCGCGTGCCGCGCAGCAGGATGATGTTGCTGCCGTTCGTCGGCTGTTGCTGTTGCTGCTGTTGCTGCTGCTGTTGCTTCTTCTGCTGTTGCATGGCCCCGATCTTGAGCTTGGCCGCTCGCAGATTCGTCGTTGTACTGGTTGCTGCTGTAGATTTAGCCGGTTTTGCTTCATTGCTGATTAGCTTGCCACTGCTCTGCGATCGGATTAGTACATTTTTGGAATTTATTTGGCCTAAAAAAAACAAACGATAAAGTCTTAAGTAGCTGGCCTTTGTACACCTGCTTTAAAATCTAGTTGTCGGTTAATATTCTTCTTTTTTGCGTTAAAAACACTTCTTATATATATTTTTTTAATTTATAAAACTTGGGTTGTTTAAGATACATTTTGTTTTGGGTATTGAGAGCACGAGCTTGAATTGAACGTTTGCGGCCCCAAAAAAGCGGACAGCCCCATTGTATGCAGATTCAATGGAAACTTCATGAGCGGCACAAGATTTATGACTCCATCTCGATCGAGTGGCGAAAGCTTTGCATTAGAAGCGCATGTGACAGAGCAGGAGGCGTGGCTCCATTGTTGCACTTTCCCAGAGTCCAAAAAAAGAAAGAGGGGCGACGGGCATTACGTATACGCGGCGTAAGCCTAGAGCGGTCAGTGGCTCGGACACTCTATTTTGTTGGCCAACAATGGGTGGACGGAGACGGGGGCAGCCAAACGCTAAATCAAGCGAAAGACGACATGTTTATGGCAGGGACGAAGGACTACTTAGCCGAGGAACCCCGGCACAAAACGCAATAAAAGTGCAACAAACAAACAGCGAGTTGCCAGCCAAGAAAGGAGGAGAAAGTAGACTTGGGGGTAGATTCAAGGGGGTGAATTTAGGGACTGAGGAACGTGGGGGTCTCTGCCCTGCATGCGTTGCCAAATATAGACTCTCAAGGCTGAAGGCGACACGGAACGTAAAGTGCGCGCCGGAAACATTTCGAAATGTAGCCTAAACACTTGTCCGGCTCCCCTGCTCTTCCACCTCCCACCTCCCTTCTCCCCCTTGCCCTGCCAGCTTTCCTCACCCCCCTCACCATGTGTGTTTGTTTTCGCAAAAACGTGCGGGTCATAATTAGCCGTTGACGCCGCCTTCATTTGGCCGTGCTTCGGGAAAGGCGAACCAGCGGGCCGGAGGAGCGCCACATGCGGCCATCTGACCCCAAGTGGACAAGTGTCTGCGCCCCTTCACCCGCTTTGGAGTGTCTGTGCGGAAAGGTCGCCTGCCGCCAGGCAAAATAGACCGCCCGAATCGGACCAGGATCGGAATAGAATAGGTGGGGCTCGGGCAGTTGGCTGGCCATCCTTTCGGGCGCACATACTTCATTGTAATGTATGGCGGGGCAGCCACAACCCAGGGATTCGGGGATCAGGGGATCGGGGGATCAGGGAGCCGCGTAACACATAAAACACTCTTGGCTGAAGCTTGGCATATTTTTGCGTTCGTCGCGGCTTTTGATGTTCTACGGTCCACGTACTGTGGGGTTAAAATTAATAAACTCTAAGACCTAGGTTTACTTCAAATAACAAACATAATCAACAAATGAGAAAATGCAATGCAGACATGACTAAATGTTTTTTTTAACTTAAGGGGCACAACTAGTGTGAAGTTTTAAAAAAATCCAAAAAATTTTTTTTTCATTTTTCGGTAGATTAAACCTTTAAAAATAACATATTAAAATTTAAAATCTATATCTCAAATAGTTTTTGAGTTATAACAATTTAAAGAGCAGCCGCTCTCATAACAGTGCAAACGATCATTTTATCTTTAAACGCGTTTTTCTCGAAACAGCATTTCCAAATTTGCTGCAGTGATAACTCAAAAACTAGTGATCCGATCACTACCAAATTTTTTTTACATGTTCTTTATATAGTTCTACGTACCATGAACTATCGGATTTTTGATCCGATTAAAAATTGAATTTTGGCAGGCCAAAAACGACCAAAATTTTGGTTAAAATTCGATTTTTTTTTTTTAAACGCTGCCATTTTGTCATTTTTTGATATTTTTTTTTTATCGTAGTTCATGGTATGGAAAATATTATCTAGTTTAATGAGAATTTTTCATTTTTTGATTTCGCCCACGGAGAGGGCCGGAATCACTGCAGCAGTTGAGGCACTTTTTTTTTTAGCGCCGTTGGAGATCGACTATAACTTAAAAAATATTTAACTTTTTTCTTTAAAAATTTTACTATACATTCTTAAAACATGTATAAATATATTCTGAAAATTTGAAAAGAATTGATCAAGTAGTTTTTTTTATAAAAATTCCCAAAAATCACCATTTTTTTAGGCCGTCACACTAGTTGTGCCCCTTAACATTTAAATACAACTTATGATTTCGATTTCCTTCGCACCACAATATTTGAAGTTTGTCCCACTGTGCTGTACCACGTGCTTCGCCCTGTTTGCTAAGCAAAGAGTAAAGGGAGTACACAAGTTTCTGGGTAGCTGAACAAATTGCAAGTCTATTGAATTTTTATTAGAAGCATAAATCAAATGAACGTTAGATATGCCAGCTGGGGAAGGAGTTCGATAAAAACGCCAATAGATTCTGGGCATAGATTGCCACCAAAGGGTTAAGAAAGAGGACAAATCAAAAAGAATAGGCCTTAACAATTCCTAAAGTTCGAATGTTGATAGTTGTCAAATTGATCTGCCTTAACTGATTGTAGTGGTCTAGACTTCATTTGCGCCCATTTTTAATTAATTTTCATTTTTATCAATTGGTTAGATGGTAATTTTTTTTATTTTTTTGTTAAGGTGTAATTATTAATCGAAGAGTAAAATAAAATGTGTGTAATAGCACACAACTTATATCATAATTTATTGTGCTTTTGGGGAAATTTTTAACGAGCTTAATTTAGCTTATCTTATCTATACCACACTCTTTTACTTATGGAAACCAAACAGTAATTTATTTTTAAATCTAGATTAATATATAAAATCATAAATAAAATCAGGGCCCGCGAAGGTTTTTTTCAACGGAGTTGCCATATCCTTGAGAAGCAAGAACAGCTGATCACGACTATAGGAATTTAGAAGAAATAAACTTACTATCATTGAAAGTCAAGTAAATCCATAAAATGATGAAAAATTATTACGTTTTAAGCAATGCCAAAACTAAAGATAATACCAACCCTAGCCACCAATGGGTTAATGGCCCAAAGAAACCCACCAACAACGTGAAAACAAAAAGCAACGCAAAGGGAAGCACAACAAAACAAAAACTAATTGGAAAACCAATATGTTATCAGGTCGAAAATCGGGAGATACGGTCCGTCGCAGATACAAAACATTGATGGCGAAGGGGGGACTGGTGGAGTTAAGGACTACTCACTTTGGAGTTTCAGTGCGGAAGTAGTTGAAGTTGAAGAAGAAGACGAAGTGCTGGTGGAAACATTGGACACATTTTCCATGTGCGCAGCTTTAGCAACCAATTTTAGAATGCGCTACTTTTCCTTGGTTGGCACATTTATTTTATTTTATTGAGAATGCATTTCCATTTTTGCACACCAGCTCGCACACACACGGGCACTCTTACACGCACACAGTGACACGGAAATCGCAGAACTCTGGGATATCGAAAAAAGGTAAACAAAACTTTTTCACTGCCTTTGTGTGGGAAATCCGTAAAGTCTTCCAGCGGATTTTGATGTGTCTCGGCTGGCCGATGCATTAAATGCAATTAAAAATCAATAATATCACCGTTTCACACACGAAATTATTAAAAAAAAACCATAGCGAAAATATTTTGAGTTACTCCAAAACTGTGTGCATGTCAAACTGCGCACAGTGTTGTTAAGTGCAGGGGCCTTATGGGGTCTTTCAGTACTGCTTTCTATCGATGATTAAATCGATAAATGGGAAGTGCCAACTCGCTTACAGGTTTTGTTATCTGGATGGCGCTAATTTCAGACACATTTCAAATTATCATTGAGTGTATTAATATGAAGGAATTTTAGAGTTTTAACATACATATTGTCCACTTTAATATAATTCTTAGTAATTGAGTTTCTAAAGAAAGTTTTCGAGTGAATTACCAACTTTTATGCGCTAGGTAAGTGAAGTGTCATTTTAATTCATATTTATTTTATGGCCTTTTTGATTAGTAGGTTAAGTTCGCCTAATAAATTCCCACTTAACGATTTTTGGGCGAAAAAGGGGAATAAACGACGTATTTACGGTTTAAAGGGGTTGTTAATTTGGTTGTTAAAATTGCACTGGCTCAACTGAATTTTTTTAACTATTATTGTTTAACACACAAATAGACTTTTAAGCCATTCTGTTGTTACCAACACAAACAAATTCGGCCCTTGTCCGCCCCTTTTCTTGATAATTCCCGACATTCGCCAAACTTTCCTTGGATTTTTCCAGCCCCAACACCGCGGCTTTCCGCCCCCGCGCCTTAGGCCAGCGGAAGTCTCGGGCTCTATCAAAATCAACGGGCGGCGAGGCGACTGAAGCGAACACAGAATAATTGCTATAGCTGTGCGCCAGTGCCAGTCAGTGCCAGTTTGAAATCGACGACAACATCAGCAACAAGCATTGCAACAACAGCAGCAACACGGCGATAAGTCGGCTTGTTATTTTATTGTCGCTTTTGTTGCACATTGAAAATAATACACAAAATAATTGAATTACTCGAAATGTGTGCATGCCCGTATGCGTGAGATTGGCGTATGTGTTTCGTGTTTTTATTGGGGGCGTTCAGGGCCCCCCTGATAAGCACTGATCAACAGCTAAACGAGATAAGCGCTGCTCATTTGCATGAACAGTGGAAATCCCCGTGGGTAAACCAGCTTCCAAATAAATTACGTGTATCTCATGGATACTTCCAAGAATAAAGCATTTCGAAATCCATCATTCTAACTTGCATTACTTCCACTCAGTTCCTTAGAATTGACCATAAAATGATTATAGCGTCCAACAAAATCACGCTTAGAAATAAATTATAGGAATGATTTTACTTTTATCTAGGTTTGGATCTAGGTTTGGACTCCTAATATGGAAGCTCGACTGTATTTTCATTAGCAAACTAAAGAGTTTTATTGAGGTTCGACTGTTCTCTATTAAAATGAGGCATGCTCAAAGCAATAAAAATTAAAAGAAGATTGTTTTTAAAATGGCGGCAGTTGTCATCTCATTTTGATTTTACTTCCGAATTTGTAACATAAAATTAATCTTTGCCAATTTAAGATTTAAATTTAATGTCTTGTAAAGCTTATATCCATGCATGCTCGATTTTAGAGTCTTTAAGAACCTTTGATTTTCTCCGATTTCTACAATACTACAAGTGTTTCCCCCTCAACGACATGTGATAAGGAGCGTAATGTGGAAACGTGACTCTCGGTTGGACGGGCATCGGCACGTAAATTATGCTGATGACACCGGCTCCGCACCCAGGCTTAAGTTAAAAGCTCAAAACTCAAATGAGAACTCAAACGATTGCGCTTCCAAATACCAGCACGTTCCTAAGAGCTGCAAAGCAACAAGAATAACTGGCTTCGGCTGCCATTTGATCGCTGCACTCAAATATTTACAATACCATTTAATGTCATTTTGCCTTATAAAACAATGAGTAAAAAAAGTATTTTCTGGTTTCATGCATTTTATTTGGTTAATTGGGCCTTTGAACTCTATTGCGACGATGATGAAAACGACGCCAAGATAAAGTCATGTGCGACGAAACTTGATTTAAGACAAAGGCTCCTAAAGTCCCCGCAGTCCTCCCCTTCACCAAACATCCGCTGTCAACGCCCCTTGCCACGATAACAATTTTAAAGAGACCCCCATTCAAAATGAAATTGTGAATCGTAAAGGCCATTATTACTTGCAAATAAGGGGGCGTTCTGACGCCCCCACAATCAATGCATAAAGAACAATGTTGATTTCTGCAGGGATAAATTAGCAGTATTCTATGTTCGGAAAAAGTCTATTTATCTTTTTGATAAAAGATGATTTGCCCGGCAGTGGGACTCCACGGAACTTGCGGCTTGTATAAAAGTGAATAGTTTTAAAATTCCAATATACGTATATATATTTGTCTTAAAAACAATAACTTTAACCAATAGCAATGAAAATCAAATTCAAATAAATTACCTTTCTCCGAGTATAAGTGTGCACGGGTTACCCTGTCTCTCTGAGGGAAAAATCTCTCAATGAAAAGCCATTCGCAGTTTTCTTTGGCCGGCGGAAAGGAAACTGGTAATAAAGTTGCAGCGGGAGAGGAAAAGCCAATAATAGCCGCAATATTTTCTGTCAGCCACGCAGCGAACAGCCTTTAACTGTAAATAGCCAATTTTGAGCGGGAGAGGAAGGCCGAAACAGGAGCTTATAAGTCAGGGGGAAGAGAGCGAGATCGTTGTTACAGAGAGCGGGTGTGAGAAACAGTATGTGTAGATGGCCACGATACTACAAGAAGAGCACCGTGGACAAAAACGCAAAGTCGGTGGGGTGTGCTAACCACCCACAGTGTCAGCACTGTTTAGGGACTTCCTAATCATCTTCCACCCTTCGAGAAATTCCAACTCTAATTTACTTACATATTTAGTACTTTATGTTCCAAGCCACATCGGTTTCTTTGCAACCTATTAAATATTGTATTACAACTTTCAGTAACTATTTGCGGAATTTAAGCTTTCACGCCAATTTACAACGCTAAATGGCATTTACGTTCCACGGTGCCGAACTTAAACTCCAATTGCAGTTGCCCCACACACTTACAGCGACATGCCTCCTCACGCACACTTCTTTATTTTAAGCCGGTTTTTTTAAGGGGCAGGGGAGGAGTGGGGGAAGGGACTGCAGTCAAAATGTGGCAAAATGCAAAAGGAATATGTGTACTGAAAAAATGCAAGGCATGCAACAAAACAATAGCAACATCACAGTAAAAGCAACAACAGCAGCAACAAATAAAGAAAGCAATAATCAAAATCCTGGTACATTATTATACGCTCGACTTGGGAAACCAGTTTTATTGCAATTTGTATTTGAAGCGGCCAAACAACCCCAGAAATTACGTATCACAAAAATAAATATATTTTTCTCGAAGCTGCTTCTTCTTCGACTTCTGCTGTAAATAAAAACAAAAACTACAGCAAAGATGTCTTTGTTTTTACACCAGGTCGAGATTACAAACACACACACAGGTCCAAACCAGATTACATACACATCCCTGTGAGAGCACTAGGCCCACCTGTTGTAATTATAATTGGCTAAAAGCATTTCGGAGGAGTCCCGAAGCCGTGTATTCTGGCAATTGTGGAAAAATCTTTTTTCTGGCCAAATGTAAAACAATTGAAAAACAACAGGTAAACAATCAAAAAACCCACACATAAACACGCGAATTACTAAGCTGAGGCGGACACATGTTTGTATGGGAGTGGGGCTCCAACCGCAAAAGAGAAAACTACAGGAGATCACCTACGCTGGATCTGGTCGGGTTTTTGAGTGCAGAATTGTGAGTTGCAGTTGCCCTTTGTTAATGTATTAAAATATTTCCCAGCAAAGCATTCAATTTTTTACAATTAAGTCTTAAAATCGATCAAGATCAGATGAAAGGAAGATTCATGCTGTGTAGGGGGCTCAGCTGTTTCCCCCTGGCCGACTACCTGTCGCCTAACTAGTTTTACATCTGTAGCTCTCTCTCTCTCTCTCGCTCTCTCGAAGTGCATCCAAGCCGGAGAGAGACCGACCCGCCGATTCCGACTGGTCGCAATCGAAGCCAGCTCAGTCAGTTTTTTTGTGGGCTCGCGATCGGTAAATCGAAGTAGCGGACCGTGAAGGTGCAGAGGATATTTCACATAGCACACCGTTGTTGTTGTTGCTGCTGCTGCTGTTGTGTTATCTTGTAATTTTGCGCAGTTCAGCTAAAAAAGAGAGAAAGAGAGCTCGCGCGATAAGTAAACCGTTGTTTTTGTAACTCAGCATCCCGCCATTGCTGCTGTTGTGGTTTTTGTTTTCGCCTCGCGTGTAGCCAAAATATAAGAAGTAGTACATTCAGTTGCACTAATTTCTTCAATCAACGACAAGGCATAACGAGTGAAACTAGCGAAAATTGTTTGGCAGGCAGCAAAAGTAAGTGAGCGATTAACTAAGCCTAAAGTCGCGCTTCGAAACGTTATTTTGTGCAGAGTCATTAACGAAAGGCAGGTCAAGAGAGAGGGAGAAAGAGAGAGAGAGAGGGGAAATGAGAGGAAAAACAGCTGGGAGAGCTATAGATCAAGACAGTCTTTGTTAAAAATTTAATGGCACTTAAAAACATTAAAATTACAAATCACCAACCTCTCTTGCTCTAATCTCTGCAATTGTTTATCTCTCTCTGGCGCTCTCTCAAGTGCTTTAGCGAAACGACTTGAAAAAGTTGGAGCCCAGTATTTTGTGGGGTATTCGTTGGCATCTCCCGTCGCGTTCGTTTGTGTTTGGCGCCGAGGCGCTCCAGATATAGCGGTGAATTGTTGTGACTGCTCCTACACATCTTCCTCCTTCTACTTTTAACGGTATGAGTGCGTGCAGAAAAAGGAAATAAAGAAAGCAAAAAGCAAAAGTGCTCAAAAAGAAATTACCACAGTAACCACAGAAATTAACAATTTGTGTGCCAGTGTGTCTAATGAAATCCCATGTTGTGTTTATTATTTCGCTCTGCAACATTCGTGCACAGAAAAAAACGATAATATATATATCAAAGCATTTATTTTTCCCTAAAAAAACGTTTAACAAGTAATATTTTGAACAGTTGTTAGATCCCAGTCTTGGCCACCATAGCCCGAGACTGTTCTCTTACATACTTTTATAAAATCAAAACTAACTGTTTGATAAAGTTAAGCTCCTGGTTTTTTCTGTGTACCTTTAAAAAATCAGTCACGCACAATGGCAAACAAACACGCAAGGTCCGCGTGTCCCAGCTTCTCAGCTTCGGCTTCTGCTAATTATGAAAGTTGAAAAAAACACCGACGCTTTATTTGTTTGTTTTTGTTAGCCTTGTGCAATGCCTTGTGTTGGCCAAACACCTGTTGAATACCGCTTAAAAAGGTCTGCAAAACGGCAAAGAAAGTGTCTGACAAGCATGAAAAGAAAATGCTCATAAACACATGGCAACATTTTAGCCATAAAACAAAATTTCAAAAACCACAAAGTCAGCAAAGAGAGTGAAAATGGAGGACCGAAAATGGTTCAAAATAATTTCACAGTCAGTGCGCAGGTCCAATTGAATTTACATTTCCCCCCTTTTCTGTTTTCTGACCCCTTTTATCCACATGCTCTTACCGCATTTGCATATTTAATGTGTACTTTACGACTTTGTCTAATCGCAGTTGGTAGTAATCTCAGTAACAAGTGTTGGCAGGTTGGCTAATTCCTAGACAAAGGCAGGAAGCCATATAATACTATACTTTCATCTGGATTTCCAAGTTCAAAGCATTTAATATCCTTTAAAAAAATCTTTTAAAAATCACACCATAAAATCTTTTTTTTTATTTATGTCTAAAATTCTTTTTAAAATTGATACATTCATATGTATGGGGACAAAACTTATAAGCTTCCTCTAAAATAGCTGATTGCAGGCTTCCAAGAAATCTATCTGCAAAATTTCTTTAAAGTACAGACATTGAGAAATAGTGTCAAGTTGCTCTGGTCCGCTAATATCAATTTAGGCGATATACATTTTGTACGATCGGGTACGCAGTCTGCATATAAATAATGCGGGAAGGATTGTGGGGGCGGATCCATAAGTGCGATGAGATGCGGAGAATGACTTCCGCGACTTGGCATTAATTTGTTATATTTATGTGTGTGCGTACATATAAGCAGCGACTGGTACCTAAACATACATATGCAAACCGCGGCTTAGTCGTCGACATTATCTTTTGTTCGTCGTTTGAAAAATGTGTGTAGTTGCTCGGGTAATTGCGCACAATTGTCGGGAAACAGGGTGTTTCGGGTCTTGATTTCAGCTTCAAAAGCCAAGCGTTGTGCTATTTTCGAATTTTGTATTTTATAACTCGGCTGTCGTCATCGGCGACGCTTGCCGTTTTTGGCCAATTTAGCTTTCGCTTTTGTGCGATTGCCTAACAAAACCCCCATTCCCAAAGCCCCCATCACTCTCCCCCCTTTTTGGCCAACTCCAAAATAAATCAAACTTATAAAAACACACATGCGAAGGCAAAACAACGAAAAAGAGAGCCAAAACACAGCAGAGCTTCATTAATTTTTTGCAAGATTTTTCTTAATTATGAGACGGCACGAAATGTGAGAATTGCACGAAAGAACTCACAAAAGATCCGTCCCTCACATCATCTCTGTCCGCAAGGTGTGACTGTGATCCGATGTGAGCTCAGCTTAGCTGGGCGACTTTGTTCTAATTTTGGTTTACGTTTTTTTCCCGTTTGTGTGGTTTTTATTTCTGAGAAACTGTTGCCTTATTGTCTTTGCACAATAACGTCTGTTTAGTGCAATCTTACATCCATACAGTGCGTTTCCCAACTGGGGCTTGAAAAAGTGGCTCTAGACAATACATATCACGACCGCCTGAAATATTAATAAACCAAATCAACTATAAGTTTGGCCAAAAATGTGAAATAAGAAAAACAAAATTTAGTTTCTTTTCATTCGTCTACATTCGACATATAAACATTTGTACGTAAGCCTTGCGAAAACCCAAGCCAAACTATAACCAATAAACTACATAACATTTTTCAATTTGGGAGACTGTTCTGAAAACTTTATCGGAATGTTGATGGTTTTTGTACCCAAAAAGAAATCGTTTGAGGTTTTGATTTGATTTTTTGTATAATTACAAGACTGTGTGGATGATTTGTTTATAGAATTCTCTAGGTCCAAGTGCACTGGAGTCGACAGCTGACGGAGGCAACAGGTTTCCCTCCGTGGTGACGCAGATGCCAATGGAATTGGCTTTCATGGACCCGAATCTCCCCCTTCTCGCCATTCGAGCATTCTAGATACTTTGCTGTCCCTCTCTCGGAACACGATTTGCAATTAGCCAAAAGAATACATTCAGATTCAGTGGTTGTATAACGATAATTAGCAGTACAGCGACAGCTGGAATTTGTATGCACATTATATTTTATACTCGAGAGATTCGAGAGGAAAAACCCGACGCCGGGCAAAGTTCAATTCGCAACTCATTTGTCAATTCCGATTCAACTTGCAGCTCCCTCAAACGCTTAAAAACGGCGCCGACAACAACAATGCCTTATCAGCCAGCCAACAGTGGCGGGACGTCTGGGGGCAGCAAGGCGGCGGCCAAAATGGCCCAGCTAAAGTTTTGGAACAAGCAGAACAGCAGCAAGCAGCAGCAGCAGGACAAGGACAAGGACGCCGCCGATGGGGGCAACAACATCTCTGGCGGCGGCACCGGCAGCAGCAGCAACGGCGACTCCAAGAGCGAGGCAAAGAGCGGCAAGCGCAACTGGCTGCATACGCCGGAGCAGCTCATCAGCGGACATGCGGTCTATCTAGTCAAGGTGAGCGATCTGAGGAAAATCACACGACTTGTGACGACCCAATTTATATTGAGTTAGCCTTAAATTATAATTTAAAACCAAACTGACCATCGTTCCATCGTTTCAGTTCTTTGGTAACCTGAGTGTGGACCAGCCTAAAGGAATCGAGGTGGTTAAGGAAGCCATTCGGAAACTGCAGTTCGCCCAGCAGATGAAAAAGGCGGAGACGGGCACTCAGGAGAAGTTCAAAAAGCTGGAGATCACCATCAGCATCAAGGGCGTGGCCATACAGGAGCCACGTACCCACAAGATCCTCCACCAGTTTCCGCTGTACAACATCTCCTATTGTGCGGACGAGAAGGGTGTGAAAAAGTTCTTCAGCTTCATTGCCAAGTCGGTAAAAACGCGGGACGGCAGCGATGCGGCGACAAATGGCCATGCGAACGGAAACGGCGATGGCAGTGCAAAAGTGGAAGAGAGTCACGAGTGCTTTGTGTTTATTTCGAATAAACTGGCCTCGGATATCACGCTGACCATTGGGCAGGCCTTCGATTTGGCCTACAGGTTAGTAGCCTCGCCGTGTTAAATTAATCACTTCAACTTATCAATGCCATTTGTCTCGCTTTCCTCAGGAAATACATGGAAGGCACTGAGAAGACGAATCTTAGCAAGGCGCAGCAGCAGATAAACCACCTGCAGCAAACCGTTAACGTTTACAAGGAGCGCCTGCGCGAAGTTTCTGCCAAATTGCCAAAGGCCGAGCTGGATGCCATGCTCTTCAATCTGGGCATCAAGGACATTCTAGAAGCGCCCGTGACAGAGCAGCAGAACGGGGTTGAGGTGGCCACCGAAGCCCTGAGCAACGGCAAGCTGGGTAGGTTAACAATGTTTTTTTTAATTCCTTATAACTAACTCAATCAACACATTTCAGATGATGACAAGTTGCTGATTGACACCAATTCCACTACCGCATCGACCCACTCGTCGTCACCCAGCTCCTTCTTGCCCATTGTCCCCCCACGGAACAATTTGTCCAGCCAGATCAGTATCGGCGGCAAGAGCAACAGTCAGAAGATGGACGAGCTGCTGCTCAACTCCGATTCCGACAGTGATTTTGATCCGCGTGCGGATGAGATTCAGGACAACGTGAGCAACGGCCGTAATGCGATTAGCAATGATTTGTTCGGCTTTGAGCCGGCCAAGAGTTTTGGGCAGCAGCTTTTTGTCAACAACAATGACCACAAGCTGCAGAATAACAACACGAACAACAGCAGCTTACTGATCACAAGCAATAATAATAGCATTAACAGCAGTGGCTTCTCCAGCGAACTGAACATAACACCACCATTGTGTATGTTTTAAATATTGCATTATTAGTTAGAAATATTATTAACAATTATGTGATTACCGATTACAGTGGCGCCGCCGCCAAAGATTGCTGCTCCCAGACGCCTGAACTCGGTGACAACGGGCAATGGCCTAAATGGCAACACGGACCTTTTCGGCTCGGATCCCTTTGAGATGAACAATGGTCCGGCCATTTTCAAGGTTAGTTTAACAAAAAAAACCACAAGTGACTCAATTTTTGCTAATATGCAATTTCCCCTTCAAAGCAAAACCAGCTGAATCTTGATGACTTCTCGCTGGAGAGCTTGGATCCCTTGCGCAAGTAAAGCGGTGCTATAAAGGCCATTTTCACACTTCAACTTGATTGAATCTAAGGACATCGCGAAAATTGTCCATCGTTTATCCTTCTACGTTTCTCCGTTTCGCATGCATTCCAATCCAATTGCAATTTGATTTATTTAATGTGTATTATTGTTTATATATTGTATTGTATTTATTATCATTGATTTTTGTCGATTTTATATTGCATATTATGATTTCTACTATTATTATAATTACGTTTATTATCTGAGGTCGAGATCTAAAGAACACAACAACCAACTTCAATGCACTTTGTTTAAACGTATCAATTTGTTGATGTAGTTAAATAGTTTAATTGATTGTCGAGAAAAGCAAATGAAAAAATGTTAATAAGTGATATTGTGAAAAACGCTAATGCTAACTAACTGAATGTGAGAAATTTGTATAAAATAATTATAAAGACAACCGGAAGCATATGAATCAATTATTGTATAGAGCCGAAGAAGGAGGAGAATCAAAGCTAAATGAACAATATTTAATGTTATCGATGCAATATAGAGAAATATTATTATTACTATTATTATTGTGTATGTAAAGAATAAAATGTAGTGCCTAAAAGAAAACTATCGCTTGACCTTTAACAATTGCATTATTTATTATCCAACCGTTTTTTTTTTTTCAATAACAACACGATAACTACTCATTACTGCCATGAATACAAATTTGAGTTGCTTGTGATGGTGCTGCCGTTTGGGAATGTTTGCCTAGGACTAGTGATATATCAAGATTTGAGTATCCGAAGGTGGCTTCCTGAAACGTCCTGAATCGTGAACCTGTATAGCGGTTACCAGAGGACTTCCTTTAAGCATCCTGAATAAAGTCACATCGTTTTGGTATGCTGGCCGACAGCTGACGAGCGTTCATATCCGAGCTCTAGAAGATCAGAGAGTTTTTTGAGCTTAGTGGTTACCGCATAATACGATAAATGAAACCAAAGAACTGCAAATGCATCTGGCCGGATACAGTCTTATAAATTCTTTAAAAAACCATATAAATAACGCCAACGATTGGAAAAGTTCTGAAAGAAATCATCAGTGGAGAGAATTTAAGTATAGAAATGGCTAACCGAAAGCAACATAAATTACCACAAACTCTTAGATGGGTTAATAAGTTATATCAGGGAATGAAAAGAAAAGAGGAAATGCAGGTGAAAGTCATAATGCTCAAGGGCTTAACAAAATCCAATAAATTATAAGAAACATCGATTTCGATGTATATGTATCGAAAAAAAACTCAAACATGGGTTGACAAATCAACTAGTTTTGGTGTAGACGTTCCAGTTTATTTGTTTAAAATTGTATTTCTTAACCAATAAATTTAAATAATGTGCTTAAAAAGATAAATGTAATTTAACGTTGCATGCAGTTCGGGCTTTAGCCCAAATAAAATCCACAATTTAAAGCTAATTTCGTAAATGTTTCAAAACATCTGTAAAAGTTAGAGTATGTACGATTTTCGTGTATATATGTGTGTATATATAAATATTTTTGGATTTTAGTTGCTACAAACGTAATTATAAAGCCAAGGGCGCTGCGCCACTCGCTTCCCAACAAAAATTAAAAAGAACTTAAGCCCGCTTTAAAAAGGCCAAAAATGTTTGTGGAATGTCAAATGTTAAATGACAATATTTAAAAGCAGTTTGCGAAAAACAATCGGTTGGGGAAGTTGGGGCACATACAAACAGAACTCGTATTTAACATTAACATGACATTAAACAATAAATAAACACTTTTCACTTGACTGGGTTGCGGGTGTGGGAAGAGGGTTGCTGGCTTGCTGGGATTGGGTTGAATTCAATTGGTGCAGGGTGGCGCAAACTTTTTACACAGCCAGGCGGGTTCGTTTCATTTCCAATCTCATTCTTGCTTTTTTCGTTATGGACTTTCACACGTCTACTGGCTGACAGCGCTCGTCTTCTTCTTCTTAGGGTGCTTTACCTGATTGGACCAGTCACCCGTGGGCACGGTGGCGCGATAGAACTTTGAGCTTGTCTTGTTGAAGATCGGCAGCAATTCGTTGGCCTCGTCGGACAGAGCCTGCAAAGGATTGGTTCATATTGGTTAATAAAATTCGTGGAAAATTTCGTTCTATATGAAGTGTACTGCAAATTACGTTCAATGGTACAGAGTTCGAAAGGACCTTATAGAACGCAATTCCTTCCTTTACTTATTCTATATTTTTCAAATATCATGACCAGATAAGTCATAGAGTAACCAACACACCTTTAGATAAATGATCGCGTCGGTGCCGAATCCCTCACAGGAGAGCAGCACAATGTCACCATGGAAATAGCGGGCGTACAGCCTTGAGATCGGCAGACCATATCCGTAGCCCGCCAGAGGAACCGTGTGCAGATCCGACTTCGAGGGCTGCGGTGCCGTGCTGTACATGTACTTGAAGAGCTGGTCGGTCTGGGAGCGGGGAATGCCGCCGCCCTGGTCAGAGATCTTCACGCAAATGTCTTCTTTGCCTTGGCAGATGGCCACCTTAAGCGGGGGCAGGGTGTCATTGTTGTCATGGTTGTGGTGCTCCACCACCGCTCTCATGGAGTTCTTAAAGAGCTCAAAGAGCATGTAGTACAGGTGCGATGGCACGTACACTGTGCGTATGGGCAGGTTGTCTCCGGGCTCGCTGCTGTGCTGCTGGATCTCCAGCGCCGGACTGGTCAGGTAGTACTGGTCGCACAGGAAGCGGGCGTTCTCATAAGCATCGCGCACCACGTCCGACAGATCGCAGGCGGGGTCGAGGCAACCGATGTGCCGGCCACCCGCGTGGGGATTTCCTCCGAAGAGCAGGGCTTTGGGCAAGAGAAAATACAGTCAGTAAGCAATACACTTGGCTAAAATGCAGGGAACTTACTGTGCTGGTTAATCAGCATTCGAATGCTGATTCGCGACATGTACAGCCTATCCAAAAAGTACTGAATGGAGCTCTCGGTGGGAGCGTCCACTTGGCCCCCCTCGTTCTCCTTCATTTCGATCACTCCCTGAGCCATCGTCTGCACCACGTCGTTGTGCCTGTTTCTAATGAGATCTAAATCGGCCACAAATCTGGAAGGCAACAAACGTAAGTCAGAAATGTAACATTTGGACATCGTCATTCTTACTTTTGCAGATTGTCATGCGTTGGCTCGGCCTTCTCGTACACCAGCACATCCTCGAAACTTTTGACGTACCAGGAGCTCACTTCGCTCACGGACCTCGTGTGCAGAAGGTTGTCTGGCAGGAGGGCGATCTCCTTCATGATATTCGCCAGTCGAACTGGGAGCTCCTTGCGCAGAAAAATGTAGGACTTCTTTTCGCATGCATTTTGACCTGTTTTAAAAAAAATTAAGAATGTGAGTTGTGATTTTGTTATAATAGATCTCCCTAATTTAAAACTAGTTAATTTTTTAGTTTCTAAATATTTGTCTGCTTGATGGTTTAGATTACTTAAACTATTTTCCCGGGGGGCTTATCAATGCAGCTTGCCCCATTCGGCGATCATGAGCTCATGAGTGAAAACCTCGTGGAGACGAACAAGCTAGCCAGAATAAACAACCTTGTCGCACACAGAAGAAAATAATTCTGAAACCCACATAAATTCAATTGGATTAATTATCAGGAGAGCCCACAGTACTTGAGCCAAATATGTACATATCTACATTTGCTGTGTTTGTCTGTTCAGCTTTTGTCTGTACTTTTTATAAACAAGCTAAGTTCAAAGCTCTCGGGCAAATGTGAAATAAATCAACCGCAAAAAACTTTGTCCTCGTCAAGCTTTTGAGTTTGCCTTTGTGTTTGTTATTTTGACGGGTACTTTGTATTTGCCGTCGATTCTCTCAGTGTGTGTGCCTGTGTTTTTTCGGTTTGTTTGTCCAGTCAGCAGTTTCGTAACAAAAAGAAAACCAAGAAACTGATAGCGAGGAATCCACCTTATCGATGAGGCCTCGACCAACCGGTAAAGACACGCCTCCATTTCCAACCATTTCTTTTCGCTAAAAGTTAATGGCGATAATAATCATCAGGAGTCCGAAAAACATCCATGGTTAATTAAAATTCCAGACAACGCAAAAACAAACTAGATATATGTATAAATACGTGGCTATAGCGAGCAAATTGGACTGAAACCGCTTTATGAGTCAATTGTAACGAATTGGCCAAACAAAACAGAATCAATAAAACGAGTTATAAAGCCGAGCAAAAAATACGGAAAGAGAGGCGATAACCTGATGATTCCACTTATAAGAACCTGCCAGAAAACGATCGAAAAAGCTAGAGATCCGAGTTAGAGATATGGATACGGAACGTGAGAGATAGGGGGTCCGAAAACGCCCCTACATGCGCCTCCCTCGTTCAGCCCAACAAAAGTGCCTAGTGGATGACCTCAAAACAAAGCTTTTAATGCTTTGTTTTTGTTTACTTGTTTGCCATTTCAGACCCTCTATTTTCCCCTATCTCTCTCTCTCTCCTCTCTCGCGAAGTATTTGCTTGTTTTGACTGTAGTTGAAAATAAAAAAAAAAAATAAAGAAACCTCCAGACTCGATCGGCCCGTCAGCTGTACACAAAACTCGTCTGGCACTCCAAAACATGTAGACTTTGATGCATTGCTTACTCGTTTGATAAGTCCCACCCTCGCTTTCATCGGCGATAAATTGGCAAAGGCGTTAAGTGTCCTAATCATAAGAGCTATATGCACTTACGAAATTGCCCTGCTATAAAAAGGAAGTTGAGCCACAGATAAGAAAATGTTATTAAAATAAGGACGGGGAAGTAGTCGGACATACTGTTAAGTATTTTTTTGTACTAGATCTAGCAACAATAACAAATATTTCTTCTATAAATCTAACTTTTAACACCAACAAATTTACAAGTATAAATCAAGAGCTAAAGAGCGATAAGAAGTGTTATGGCTATAGAACTTAATGTCGGAACGAGTTGAAGCATATTCAGCTACAACAGTTATGTTTAAATGGCCAAAACTGGTTAAATTGTTTTAAACACAAGTGGAGTCGCCGGCTTATATGCAAAAACTGTTGCGTGCTAGTGAAATTGAAAACTTAGCACCCCACAAATTCAATACTAGAGCTTAGAAACGAAAATTGGATGCGGTTTCAATTCAATCCTCATTATCAGCTTGAGCCATTCAATTGGCAAGGCAGGGTAATGTAGTCGTCAATGGCGCATTAAATTATTTACAACACATGGCACGCAATCAGCTGAATCGGGCCCAGAGAAATGCAATTTCTGCAACGACTCAATTGTCCACTCACTGTGCCAGAGCAATTACATTAGAAAGGGGTATTTTATATATAGAACTACTGACGTCACAGCTCGTCCCTCCTTAAAACCATGACCATCCCCTATTTTCAAAAAGCAGCTGTTCTAGCACGGTAATAGCTCTCTTCTATTGCATCAGATCACTTATTGGCACCCAATTTTTGGAAAATGTTCTCTCAAAGAGTCTTTCGAATATGTATATTTGACTCACATTCGCCCTGTGACAAAAATACGGCGCGTGCGAAAGACTACGTCTTTATTATCGCCGGGCGCTCACTCTTTTTCTGGCCTTTCGTTTCTGTTTTCTGTTTATTTCGGCTAACTGTTGACGTCTGCTGTTTTTCTTTTCTATCCCAAAAGAGGTTCCAAAGTTCAGGTCCAAGCCGTGGGTGAAATGAGGTGACAGCATCTTGGACTTTGCCCGAAACGGTCACGGTGATCTGATCCATGGAAGCTTCCATTATACAATATACATTTGCATTGTCAGACATTGCGTTTTGGCTTCCCTCACCCTCAATATATGTAATTGTTTCTCTTTGTCACAAGAAAAGTTGGCACATGATCAAACTCATAATCAATTCCAAATCGGGCAGCTAAATATATTCATTCGATATTTTCCATTGATATAAAAACTTGGCCTTCAGATATTTGCTCGAAAGTATAATGAGCTCCGCATAAACAATGTAGGTCGCCTTACAAAATAGACTTTATACCAGACTTTATAAATAAGGCCCAACACGCAGACGTGAATTTTAGAACCTTAGGCTTAAAAGCGCTAATCGATAGCTAGTCTGAATCATCACACACTCGGTTGCACGATAGTTTATTAACAGTGTTCCAATCCAATAACAAGTCACATACTCGATAGATATAAACATAATTACTCAAATTTTATGGACCCCAACAAACACAAGAAAAACACAATTAAGTACTGGGTACAGTTTAGTGCAAAACAAAAACGAAAACCAACCTTATCTACGAACCGACATCAAAGTTCAAGTATAGGCAGGTATACATTAGTTATTTGTTTGGTTGGTTCAATGAGGGGTGGCGATTTGGGCGGCTATAAAAGCTTGTAAACTAATTCTGTTGTTTTGTAGCTCATAAATAAAGCCCAAGACTGCTTAAAAAAGGCGATGCACGAGCGCCCTAAAAGGGATAGAAGACAGGCAACAAAGCCTGTTGTTTAAGTCTAAATTTAGATAATAATAGCTCAGCCTCCGGAGGCCAACCTTTCCCACATTTTCCCCTGCTACTTTTCAGCCAAGCCACTTGGCCTGGCTTTGTTTTTGTGCTCACGTCAGTTGCCAGTTTTTCAACTAGAACGTCCTAGAAGTTTTCACTCAAGACTGCTTGTGGCACTGAAAGATTTTAACCCTATATACGTACGAAAATTCTGTGATATTTTTTTTGGATTGATATACCATCTTTGAGTAATCTAAATGCTCAGTATTCGATTATTGGGATAGGGTAAATTCCTGGATTTTGGAATATAGTCAAGAGGGTGGTGGGTTTGACATTGAAACGTCATTGAAGGCCACGTGCCGCCTGTCGGCGCTCAATGAAGTGTGGGCGGAAAGAGAGCTTTCTTGCCCATCCTCATGTTTCATTGACGAAACTTGTTTATGAATTCAAATACGGCCACCTCATAAACAAGTTGAGTTGCTCTAACTTCCGTTTTTGCAACAGGCTGTTGGCTTTTGGAAGGGGTGAAAATAGGGGGCTGAGGAAAATCCAAAGCCAAGCTGAATTGAACTGGGCATTCAATTGTTTATACTGCAATAGTGTGTCTGCCTTTACGCCTCGCTTACCGACCACAGTCTGCGGACACAAAAAAATACAAATGCAAATGCTTAATTGACAATTCAATGAAACGAAATTGGCTATTAGATAGCGGGAATTTTGCGCAGCTTAGCAGTTTAGAAAGATCGGGTTTTTATAAATTAAAATCGAAATTTTAGACTTACTTATATTGCAAGTATCATTTTTCTTGGCCTTCATAAATTATGCAATAACGTACACAAGAGGTGGGTAAATATAAACTTTTTTAATAACATATGAAATGAGTACACTTTTCCAAGACGGTTGTACAATTTTCGAAACCGCTTTATTAGGTAATCTAGAAAATCTTTAGCTGTTTAATTGCTTAATAGCTTTTTGATAAGGCAATTGGAACGGAACCGGCGGTTCAAGAACCTCCTCTAGGTAATTACTCTACCCATTACTCACCAAAGTCCATAAACTGCTTTATCGAGAGGGGCGACGGGTTGAAGCCAGAGTAAAAGTCGAGCATTTTGGCCAAGCTCGCCATCGAGGACGAGGCAGCGGAGAATCGGACTGGAAACAGGCGCATTTTGGCTTATTTTTCTGGTTCGCGGGGGATTACGTTGCTGATTACGATTGCCGGTCTTTGGACCTTATCTTTAACAACTTTTTGCCACTTCAAAATTCCTCTGTATTTATTTGGGGAGCGGCGAAGAAGAAGAGGCTGCCGGTGTCCTTTCGCTCACCTTTGCTTTTATCGCCTTCCCGCGGTTTCTCTCTACGCAGGACGTTGACCGCGCTCTCGCTTTCGTTTGACGAAGGAGGGAAGAATGGGAAACGGAGGGCGGTAGAAACAGCTGGCAACGTCTTAAGAAGCTTGAAAACTCTGGCAGTGCGCTCGAAATAAATCAATGGAGCGTTTTTTAACCATACAAAATTGATAGGAAAAATATATGATTCTTGTTTCAGTTTTGTGTTAGCTCTGTTTCTGGTTGTTGTTGTTTTTGTGTTGAGAGGCGGGGGCGGCGGGGCGCTGGTTTTTCCTCTTCTCCTGGCGCGCCATAAACGTTTCCGATTTGTACGGTATTTGCTGCGTTTTTGTTTTCTATTGTCTCGCGGTTTCCAACTGCAGTTCCTCTTGCGATAATTATAATTGTTGCGCGACTTAGAAGCGAGTGGTTCGGCTTTTATACTGGGAGTGCGATTCTGGGGAACTGGCTCTCCAATCTAAAAACCCAGTGCTTGCATGGCCCAGCTGCTTAAACATCGGTTTCACAAACGATAGTATCGTGATAGTGATTTGGACAAGTTTGTTCACCCACCATAAGTTTCTTGATACAAGATGAAAAATCTTCACCCACTTTTAGAAAACTTACAGCTCACATTTTAAGAAAATTTTAGAAACATATGAAAATATCAACCTTGTGGTGCTTTTGATTACCTTAATTAATTTGTCCGCAGTTATTTAATATGCTCCCTGAAAGAAAAGGCTTTTGCTGGGGCTCCCTAATAGTGCTGGAAAACGTTCGAACCGTCTTAGAAGTCCGGCAACTCCGGATCTAACGAACATTTACGGTCTTTACTAAACTTTTAAACAAGTTTAAATATTTTTCTACAAAAAATCACAAAGTCCCCACAAATCCAGATGAAAACAATTTATAAATGCTGTGAAATTCTAACAAACTAAATGTATTTTAATATGTATAATTTAGTAAAACTACGCGTGTGCGATTTTCTAGAAAAATATACAACAGATTACACAGAAATCCGAAATTCGACACACGGCTTTTCCCCAACAGATTGGTACATAATAATGTAATGTTAACGACTAAAGATTAATGATAGACTTTTTTAGGATGCAGGAAATGTGTTCAGCAGATAGTGCCTCCGTCTCGATCAGCCGACTGGCTCGCGCACACACACGGAATGAAATGCAGCAAAGTATACGGTTGTTTTTGCTTTGGAATAATGTTTAAAAACATACGTCAGCCCGACGCCTTCGTTTCCTTCCTAATAAAATCTGCAGTCCGTCCATTCCAGAGAGTCCCGCTCAGCTTGTCTTCAGTTCTTTACGGAAAAGAGTTGCGCTATCTTAGTGGCGTGGCACTTGAAGAACTCGTATCCCACTTTAGCAGTGCTCTTCAGCGTTCCGATGTTGTTGTGATTGCTGGATGAGTTGGGTGCGGAGGTGGTGGCCCCAGGAACTTCAGCAACCGAGGAGGTCGGGGTCACTGCGGGCTGGTGGTGTCCTCCGCCCACCAGACTGTGCGGGAACATACGCCGCAAAACGTGGTTGAAGCCATTGGAAGCCTTGTTGCCGTTGGACTTAAACCGTTCGATGCCGAAAGCTCGGATAGCCCGCGAGAATCCAAACACCTGCGAGCTGATGTAGGCTCTTCGCACGGCCAGGGTGCTGCCGTCCTTCTGTTCGCTGTAGACGACGATTTCATCGACTTTCTATAAGGAAAAAAGTAAGGCGATATTAATAGTTTTTAATTCATTTCGGAAATCTCAAAATACCGATGTCTTAAAGCCCCTGCAAAAAATATTGTAAAATGGAGGAAACATATTACATCTTAAATTGAAATGCAATTAAATTTCTAAAAGGCAAAGTTTAGAACTTGACACGTTTTTCTAGTCCCTCTCAACACATCAAAACGTATTAATTGTATTTTACTTATCCCCTATAATTTTACGTAAACTAAATAACCCAATTAAAATTTTTAACTTGGCGCTATGACAACTTTTGTAGGTTAAGGACTTTTTCTGTTTGGGACTTAGATCACTCGATGCTACAAACAGCGTTCACGGATCCTAGTAGGTAAGGGACATTTCTGCCATGGTATTTATAATCAGCTAAGGTAATATAGGCCACTATCACTTGCCATTATCTTTGTCATGCCCAGATTCCTGGTGAAAGTGGTGAAGGTCTTTTTAACCGGGTCCAGCACGGAGTCCTCTACAATCTTGACTGGAACATTGTTGTAGAACCGTGCTCCCCATTTGGGCACAGGATTTGTCTTGGAGAGCAGGCGACGGGAAAAGAGCTTGCCGTCGCGCACCTCCCGCTGAATGGTGTCCTCCGTAAGGACGTGAGCGCTGGAGGGATTCGGGTAGCGGTTCCAGTAGGCGACCACCACGTGTTTCCAGCTGTAGTCGAAGACCGTCTCCGTGCGACAGGTGGATGCTGCGACGACCATTGCGAAGGCTGATCAACGAACCCCTCGGCGATTCTAAAAGTGAAAGCCGCCGTGTCCCTGAGCTGAAAAGTGAACCGATAATCAATTGCTCTCGCGTGTTCCTGTCTAAAAATAGCGCCGATCGATGGACGTACCTTCGCAGGGGGTCGATAATCGGAGGCCTTCCGGGTTTCCGAGCTTCAGAGTGCAGTGGTGTGTGTGGACCAATTCACTGGCTCACGTTGATTCAGCTAGCTTGTTTTTGCCCCGAGTTTGGGCGCCTACTGAGAATTTTGTTGTGTAACTGCGTCACAAACTCCGCGCACAGGGTGTCTCGGGCTTGGCTTCACCGATATCTCGCAGTGTGCTCAATCCGTGCCGCGAATCATTTGTTACCTCGTCCTTCAGTGCCCCCTTCTCCTAGTTATCCACTGTTTCATCGTTTAATTCTGCGCGATTTTAGCCAATTCGGGTCCAATTAACGCCTGTTCAAAGGCCATCCGGAAACATCTGCTGCCAGTGTTGCCAGATGTTCCCAATCGAAAATATACCAAAAGCGCACCCCTTTCGATAAAATCAAATATTATTTTCCTTTTAAAGCTTTTCGTCAGTCTAAAAACTACTATTTTGTAAAAAAGATTGAAAAAAAATTGTAAAAATTCTGTTTTCAATACACAACAAATGTAAAAATAAAAAGGTTATAAGAATGAAGGACACTTCATTTCAAAAAATAATTGTCTGCACTAAAATTTTGTCAAACAGCAAATTATAGTTTTAAACCACCGCGCCTTGGTGTTGCCAGATAGTTTTTGCTACTGGTCGAAGGGATTTTTGTTTTACCACTCAATGGTCAACTAACCACCTTTTACTACCAAAACAAAGAACCAAAAAAGTTAACAACTTAAAAAATGCCAGTGGATTGGTTCGGTTATGTGTACGCAGCTACGGTGGCCGCCGGTGGGATAATGGGATACGCCAAGGCGGGTAAGTTAAGATTCTCTTGTAGAATCGGACTCCCACAGTATTGTGCAACCTCATGTCTCCCCAGGTTCCATTCCCTCGTTGGGTGCCGGTCTGGCCTTTGGAGCCCTTCTCGGCTACGGGGCCCACCTCAACTCCCAGGAGACGCCACGCCCCCTGCTCCAACTGGGCACTTCCTTGTTCCTGGCCGGATTAATGGGCACTCGATGGAACCGATCCGGAAAACTAATGCCCGCCGGCGTAGTCTGCATGCTTTCCGTTGCCGCTTTGGTCAAAAACTTGGTCACCTATAATCGCCAATTGCTGCCCACCAGCACAAAGGGTGCCTAAATATCCATTCCCAGCCGACCCTGAAATGCTGGACTTGCCGGGAGATTTTCTACCTTAATTCTTCATTATTTGATTTCGTTATTGGTGGTTGGACCTTGGGTTAAGAGCTGTGTCACTTTCTAGCCTGCGATAAGAATTGTTCTTGTTGGCTGCGAATAAATTTTATCATCTATGCTTTTATCAATCTTGCTAAACTAAAACCTTCGTATTTTTTTAATGCCTTGTCATTTAATAGATCTTTAAAGATTGCATACTTTTAGGCATAACACATAATCAAAGAGCTGCCAAATTTCGCATTTTTGGTAAGGGCCGATTTTGCTAACCAAATCGATTTCTGACACCAGGCCAACATAATCAATAGCAGGCTGACGCTGGTAAATTTGAATTAACTTAAATAACGGTTATTTTTTAAGATAACTGTCCTTGGCACATTTCCCCTCACTGTTTCCACCAATTAGAACGCCGTCTCACTGGAAAGCACCGTTACTTCAAAGTAAGCATCAGATCAGAGATGCGAAACCACGCTGATTCTTTGTGCGTGTCACGAAAATGGCACGTCGCGCACGAGTACTTAATAAATTTCCATGTGGTTGTTGTTGGCGTGTCAAGAAAAACTTGTCACGCGCTCAACACTGATCAAGCCGAATTTAAGCTGATCAGCTGATCGATTTACACCTGCTAAGCGGTTATGTTTGCCTGGTTTTGCAATCAAGAAACTTTGAGAAATGTTGCCTACATTTGAGCGCTGCTGGACTATCAGGATGGGCAACCACCTATAAAGTATTTTTATTTTCCTGTTATTTTTTTTTTTTTTTTTTTTTTAGTAAAAAAGTAAAAAGTGTAAATTTATTAATTAACGGGTATACTGCTACCTATGTGGCAGCTTGAGCAGGTTGTAACTATAGGGGATAACAAAGGGTTGGTATACAGATTATACATTAAATCTATTAGTGTGTAGTTTAATTATATCAGTCTTCAAGTGTGTTAAATGTGTCTTAATGGAAGGTCATGTGGGTGGAACCTTTTAAGTCTTCTTCTTCTTGGTCTCCTAATTAGCCTCTTCGCCAGGGAGTTAGGATGAGAGCCAAGGCGTCTGAAGTAGCTTTCAGCATGTGCGCGACAAACATCGCCAATCTTAGGGATTTTGAGATCTCTTTCGATATCTCTCGTTCTCATGAACCAGGGGGCATTGCAAATCGATCTCACTATCTTGCTTTGCGCTATTCGGATTTTATTTAGGTTCGACTTAGACGCTATGCCATATATTTGTAATCCATATTTCCAGATTGGACTGAGAATCGATTTATATATGCGAACTTTGTTCGACAAGGAGAGCTTATTATTTGACGCAAGTAGCCAGGACATGTTTGCTGCCTTTGAGAGCACTGCCTGCTTGATCATTGTGGTGTGCCTCTGGAAAGTAAGCCCTCTATCCAAAATCACACCAAGATACTTGTAGTAGTGCTCGTGACAAAGTACAGAACCGAGCATTGAAATGCCTGGGCAGTTCTTTGGCCTTGTGGAAAATGTGACACAAGCACATTTGTTTATTTGGCGTCTTAAAACTAGCCAAATTTTTGTGCGAAATTGGCACGCTACGCACAAGTAATAAATAAATTCAATTATAGTTGCTGTTGGCGTGACAACAAACAGTTTTGTGAGGGACATTAAATTTTAATGTGCGCCAGTAATTGGGTGCGCAGCAGATGATCCGGGACAGGATCGAACTAACAACAGAAAACAATAGGACAAAAAATTTTTTACTATGTACATATATATTTGTAATGAATGCAAAGCTTTCTTGTCTTGTTTACCCCACATTTAGAAACCATTTTTATTAAATAGGAAAAAATTATTTTATACAAATAGATTTTCTTTATATTTATTTATTTTTAACCTAGTTTTTTCTTTTTTTTGTGTGTGATAAATGTACAGTTTCATTTATTGTAAGATGTTCAGTTAACTACAACTAAAACTTAGCTTTTACATTTTGTTTGCTGTATAAAAAAGAGCATTAGGCTAGGTGTAAACGTAGGGTGATGATTTTTTTTTAGAATTTGGATTTCTAATATTAATACAATAATTAAATGAACAATTTAAGTTTTCTTGTAGGCAAAGTGCGGCAAGGTAAGTAATTGAAACCTTTCAAGAAAATTTTTCACGAAAACTGATAAATATTTTGTTAAGTAAAGAGTACAAATTATATATGTTTATCACATTGGAAAGTGGGATTATTATAAATTTCCTTTCAATTGATTTGTGGGCCGGAGAATAATTTATGTTATCTGCCAAAGTGCGTGTGTAATGAACTTTTTACAGAATAATATGTACTAATATACAAGATTTTGCATTAAATTAAATTACATAATATATGCATGTATTGAACAAAACAACATTGTTTTGTTGTTTGGGTTGCATTTAACAGACAATATTTTAAATTAGTTGCGGCTAGAACTAACAACAAATCAATAGTTTTTATACAGATAGTAATAGTAATAAATTCTAGCTAAAACACTTTTAACTGCAAACATTTGTTCCAATTTCGATGGCAGTGCCAGTTCCAAACGCTCCCCAATGTTGATGCATTGCACTTTTACTAGAACGGAAACAGCTTCCAGTTAACCACTGCAGAGTCCGGAAATGGAGGGGAAATGGAACGAAAACGGAAGTGGGGAAGAGCAAAGAGATAAACAAAGAAAATTAGTGATAGCGTAAATACTATTCCTATGGGGCGTGCAAAAAGAATGAACTATATATTGGGATTATTTTAAATGCAGTTTAGATATATTTTTGCAGACGCCGGCCATTAAAATTGTGTGGGTGGTTGTGTGGTATGTGCGTGTATTCCACTCCATGCGTTTCCTTCTGCCAAATTACTCTGTTTCACTTTTGCCACTTTGCCGTCTTATATTTAGTATGCAGAATGCGTTTCTGAATCCATGCCACTCTTGTAGATCAAATAAATTACTTAATTGCTATAGTTAAAGATGTTTGGATATAGTTTCATTTGGTTTTGCCTTCAAACAGTGTGTATGCATGTGTGTGGTGTGAGAGAAAGAGCGTGTATGTTTGTATGCTGGTATGTGTGTGCATGTTTCAATGCCAATTCGTTTCAGTTTCGATTTTACTGTTTATTTAGGTGTGTGGGCGAGTGTTCGATGCATTTTGAAAAAAATAGCGAGAAATTAACCGCGGAAAAATAGGAATCAGCTGATGAGATTCAAAATTTTATTTCAATAGAAAGTGGTATGAGAGTCTTTCGTCAAGCATGCTTTATGAGGTCTGCGAATGTGTGAATGCGAATGTCCTAGTCAAGGCCTGCCTGCCATTCGGAGACAATGGGATTGGTTGGAATCGAGTGGACTGAAATGATATACTAAGTTATTCTTAGGTCATGCCAAAATTAAGATTCAAGAACTACTGTTTGGACCGCCGTCAAAGCAGATCGCACTACAAAATTAGGTATGGTCGATGCAATGCCAGATGCCAAATGCTTAAAGTACGAGGTATCCATATTACAGCTAAATGGACCGTCACGCATGAGTTAGCGCTTGCGTTTCGATTCGTCAACCTCAGCAACCAGAATTATGTTCTTATTCAAGGGCAGGCAGCGTACAGGATAAGATACTACTAAAACTATCGCGTATCCATGCTCTACTGTGGTTCGTAGCATACTTTAGGGCAAGCTTTAGACTACTGGGGGAGTTAAGAACCCGTCATGAATGCTGGATTGGTTTGGGCTTACCGCACGCAAGGATAACGAATCGGTAGCGGTTTCGATCGGTTTGGCATTTGCTTGTGTGTGATGCGTGTTGCTTTGTTTAGTGTGTGTGGTTGAGTTGGATGTTGTTGGGCAGCCCTCGGATGTTGGATGTTCGGTCTCGCGAGCAGCTCTCTGGATCTGTGTTTCTGGCTGGCCAGCAGTAAGTAGTAGCTTATGGTAACTGATTTCTGGGTTATCTGCCGACCGACTGCCTCTGATCGGTTACATGACTCGTGTGCGGCGTATGAGTTTCTGTGTTTTGATTTTGGGTTTCTTTGCCGTCTCCGTGGTGCTCGCCGCACTGCTATTGTCCAACACCGCTGGCAGGTTGTTTGTGGTGTCGCCAATGTAGTTTGTCACGAGCTGTTGCTGTTGGGGCTGACTACTGCTGTTACTACTACCGCTACTACTAGGTTTGGATGCCTTAATACTACTCCGGTTTGGCGTACGTTTCAGGAAGGCGCCGCCGTCCGATTGCTGATGTTGCTGGTGCTGCTGCACGTGTTGCTGCTGCTTGCCGGACGTGGCCGAGCTCACTGACGAGGTCACCGAGGTGGATGTGCTGCTGGCTGATCCGCCATCGTGCAGGGCTTGCAGTTTTTTGAAGTACGCATCGAGAAACGATGAAGTTGTTATCGGCTTGGCGGTGGTTGCCGCAGTTTTTGTTGTTGTTGCTGATGTGGGTGTTGCTGATGTCTTGGCAGCATTGGCTGCTGTTGCAGGTGGTGTGGGGAACTTACGTTTTTGCCGCTCAATCGCTTCATTGCTCTGAATGCCGGCAGTCGCCTCGTTCTCCTCGTCGGGCAGCCCGTCCTGCAGTTGCTGCTGCTCCTGCAGATGTTGCTGTTGTCTCTGGTTCTCGTCCTTGCTGTTCGCTGGCTGTTGCTTTGCCCCGTTGCTGTTGCTGTTGCTACTGCTGCTGCTGCTGCTGCTGGTTACACTATAATTTGTAAGGCGTTTTTGTACCAAGGGGATTTCGACTATCGACTGTTGTTGTTGTGACTGCTGTTGCTGTTGTTCTGGTTGCAATTTGGTAGCATGTTGTTGTGTCTGTAGCATGTGTAGGTAGTATTCGATCTGTTTGCGTAGTTCGTGTGTATAGATTTGGAATATGTTCGGTGTTTGTGTGGTGGTTGTTGAGGTTGTTCTGGGCGCGGGTGTGGACGTGGGTGTGGTTGCCACGGACTCATCGTTGCTCCTGCCACTGCTGCTGCTGACGCTGCTGCTGATGCGCGTCCTGACCAGCACTCCGTTGTCCTGCACCCACTGTCGCTCGGGCAGAGTGCGGTGCAGGTAGCCGAAGGACTTCGACCTGGGCTTCGCGGTGCTCCTCGTCGTCGTCGGCGTTGTCGTCGTCGTGCTCGTCGTTCTCGCGGTTGTCGTCGACGTCACAGCAGCGGCGCCAGCGGCAGAGCTCTGCTCGATCTTGTTGTCCTGCTGGTTAGCCTCCTGCTCCTCGCTACTAGTGCCGCCCTCATCCGTCTCCTCATTACTCTCACTCTCGTCCTCCTGGGACTCGGCCTCCTCACTACTACTCTCAATATCCTCGGCTGCATCTTGCTTGTTGTTGATTTTACTATTGTTGTTGGGTTGTTGGGTTGTTGTGTTTTGGTGTTCGTATTGTTGTTGTTTCGAATTGGTGTAGGGGTGTAGAAGTTGTATATTAAAAATTTGCTTTCTGAGTGTCTTTGTGTAACTCAAAGTTTGTGTGTTTTCGTGTTTTTTTTTAGTAATAGGAGAGGTCTTAGCTTACACAACAAAACTACTGGAAGAACAGTCTTTTCTAGATGGGTTACCTATGCTACTGTACTCACTTGTAGACCAAACGGTAGTTGTGTCCGTAGTCGGGAATGATGTTTGAGGGCAGTGGTGTGCAGCGACCATCCAGGCAGTGCTAAGTGGTGTAGTATAAACATTTAGTTGTTTTAAGATCAAATACTCGAATTCGAATATGCTGAACCGCTAGCTCCCCAACTACTTACGAAACCATTTCCGCAGGCCGAACCCTCGGCCGCCGGTCTGTAGGCCACGCAGTATCCCGTCTGGGCGTCGAAGCAGAAGAGCTGGGCGCACACCCTCTCGTCCTTGAAGCAGGCGTACGTGCCCCGATCCCTGCGGCACTGGGCGTCCAGCGAGAGCAGGGTTCCTGGCAGCGACCTGCCCAAGGCGCTGTCCTCGTGCGGGGCGTTGTGCAGGCAGGTGGCCGTGTCTCCACTGTGAAACGCAAAGCAGTCGTTAGGCCAACTCTGTCTTCTGTATTCTGTGTGCTGTATTCCGAACTCACTTGAGGAAATGGTGGAAGCTCTGCACCGTGCAGGCGGACCATCGGAAGCCCCGCTCCGTGTGGCGCAGGTCGGACATGATGTAGCCATCCTCCCAGCGGCACCGCTGGGCACCTGGTCCGCCCAGGTAGCTCGGCGGCGGCGATCCGTCATGCACCGCTCCCAACCTGCGGAGCGAGCGGGGACACATTTTGATTAGTGGGGGAGAGGGGGAAATGTTAATTGATTAATTGCACGGCGAATGATGTCAAACGGAAATGCAAACGAGTTTCAATGACCAGTTTTCAGCTGCGGAAATTATTCATGTTTTTTATTGGATTGGGCGCCAAATGAAAACCGAATCGAGACGCTAAATAGTTTGACTTTGCTGGAGAAGTAGTTTCGTTTGGCCAACAGCCGAAAAAGTGCCAAGATCATCAAGCTCATCATTCAAAGTCTACTCTTGCGAACAAATTGTTTAAACAAAGTGTAACTAAAATTAAGGGAAATCCGTGTTAGTACGAGTTCTTTTGTACGATAAATTTGATCGCTTTTAGAAAGCTTTGTCATTATAACTCGAAGCGCAGTCAATGGTGGTGTTTTCTCCAGTGCTTGGACCATGGGGTACTCACAGATGTCCCACTTCGTGGGCCGCCACGATGATGCCGCTGAAGCCGCCGGTGTCTTCGATGATGGCCACGCTGTTCACCTTCTCCAGCCGCTTGTTCACCACGCATGCGCCACCGACGTAAGCGAAGCCTTTCCGAAAGAAAACACACGACCGAAATTAGGCAATTAGTGGGTTGTTTACTCAGTTGCATTTTTTGTTTCTTGTCCAACAGGAAGTTGACAATTTTTTTTTGAGTCTCCGTCGCCGTTGCAGTTATTATGTGAAAAATCTGATGTTTCTTTCGCCATCGAGCAATTTGTTTCTCTCTTATTACTTGCAAACATTGTTTATATTTTTTACATAATAACTGTAGCCGCTGGGAGAAACTGGTCGCTTTGGCTTTATGTGATTTGATATGAGAGAGAAATTAATTAGTAGGTGCTTTTGATGTGTAAACTTAGTCACAATTACCATACCTTATACTCGTATATTTAGTAGTGTGTCCACAGCCCATTAAGTAAAGTTAATTATGTATTTCATGTGCGGTTAAAAGTAGGACAATGTTTGTCAATCCAGCACCGTTTTTTTAGTTACTCAGTTAGGTTCAACTTAAAAGTTAATCTTCAAAAATAGAGAAGCTTACAACATTGGCTGTTTCTGTATCACTTTTTTATGATTAATAAACATAACATAACATTTTTACTCCTTATAAAGGAGCCTTAAATGATCACCCTTCCTGGGGAACTCGAATCTCACAAGGTGTTACTCAGACAATCCTTATTCAAAAACGTAAATCTGTAATTGATAAATATTTACACACAGAACAAAGGCAGGTCGATAGGAGTGAGAGAGACTGTACAGTGATGCTCGTACGAAAAGCTGAATTGGAAAGGTTCTTGCGGGCAGTGTTGAGAAGTACAAAGTACAGTTCGGGAAGGAAAATGGCGCATGCGCAGCCATTTCCTGTTCTTGTTCTTCTCGCTGCCCAGAAGCCGCGTGCGACACAAACAAAGACAAAGACAAAGACACATACAGTTCAGTTGAGATTATAGTTTCCAGATCTCGGAAAGAGAGAGGTGGAGAGGTGGAGCAGCAGTAGAGTAGAGAGGATAAAAATAGAGACAAAGAGACGTGCATGAAATTCAATTAAATTTGCTTGATTTGGTTGATGATGGAGCGACGCATTTTTGGGTTCGGCGGTGGCCGCCTTTAATGTTATTTATTTTTGACGCGTTTGCTTAACTTCTGTGTTTCTTTTTGTATCATTTTTGCATTTATCTGTACAGACGTTGGCTAACAAATTGCCAGCCAGCGGTTGGGTCTTTACCTGCGGTGCCGCGGTTACATTCGCCATAAGCGGAGGTGCGACGGCACATATCGAGTCTGCGGGCGAAAATGGTTTAAAAATGCGTAGAAATTTTAGATTTGGTTTCTTTCGGGGGTTTTCAGCTTCGTTTAATCAATTATCTCCTCTCGGTGCTTGATTGATAGTTGTTTTCTCGTTTTGCGGCCCAGCCCAATTAAAAATCGGGCAATTGCGCACACTTATTTTCGGTAGGTTGCAGTTTTGTGGTCAAGAGCAGTAACAAGTAGATTTCAATCTTCGGACACCCGAAGTTTCTTCGAGGCTTAAGTAAAAAATAAAATAACTACTCGCAGATACCTTAAAATAAATCAAAGGCAAGAATAGGGATTTATGGCCAATAAACTTTAAAGTTCAACTTTTTGGGTTATTTTTACCATAAGAAGTGTCCGATTTTTTAGGCGCATAAACCAGAATTAAGTTCTAAACCTTGATGTAAATGTTGCTTCAACCAATGAGACCTTTAAGCAGATAAAATGTACTAAACAAATCAACCGGTTTTATGCCTTATGGACCGACCCGCTACTCAAATTAGTCGAACGCTTTAAGATTACCTTTTTTCCTTAGCTTGAGTTTTGTAAGTTTGGTGTTTTGTATGAGTATGTGTGCAGTGTAGTTGTGGTGGTAATTTACTAAGGCCCACACGCAGTTTTAGTCAACTTTACTTGGGTTTTCAAGGGTTTTTTGTAGCTTAAAGGTGCAAACTAAGAACTCAACTAAGGTATGTTAAACACCCGCAATGACATTTGTTCCTTGTGTGTTCGTGTTTGGTGTGAGTGTGTGAGTGTCGTGAGTCTACTACTAGGATTGGTTTGAATTTCTTGAAATCTTTTACCCGCTGTGCCCTTGGTGCAACGACCTCCTTTTCGCCTGCGACACATATCATACCTAGACACGAGTAGAGATTATATATACGTTTTCGGGAAGTCTTTGTTGGGGGAAAGGTCAAAAGGTCAAAGGGGGTTCAATAGAGAGGGAATCGCGCGCTGGGAAATCATCTGCCGACTCTGCAACGAGAACACAAAGCACAAGGCTGGCACGAGCCAGCTATCCCGCCCACTCACTTGGTTATGGCCACGGCAATATCGTAGACGGGCAGTCGGCGTTCCCGGAAGAGATACTTTCCCATGTCCGTGAGAGCAGCCGCCGAGTCGATGGCATCGCGACCCACTCGGTTACGTTCCAGGTAGGGAGTGGCATCACGCCCCTGAAAGTGCAAACAAACGTTTCAGATTAACGAGGAGCTATTCATGCAGAAGATACTACTAAAAAGGAAGTAAAGGCAACCTTTCTAAACCAAACAAACACTTAAAACTAAGTCATGTGGCAGCTACTGGCTACCTTGGATCTTTTCCTCCTCCGATCTCTGCAATGTAACCCATTCAACTCCCTCCCTCGGGCTGGCATTTATGGCTCGTTAAGTCCCCGGCCAAAGCCCCATTGAACCCTGCGACCCACATTAGAATACTGTAGGCCATCACCAGGCAGTAAAAATGGCGAAATACTCCCCAAGGAAGCTTTCAATGCGGTGATGCAACCGATTTGGCATTTGACTGGATGAGACGGAGCGAATGGAAGGCTCCGGGTGAAATATTTATGGCCCGCTCGTGGGGAAAATGCAGCTGGAAGCCGAAGTCGAAACGGAAATCAAGTGAACGTGAAAAACGTGCTGCTAAACCAAGCCTAGCGATAAGGCTAATGCAGCAGATGATCGTCGTTAGCTGCACTCGAAAAAAAGAGTACATAATACAGTATTGCATAGTAAACAGGTTGGATACGAAATATAGTTATAACGCCTTTTGGTGTAGGATAGTAAAATCCATTAAATAATGTTTATCAAAATGAGTTAGCTAAGTGAAACATGTTTCTTGGAGTGTACGGATGATGATCGCGCAAGGCAAAGTCAAAGTCGTGTGGGCTTCCTTTGGAAATTCGTAGCTTTTGATTGTTAGGCTGTCCCACTGGAAACCAGTTGCAATTGTGCGTTGCATAATTGGAGCTGAGTTGCAGTGGCAGTTGCAGTTGCAGAGGCAATTTCATCAGCTGTGAACGTTCATCGGAGGGCAACTTTCAGCACTCGTAAATCCACGGGCTCGTAAGCAGTCACGTCGTGACCGAAGGGGCGTTCAGATTTACCGAAGTGACAGGTACATAAATTAAAATAACACAATTGTCAATCACTTTGAACCCTAGGCAAATCAATATGTTAATGCGGATCTGGGGATAATCCGTGTGCCCGGACCAGTTGCAGTTTCCACTTCCAGTTTCCACCGGAGGTGCAGGTGATAAAACCGAAGTTAAGTGACAATCCGCACTCGGTTGACACATTTGATTTGCGGCCATTTGCCAACTGGAAACAATCTCGCAGATACTCCGCTCGCAGCTCACTTCTATCTCAGCTGGCGAGCCGAAGCCGTAGTCGAAGTCGAAGTCTTTTGATAAATTACCAACTAGTCGGACAGACAGCAGATGTCTAGGAAATGAACACGGTCTGACAAAGTGATCCAAAAACACACTGCGCCTGAGTTTTGAAATCTGCAGGTTGCCAAATGAGATGCAAAACGTATCCGCTGGATTGGGTGTATCTGTATCTGAATCGGAGTCTTAATCCGAAGACATCCACCATTAACAGTCCGCACTCGAGGTCTATCCGTTTCGTTTCTGCCTCGATCCCGTCTACTTTTCGACTCTTGGACTGTTGGACTGACACATTGATCATTTAGAAGTGCGGGCACGTCGTTCTCCCGAAAGAAGCCAAAGCAAAGAATCGAATTTTTGGCCATTTTCGACAGACAAAACTATCAAGAATTTTAAATGCTTCGATTGCGGCCTTGGGCCGAGTGCGAAAGGCAGCTGACTTAGATTGGAATCCACAAATTACAAATAATTATTGTGGAATTGCAGTTTGAGTGGTTTATTAGAGCAGTCTCTTGCGCTGAAGATGCTTCACTCGAGTGGTTTGTTGATGAGCTTGATTCGAGCTGTAAGTTGTTCGTTTTATAATTGAGTAGATGGCGAGGCTTTCAAACTTTTGTTGTAGATATTACGCAAGGAACCGCTTCCTTAATCCAGCCAACATGCAAACAAATTGTCTTGCGGCTTTTTCTTACCTAGATGCAAGCCTGTGAGATTCCCAGGGATCTGTCGGCCATATGCGACCATCAACGTCACACAAGTTGGCATGGGAAAAACAAACCTTAGAGAGAGGTAGACCACCAGACCACCAGACCACCAACAGACAGCCCGACACATATACTCGAAGTGTCTCCCAGGCACAATCTCCCGAAACCACTGGACCACGGATGACCTGGCACATCTTTGATTACGGATTGCACAATTCCAGTGGCGGTGGCGGTGGTTACCCCAGCGATCCGGGCCGAAAAAGCATTTGTCAAGCAGTCGGGGAAAAAGGCAGGCAAAAATAAATTATCAAAGAAACTGTCAGTAGGACCTAAAATGTAACCGAGCCACTAAAACCGGGACCGGTTTGCCTTTCGCCCAAAAATTGAAAATAAAGCAAAGCCCCGCGACAGTTTTGCAATAGCCTTTTGTGCGTAATTAAAAGCAAATCGTTATATTTTAATTTAATTTTCCTGTCCCGCCTGGCTCTCAGTTGGCTCGGCTCCTTTCCCTGGGCCGGGCAAATAAATCTCGCGGCAAAAAGCAGAAACTGTCAATGCAACTGCTCGTAATTTCTAGCATTTCGCAAGGCCCACTAAACTATCCAACGGGGCGGTGGACAGCGAGGCGGCGCACACCCACTCGGACACACACACACCCAGGCGGGGCCGCCCCCTCCGCCCCCTCCGATGACATATGCTCCGACTTTCGGCGCCCACACAGCCAACAAAGTAAGTCGGAGCTGGGCGACAGGCGCCCGATCTGGCCACCACCCACAGAGCCAGCAGGCTTTTGGGTCAAGATGTGGGATACTTTTCCTTTTCCAATACCCTATGAATGGCCATAACAAGATGATGGGGAGCCACACTGCAAATACGATACCCTAAAACTGTCTAACCTTTGTGAGAGTTTTGTAGGATTAATGTTTAGTTCTATTTCAGTGAGTAGATTTGCGAATTCTCGAAAGATTACCTAAGCTGTGCCCTTAATGACTCAGTGGCAACCTTTTAAAATCGATAACATTTTTATTTCCCACAATAAATTGTTTAAAATCGTATTCTTAGTCATCCTATCTAATTCCATTGGCTGATGAATGTCTGCTTTGACTGGTGAATGTCCAATTAATTTGATTTCTGTCTAGGAAACCAAGCAAACATGTTCCCCAGAAATTATGATGAAGTTGCCCAGAGTCTTCGTGGTATGTGTGTCAGTATTTAACAAGTTGTACCATTTTTCGTAGAAGCTACTTCCCGTTAGAGTGTCGAACTGCCCCCCAATTCGCAGCGACTTTTCCGGCTTTTCCAGCGCCCCTAACCACCATTTGTTTGTTTGTTTATTTGTTTGCCTGTCGCTCCGCTTCACGTTTCCATTTGCATTATTGCAATTTATGTTTGTCTGGCACTTGCGATTTCGGCTACCGGCACTCCATATACCACCCGCTTATATGGAAATGGACGTGGATATGGATATGGATACGGGAGTCTGGGTATAGGGGAAATGTGCCCTGGGGGCGACACCTGGCCTGCCCTATCCCGAACTTTTGCAGCCCAGCTTCGTTAGCCGCGGAATTTGTTATGACAACTTGCAAATATGAGAACTGGCAAAGGCATTTTTCGTACAATATCTCTGGGTCCGCTGGGTGTGTCGCTCGTGCATTATTTGGCATTTCTGTGGCACTTTAGATAAAGTCGTCGAGATAAGAGTGAGTGGAGAATGTCGATTGGCGCTGAAATTGGGATAGCCCAGCTGGATTGCCAGAATTCTGGCGAGGAACGGGCAGCCGGCTCTTTCTTCGGCTCCACCCAAGCGGATCGATTAATCAAGTGGCTGGAATTCCTCGGGCTGATAGCACTGCGCAGGTGATCACAACAAGCCGTAGATATAGATTTATAAAGCCAACACTATATATCAGAACAGATCAGCTCGGATCGGATTGGATCGGAATTGGCGTGGGGGTAGCTTAAGTCGGCTACCGACTTGACTTGAACCTTTATCGGTGACACTTAATTAACATTTTAATTAATTGCGGGCAACTTTCCGTTAGAAGCTAAACAGCCCCCCCTGTTTCGCCCCGCCCCCCGATTGTGCTACAAGTGTCGAACGCACTGGCGCTGCGCTTGCGCCACACACATTTTTCAGCGCGGCCAACTGCTGCAACGTTGCGTATGCGCAATTTATTAGGTGCGTATCGTGTGGCGAGCATGGGGAAATACGCCAGAGCTCGACGGGTTGTTACTCAGCATTGGGTTTTGCTCTGTAGTGTCTTGCCAAATATTATTTATTAGTTGTTTAACTAACCGCCAACTAATTACGTTATCTAGCTAAGTTTTTACCAACACCTATATTTAAAGGGTTTTTTTATGGAGAAACTACTCCCAAGTCGGCACACCCTCCTCTGCCCATTGATACTAAAAGCCACTTAATATTCCCCTGGCAGAATGTAATTTGAGCGCCGGCCACTCGATTAGAATTTTCGATTTGGCCAAGCTTCGCTTTTAAAAGTATCTGGGTTGGCACTCGATCAGAGCTCATTGTTCTGCCTCCGCGGAAAAAAAAACAACGCTTTTGACCAGGCTCGACTTGCAGTTTCCAACACCTTCGGACCCAATCGAACTCAGTCGAGTTACGCAGTTTATGGCTTATTAATGCTGCAGCGTTTTGTTGTCATTTTGCTGCGGCTTATTTATTTTCGAGTCCGAGTTAGAATCAATTAATTGAACAACACTCGTAGACCGCGGCTGCGGAGTTTCGGCCTAAGTAATTCTCTTAGTTATTTGTCAATTGGTGATTAATTTATGTGGCTGGCACTTCGAGCATTAGGTGGCTTTTTGTTTTATGGAATAAACGATTGGCATTGGGGTCAAGTGGCTTGGGTTTTCAAAATTGGCACTCATATTTCATGGCTTCATATGTAAAGTGATCGGTGGAGCTCCCGTTGGCCAAGCGATTTATCAGCACAATCTCTTCCGATAACGTGACGCAAAAATCCAATAAAATCGTTCGGAATTCTTGTTTTTTCCCTGCTCCAACTTATCGGATATGTGTATCCAATAATTTGTTGCCCAACTCAAATTCTGAGTAATTACCCGACTTCCATTTCTCACCCGGCCAGAGCGGCGTTAATTAGCGTCGCGAAAAATGGAAATGGAAAATGTTTAGCGACGGATGCCGAGATACATTATGAACCTGCATCCACCAGATACGCATTGCAGCGAGCGAATAAGCGAGTGAGTGTGCGAGTGTGTGTGTGGGCATAGAAGAGGAAGTCTCGAGTGTGTGTTAAATTGGGCACAGAGGAAAATAAAAACATGCCAGCCGAAAAAATCTGATCTGAGTCAACTGCCGGCTGCAGTTAGCGTGGCCCATTAGGTTATGTAACCGACAGCAGCGCGGCCAACACGCAGTTGCAGCGCAGTTGCGCTGTTGCATTATTTATGCGGTCTGAAATAATTTTTTTTTCCCTCTGCCTCTGCCTCCGCCGCTAGAGCCGAAAAGCCAAAGCCAAAGCCAAAGCCAATTGACGTACTTAGGGTAACCGTCGACATCGTTGTCTCCTCAACGCGGCGGACTTGTCGTGTGGGCAGCCGATCCAACTGGCTGCCGCAACTGCTGTGGCTGCCACTGCTGCAGGTGAACCACTCTTGCGGCAGGCAACCGCGGCGCAGATCCCCGGACTGTGCCAATTTTCCACTTTCTTGGCCCACTCTCTCTGCTCTCCGTTCTCCACTCCACTCTCCTGGCCAACGACAAATGGCTTCCTGAAGCAGCGCGAACTGATTTGTGTGAGAAAGTCTAGCCGAAAGTCTCCGCGCTTTCGGCCGGCAGTATTGAGACAAAACGAAGCCACGATGCTATAATGTTGTCAAAGTGTTTTATGGTTTTCGCTTACGCAATCAAATTAGTTGAACGTTGATAAGTGAAAGATGTTAGCAGACATCGCGCAGATCGCTCACGACAGCGGCCATCGATGTAAGACAACCAAAAGGTATTTGTTCATGAAACATTTTTGTGGCTTATTAGGCTTCTAGAACTGTTGCAAAATAGTTCGATATCCATTACCTGGGGCTTGATTTAACCTTAACTTTTGGCCAACGCGATTCACGTGCCCATAAAATATTTCTGCCGCTAATTTATAGAAAAGCATTTAGCCAGGCTCGAAGAGCTGGCACGGGCAAAAAACTTGTTAAAATTAGTTGGCCCGGCTTTTTGTGTGCTTTGACCAAGCAAATAACCAAATTGATTGTTCACATTTTTTCCAGCGAATCGAAGCGCATGCGTTGCATGTTTTTCTGCCAGTTTTTTTCTGCCAGATTCCCAGATCGTGACAGTTCATTTGGAGCTGAGTCGGCCGGGCTGGCTTGCGGCTAACTGGGCTCGAAAGAGGGCTGCCCGATTGGCAAGACCCACTTTGGCCAGGGGTTAAAGTTTAGCTCCCCGAATGGATTACTCAATTAGTCAAATGAAAGTTGAATTGCTTCGATTGTGTAATGATCTTGCTGGAGGGGAGATTTTGGAGTGCAGGCAAATCGGGGAAATATGTTTTGAAATAGCAAAGAATTCTCCACTTGATACTATACAATAACTAGTTTACTTACCCTTGAAATAATAATGCCGGCTATGCTGATGCGTATTCTGGGACCCTTCAGAAGGCGGTAGCGCAGATCCACTCCGTTCCAGAACGAGATGAAGTAACGCTTGACCTGGTTGGAGACACGAAATAAGTTAGCCAAAGCTTGCACGTTTGTCTCCGTCAGGTAAATTCATCACCACAGCACAGTAACTTTCATCTGAGCCGCATCTGTGTGTTTCTAGGTATTATTTTCAGCTAGAACGCACCCAGCTCGGGCAGACAAATAAATCCTGAGCGAGAGTGATGTGCATACCAATTAACATCGGCCACCACTTGCAAAAGAAGAGGTAAACCCAACACTATACCTGAGTACAGATCAGAACTCGAACGTTCAGATAGAGCTAATAAAGTGTTCAAGCCAGAAATGATAAAACTGTTTATGAAAGTTGCAGCTATTGCCCCAATAAAACAAATCGCCTTAATAAATCCGCAATTCCCCAAATATAATTCAGAGCTGATCGTACTCGCCTCCGGGGACTCGAGTCGCATTCGCAACCAGATCTATCTGTCCATCAGTGTCTGGCCGGCTCAATATCTACACATGTTGCGGCGGGGAAGCGAACAAAAAACAACTTTTACAAATCCTCGGACCGAAATCCCCTCCGGGTTGGGTTGGGTACCCGCTCGAAGTCCGCAGACACGCAGAGGCAATCCCGAGCTGTCCGCAATGGCCGAAACAACTCCATTCGGGCCCGATTATGTTGCCTTATTTTCTCCCGTTTTCCCCTTGCTTTCAAGCGCTCCTGAACGTCACGCACACGTACCTGCAGATTATCGCCGCCGTGCAGCCGGTAGCCGTCGTAGTCGACGATGACCAGGACCTCGGGGTAGATGATGTACGGCGCCTGGCGGCGGGAGCGGGTGCGGGACTCGGCCACTTGGGGCTCCGCCTCGAGGGCGCCTTCGTCCTCGTCGTTGAGGTCCTCGAAGTCGGGACTGCTGGGCGCACTGCGTCGCTGGCGGCGCTGCAGCCTCTCGAGCTTCTCGCTGGCCAGCAGATCGTCGGGTTCCATGAAGGCTGCACCCAAAAAAAGGGAAGGAAAAAAAGCGATAACCGGAAACGGCGAATTAAACACAATTAAGCAGCCGAGAGGTGGTATGTCTTTATTACGAGTGTGACTCAAGGAGCTGGGCAAGTCAGGTAGCCGCACACTTAACTGTATTGGGCATAATTTTCGGGGCACTTCGCCGAAAAAGTAAGTGTTCTGCGGGCGAGAAATGCCAGACGTAAAGTGGATAACTTATAGCGATTATCGCTGGAATTTTGGCGCCACCGCAACTGCAGCTGGGGTAAATGCATCCAGCGAAGGGCGAGCAGTCGCATTGAACTCTTCGGGTAAGCGATTGCATATTTCGCCGCCGAGCAGGAAATGCTATCGGCATCACGTCGATCTCTCTCTGGGCGGAGATTTATGGGCCGCGGCTTAGAGCGGGGCTTCTATGCCGTTCTTCGGGTCAATGCGCCCATTAAGAACGTAGCCTGCTTCTCAGGGGCTCGGCCCCCTCTATCTTACCAAAGTCACTCAGTTGGTCTTCTGCTGCGGACGCCTCTCTCTTGAAGATGATGTGGTGGGACTCCTCCGGGTTGGGGCTCAGTTCGTGCGGCAAGGGCTTAATCACCAGGTCGTGACCGATGCTGCCCTCCTACAAGTGGAAGCGGGTGGAAAGAGTGAGTTAGTGAGTCGGGCCAATTAATCAGAGGGAAGCAGAGGGAGGCATTAGGGACTGTTGCGTAATTAATATGGATTTATTGCAGGCCGAGTGCTTAGGAATTAACACAAGCAGACACAAGAACATTAGGCTTCCACCGACATTTGTCAAACCACTGACACCGGCGAACTCCATTTCGGGCAGGCCATTTAGATAATTTATTGAACTCTTTTTTACCCAGCATTCTTGGTGTGCGAGCGGCGGAATGAATGCCGTATGAATATGAGTTGCGTTTGAATGACGCTGGCCAAGTCATAAAAATTAGCTGCAATTTGCATAGTTGAACATTTTATGCAAATAGTCTGCGATCTAGATAAGCAGTGTTTCCACACTGTTCTCGGTCTCTCGGTCCGTTTTTATCGCCTCTGTAATTGCAATAATTATTGAAGTAAAACAGAGCCAGCGGACGTAACCTTGAGAAAGGTTAGCTGCTGAAATTGTTGACTAAACATTAAGTCACCCAAGCGCTTTCAATTCAATTTGCCTGCGATTTCGTTTCGGCTTTAATTGGCCTTTTGTTTATCGATCATCGAGCGAACACCCACTTGCGCCTAGGCGTGATCAGGGCTAATTAAGTCCCGGCCATAATGCTATAATTAACGTATTAACAGCGAGCAAGCTGGCTGGACACCAGAGCTACTGCGAGAACTGGCCACCAGCTGAGCTCGGGTTTAGCATAAACACATTAGGGAAATCGAACCGTAATTGTTCTCGAGCTGAGTCAACTGCTGGTGTGTTCACTCAATGCTCCTGCCGACCGGAATCCATGGGATTTCACTCAGGTTGGCTGGGCAACTGGAGTTCCCATGGATGCAAATGGCACAAAAGCTTTACAAATCAGCCAAACGAATGACTTAGGCAACGAACTTGATAATGCCCCCAATATATTTGAGCATTTATTGAAACGCCACAAAATTCGAGCAAGCACAAAGCGGCAAGGTTCAATGTCCCCGCACACGCGACTTAACTTAAATGTCAGCCAAGCAGCAGCGACGTGGGCCATAAACAAATTGCTGGCAAAGCCAAGCAACAAATTGCCGCAGATGACATGGGCCAAACAATCTCTGCACTGAGCAAAAGTTCCAAATTAAATGTGAGTTTAAATATGATATTCTGATTATTTTAAGGTTAGAAAATAAGAAATAAGTCTACATTTTATGATGTGAAGATGTGCTGCTTTAGAAAACAGAAATGTTAAGAAAAAACATTCATATGTTTTCGACTTATTTTCTTTCTCTGTGCGAATGCAAATCGAGTGCGATTGGAAATTGTTGGAGCAGCCTCTCTCCTCACCCGTTGCAGCATCGCTGGGCACTTGAATTACGATCAATATTTGCGTTAGCGACACTTAAATGGCTTTTGGCACACAGTGCGTATGATAAATGTGCGCGATAAATGCTTACCATTCACATTGAAAGTCAGTTGACAGCAGAGAAGGTGTCAAAAGCTAAGCAAACAGCTTCATTGGTAGCCACAGATTTCTTCACTTTTCACTGAGATAACCATTAATTCTGTGTTTGCCACAACATGCTCCGAGATTTATTTTACTCGCGGGTTTGGTTTTATTTGCCACTTGACAGATCTTTTAATTTACGCTGCTTACTGCAGTTTTTCTCGGCATGTGGCAGTTAAGCGAGTGCTAGTAACAAATTTTTCGTGTTCCACTTTGCCTGCGTTTTCCGCATTTCCACCGAAAAGCCAGCACAAACACAGCCAAGGCGTTTTGGGCGTGTGCTGTGCTGATTTCAGACTTACTTAACATTTGTTTATGCGACTCAAGTTTGTCTCGCTTCAGAGTTCTGGTACATGTGTTATGTAACTGCCCAACTGAAACAGGCTGTTATTTGCGAACGCCTTGCCTTGAACGCAATTTACGCGAGAAAACCAATTAATAAACTTCCAAAATACAACATATATTTGCCTCGCTCGACGTGTTGAAAGTTGGGCCCCGTAATTGCCTTTAATTGTAGGCGAATAAAAAGCTTTTACTTCGCATTCGAAGTCGGGCATGGAAAAGCTGTCGAATTGGGAAAGGAAGTGAGTTTCGAATGGCTTGTTAATAACACAATTTAAACGAAAGGGATCGGTAAATCGATTGACTCAATTAAGTTTTGGTGTGAGTCTATGGGGCTCCATCTACAGAGTTAAAAATCTTTTGCATTTGTAGCCATTTATCTTCGATCTCTAGTTATATTACCTTTGATTGAAGCAATCTCTAATATATAGGAAGGCACTACTACATTTTGGTTGGGTGATGAGATGATTAATCTCTCCCTAGCTTATTCCCAAACCTACTTGGCCGACACTAAGACCCAAATACTTTTCGATAATCATGAACCTTATAATTTTCCGGCTGTCGGCAAGTGCTGCCAGCCCAATTACACGTTGTTCAAGCTGGATCGGGGGGATAAAAGCATGGGGATTGGGGGGAAAAACAGCAAATTGCTTTCAAATCACGCAGCTCACACACCGAGTGTCCATTGGCCACGAGTATCTGCTTTCAGCTGGCCGAAATAGAGTTGTCCGAGTTGTCTTGTTTATGTAATCACCCACAACACGATTGTTGTATCTGCAGGAGCAGAGCTGATTGGGAATTACGTTTACGGCTCTTTCCTTTCACACATTGCGAACAAGTGCGCGTATCTGTCAGATACAGATAGACAACTGCGATTGGCACCTGCAGAAACGCCCAGCGATCCAGTCAGCCGTCCACTGACAATGAGCTTGATTGATTTGTGATGATATTTTCGTTCGCTCCTTCCTTTGTTCAATTAAATGTAAAGATTTTATAATATTTCCCCGCAACGATCGCAGATAATCGCGGCGGTTGCATAATGTGACACGCCACAAAAGAGTTCAGTGAACCACAAATTTACTTACAATCAAAATTAACACCTATTCGCATTTGGCGCTGTGCGCGTATTTGTTTTTGCCTTTTTTTTGGCTGTGCCCAGAGCATCAAAGCGTTCGAATGTGCAAATACCAAAAATTGGCAGACAGCGAAACACAGCAGCGGCAAATAAAGCAATACAGAAATCACTTTGCGGTTTGTAATTTCGGGAAATTAGCATAATTTGTGCAAATTCATGACACGAACACTCGCCGAGTGGAAGAGTGGAGCGGCGATCGTCATTATAGTCATGACGGCTGCTGTTTGCTCAAGTCGGTGGTGTTACCGCCCAAAGCGCCAAGAAATTGATGATAATACGAGCAGAAGTCGTCCGTCTTGCGGGGTGTTTGTTCAGGCAGTTTGCATGTAAATTGAACTGGAATCTTCGTATCTGGGTGTCGTTTATATGAATATCTCGCACATTCAGAGTGCTAAGCAGTCGCCGCTGCGAAAACCTTGATTCGATAAATAATTATGCTCTTCTCGATGCGCCGTCAATGGAAATGCGTTTAGGTGTGCTTTTTCGGTTATCATCTTGGTCAAGGTTGAATCTAATCGCCTCTTAAGATCGCTGTTCGGAGCGAGTGCATGTAGTCGTAAACTACACGGTCGACAATGAGAACAAGAACGGGTACCAATACTCCGATAGCGAGTGGCTCGAAGGGGAGATACCTGCCGTGTTAACAGTTTGTTTACACAAAGCAGCTCGTTAAAAATGCTCCGAGCCCACTCAGCTTTAGATTCTGTATCTGTATCTGCATCTGTATCTGTATCGGTGGCTCGGCTGGTCAATGAATATTTATAAAAGAATAAAGCCGGCCGAGCAGCGGTGGCCACCGCCCATGGTCATTGGCCAATACCCAATACCCAATGGCCAACGGCTAACGGCCAACGGCTAAGAACCTGGCCCACACAGCGGTTCTCGCTCGCCCGCAATCACGGGCAATCAAAATTAATTTGCTCACAAAATGTATCTGCCACCAGAACGCACTTCGCCTTGTCTTTTTGGTCTCTCGCGGTTTTTTTTGGCATAATTTGTTGTGATGTTTGGTGCGTTGGTGCGGCAGCAAGTTCAATGCAAACAGGGATCGTCCAAGGGGGGCGGAAAGGGGAGGGGCGTTCTTTCAAGTTGCCGCCCCAATAACTCCAATATATATATATGTGTATAGATGCATACTAGGGTGGCGGCAAGTGGGCAGGCAGCCAGGCAGGCGTATGAGCCAGGCCTAATGAAGTTCGAGCCGCGTGTCAAAGTCGAGTGGAGTCGACATCTACATCGCAAGCGGGTTTGACTGACTGATCGCAGGTTATCCTTGCACTTAGAGTGTCTCAGAAGTGAAGGCCTCCCAAGGCCGGCGGACTGGGTGTGTGTGGCTACCTCTCTACCTCGCCGAAGAATCAGTCTTTCCATCAATCAATACAAGCATTGTCCCCCTAGTAAAGCTTTATCTCGATCTGGTTCTAGATATTTGCATTGTAAAACATATCTCTATTAGAAGTAAACGGTGAGCAGAGCATAGTATCTTTCACTTTTATCGGGTGTCGATTTCTTCGTATCTTGATTAATGGTGTTCCCTTTCATTTGCCACCGATTAATCCGCTTAATTGAAATTTGATCCCCTGGCAGACGCCAAATTGAATTCCCATCGGCGGGCAACACCGAATTCACCTATCTTAGCGTGAAAATACCAGACCCGTGCTCTTGTTCCCCTTCCCCTTCCCCTTCCCCGGAGAAACTCTGATCGGCGATAGTTTGTGTATGGTTGACGTAACCGATACGGCCGTTTATTAAAATGCAGTATGCAGCTTAAGTCTTCGAACGGCACCCGCCAGAAATGTTGTTATCATCTGGCGCTTGCCACACCGAGCTGCACCAATTAAAAAACATTTTTCACGAGGAAATTGCGGCCACAACCCAAAAAACGAGGAAAAAATGTGCATTTTGATTAAATAATACGAGCGGCAGGGAGTAATTGAAAACGGTTTAACGGCGGTGTCTAATCCTTTGTGTTCGGGGCGTGCGTGCCCCGATCTTGCTGGAGCC